TTGAGTATGAAAAACAGTCCAACAAGGTTTTGGTTCAAATTGACTATAAAAACGCGTTCAATTCTGTTGAAAGAGACATTTTACTAAAAGAGATTAAAGAAAATGTTCCCGAACTATACCCATTTTTGTGAGAATGTTACAGTTCATCATCTACATTATTTTTTGGAAACAAAATGATTGAATCACGTGTTGGTTGTCAACAAGGCGATCCATCAAGCTCACTCACCTTTAGTCACTCGCTCACCATTTCATCCAATTTTGCTCAAGCTCAAATCGAAACTAAAACTGTTTTATTTCTACGATGGTACATTGGCTGGTGACCCGAAAACTGTATGGGAGGACATCAACGTACTGATAAGTGAATCAAGAAAAATAGGGTTAACAATTAATCCTAAAAAGTGTGAGTTATTTTTCACATCAAACATCATTGACCCTGACATAGAAACACATTTCAGAACTGTTCTTCCAGGCATTCAGACAGTAAATTCCTCAGAATTATATCTTTTAGGTTCTCCTTTGTGTTTTGAAGGATTTCAAAATCCATTGAACAAACATTTAGAATCTTTGAAGATCATGGTCGAAAGGCTTAAATCACTACCGAAACACATTGCCTAATTTTTGTTGAAAAATTGCCTTGGTATACCCAAAATGCTTTACACACTTAGAAGTGTACCAACATTTCTATTTCAACAAGCTTTAAGTACTCTGGACGATACAATAATTTCATCCTTGAAGGATATTTTAAACCTAAATATTACACCCAAGCAAATGGAACAAGCAAGTCTCCCTATAAGCCGTGGTGGCATTGGTATACGAAGTCTCATTGATTTGAGTTTGCCCACTTTTCTTTCATCATGTGCAGGAGTAACACCACTCGTCTCCAACATACTTGATATACCAGTTGATGAATTGGCGTTATCTTTCTGTACTAATGGAATCGAAGAGTTTTTTTTTTTTTTTTTTTTTTTTTTTTTTTTTTATTGCAATGAACTGCCTTCAAGCCCAATCTTACAGCATAAATGGGACAACATAGTAATGAAGAAGAAAGAAGAAAATGTAAAATTCGACGTTCAAGATTTAGCAAGAATGAATGCCATCAAAGAAAAAGAGTCTGGAGCATGGTTACATGCCTTTTCATCAAAAAACATTGGGGTATGTTTATGGATGTCAAAAGCTTCCACATTAGTATTGGACTTAGATTAGGTTGTAATCTCTGCCGAGAATTTCAGTGTGTCTGTGGTGAAATCGTGGACAAGAGAGGTTTACACCCGTTATCCTGTATCAACAGTTCTGGAAGATTTTTCCGACACGCTGAAGTTAACAATCTGATAAAAAAAAGCCTTGGTGTGTGCCGACATCACAGCCCAACTGGAACCCACAGGTCTCGACCGAAACGATGGGAAGCGGCCAGATGGAGCCACAATCATCCCCTGGAGCAAGGGCCAATGTCTCATTACATTCCATATTAATTATGTAAGAAATAAGCTGCGCAAAGTATCTTTTATCTTTTCACGCATCAACAGGATACTTCCCCCCGACTTGATTAGAACTGTGTATTATGCCTATGTACAATCTCTATTGCAATATGGAATCTTAGCTTGGGGTGGTTGTTATCAAAATGTTTTAACGCCACTTGAAATAATTCAAAAATCTATTATCAAGATAGCACTAAAAAAAATCGCCGTTATCCCTCAAATGTTTTGTTCAATGAATTCAAAGTTCTTAATAAACCCCAACTCTTTATAAAAAATATTATTCTGTATATTCATAAAAATGAAAAAAAAATTTTCCGACATATACACATCAATACATAAGATGTAATGGATCGATCAACAACTAACCATGGAATTATTACCCCTAGATTAACGAAGTCAATAAACAGCACTTCGTCTTTTTATCTTGCAAACATAATTTATTCCCAACTTCCACTAATTGTAAAATCCCCCCCACCTTGCAGTCTACGTACATACAAAAAAATTATTGACAAATGGCTACTAGAAGTTGGCCGTCATAGAGTAAGAAACTATTTCACCTCCATGTACATATAGATACTACTATCATTTCATGAACAACTGCAGTAATCTATGCCGTTGCGTGCGTGTATGTTTGTGGGTTTTGTGTGTGTGTGCGTGTGTGTGTGCGTGTGGGGGTGGGTGTGCCATTGGTACCCCGCTAGGCTGGACCACAGGGACAGTGCAGTGACGGCTTTTTTAATAAGAGCTACCAGCCGCCTGTGGATCCCGGGGCGGGTACTATGGAAGGTGGTGGCTGTGAATGTATGTTTGTGGTGAGTGTAGGTTCTTTGTGAGTTTGTGAGGTATGAGTGGTCTGTGTGAATGTGTTAGGGCTTTGTGTGTGGAATGCATGTGCCAAGTCTCGGTCAATTCTAATTATGTGTATTTCTAATGGGATAATTTCCTACATTTTTAACGTGCAAACTGAACGCGTGATATATGCGTGCATTAATTTTTCATACACTGTATCGTTTTGTATATATTTATCTTGTAAACTAGTTTTTTCTTATTTATCTTTTTCTTGTATACAAATTCTGTGTACAATATGTATATATAAATTTTCCTTTTTGAATGTAGCCTAAATTATTGTTTTTTGTGCGGATGATTGACTCAATCCCCAACCACAGGCATATAGCCCATTTGGGGATTGATATTTCATTAATCGTTTATGTACCATTCAATCTGATGTTCTGTAATAAAGAATTCATTCATTCATTCATTCATTCATTCATTCATTCATTCATTTAAAGCAAATTTGTTTGGAATTTAAAATTAATATATTAAAAGTATATTATAAAATAAAAATCATGCAATTTTTTGATAAATATTATCATTGACTATTGGATACTGAAGTTGTTTTTATATTCAAAGAGATTACTTAAAATTCTAACGTTATTTAAACAAAACATTTTCTTCTATAAAAAATAAGTCATATTAAGCACGTACGATACATAAAAAATACGTTATTCAGAAGTAATAATTTTCATTAATTGAATACCAAACAGTAAATACGTTGAATATTCTGAAAATTTTATACAATCTAACTACACATTTCCGTATACTGCTTCGTATAATTTGTCTAATTTTAATTACAATTTGATAATGTCTTAAGACCACACTTTTCTGAGGGCTTACGTTATTACAGTATACATTTAGTTTTAGGCTATAGTATTTTGACCTTTATTGATTGACTTTATTTGACCCTTAGTGAAGAATTTCTCTGGTTGGTACTTCTTTGATTTTAATCAAGTTCAATTCTTAGTATTTAGGGGTTGAGTTTTCTTAACCTTCCATTAGTTACAATAAGGTATAAGTTAAATATGAGTGAAAAAATATCCAAGGGACAAATCAAATGCCACTGCGAAATGTATAATATTCCACTCATCTCTTTAGATGTGCTTGAAAATCATTTCTCAGAATATTATTTGCTTGTTTTTCAGAGCGCATAGAAATGTTATTGCCTAAAAACTTAATAAAATTTAACCTAAAATATAAACTATTTCTTAATATAATTGATTACAACTATATGTCTCCTGTCAAAACACTAATCGTTCGATTTGTTGTTGTAAACGGTTTTGGTGCAAATGCTGTTTTTTTTTAATAATAATGACAATTTGAAATTTTGTTTGTATGGGCTTGGTTGAAGAATATCATGTAATAACCGAACATGGGAATACAATCTTAATTAAAAACAAAAGAATAAGTATTGGATAATAATGACCAATAATACAATTAAGTTACAAAGATCACGGGAGTTAATATGACATGTTATATCCGGTCACTCTTTCTCTCTCTCACTCTATATTATATACATACATGTACTGTATGTATAGGGTGGAAAAAGTCTTGGGCCAGTTAAATATTTTAAAAAGTACTAAAGACATAACTTCAATTTATTGACTCTCACAAGCGGCCTTGAACATAAAGTGCAAATCTGGATCCTCAAACTACGATTTTGGTGGTGGTTGTTTTAATCAGGACTTATACGGCCATTCACAAATTAGACAAAGCCCAAAGCTCGTACCGCTAGTTCATTGAAATACAGAGCAGGTAGACAGACGGGCGTTCCAAGTAGACTGCGCTGTACGAGCACGATATTCCGCCATTTTTTGGTGCGCTGTACGAGCACACGCTGTACGAGCACGTAATCCTTACGCAGTGAGTTATATAAATCTAACAAAAAAGCAAACCGGAGCAGCAGCAGAAATGGCCACCCAGAGAAAACATACAAAATACTCAAATATTACGTCAAAAGGATACCAGTTAATCGTCCTGGGTGTGGAAACTGCTGGGCGATGGTGCAAGGAAGGCATGAACTGGGTAAATGAAATAGGCCGCAAGCCAATTGAAAAAAACAGGTGACTATAAAGCGAGGAGCTACCTAGTTCAAAGAATTGTAATGGCCATACGAAAAGGAAATGTCGCCAGCACCATTGGTTCCTCACCCGCAGACGACGACCTTTCTTCAATATTTTATCTATAAAATTATAGCAAAAATTGGTATTAAAACATACCTACAGAATAAAAAAATTTAGTTTTATTCATTGAATTATCATCCATTTTTGGTAACCATAACGCAATTAATATCATTATTTTTTTACACTTATTACTCTTTAAACAATGCTAAATGCTCAAAATATGTATAATTTCACTCAATTTATCGCAGTTAGATGAATTAGCGTAAGCCTCGAAAGTAACCGTCGATTTCGACGGGTTTCACCTAGTCATGTATAAAAACCGCACGCTTTGCTTACTTATAATCCATTGTTGATATTCTGGAGTGGATGTGGCAAGATTAAATATTCTAAAATTACTAAAATAGGCTTTAAGATTAATGAATAAATCATACCGAATTAGCACACTGTAAACAAGACACCTCTTTTGTAGACTGGACCATTTTTTCAGTTGTGAAGGTGTCCAGTTTTAGGTGCTGTATCCTTGTTTCTTTTATAGTTTCTTTTTGTGCATTTGGATTCATATTTACAGATCCCCCAGAAACACCCTATATCACTTCTGTTGACAAGCAGGGAAGTAGTGTAACAGTTAAATGGGACCCTGTAGATAAATGTTTCCCCAGCTTTAACTCATACAACTACAAGTTGTTCAAGGTAACTGTTGATTTATAAATGTACCTATATCTTTTTTAGAATGATTAACTACCATTAAGAAACCAAACGGAGGTAATGTTCTAGATTTATTCTTGTTAGCAAATTTCCCTATCGGTAAGTACTAATTACCGTTAGGCCTGCGGGACCGATATACTTTTTAATTTGTAAAAGGCTAAAAACACTATTTGTTCAAATATATATATATATATATACTAGCAGAGTACCCGTCCTTCGTACGGGGTTGGCATATATGAATAAAATGCTTATTGCAGTTATACTAAAGCTTAACGTTTTCAATGGGGGAGGACACAGTTTGATAACATTTGTTTTTTAAATTTAGTATTACACATCCACCATAGCCATGTTCTACCCCTTCACCTAAACCACCTAAACAATAGAGAAAAATTAATAATTATAATTATAATATAATTAATTATTATTATTATTAAAAATTCACAAAATATCACAAATAATTCATTAAATTAAAAACATAAACAACTGTAAACAATCCTACTTTGACAGTTCTCATTGCGTATCTCAGCTTTTTGTTGCTATGCCTATATGTTAATCGGGAATGTGAGCTATCGTCGTGCCAAATTTCAGCCCAATCCGTCCAGTAGTTAATGCGTGATTGAACTTCAAACAAACAAACACACAAACTTTCTCATTTATAATATTAGTAAGATAAGATATATACAAATTGAAATTATTGAAGTTTGTTTGTTTTTATGTTGATCAAATTTGGCATTTATTTATTTCACCCTACACTATTAACATTTGGTTGAAAAGTTAAAAAAGCACTTTTTTACCTTCCTCATAGCACGATAGCAGCAAACCTAAGTACTCATTAAATCTAATGTTATTTGAATGGGAAATAAATATATCTTGTTCATGGAAATATTTTTCTATGAGCCCAATAAGGCAAATTGAAATTCGCTTAGTCTGGAGATTTGCTACGGCAATGGTATTTTTTTACAGTAAGAAATATTAAATATGTTTAAAGTTTTTAATTTATATATATATATACAAGTGGTAAACAAAACCCAATTAGAAAACATTACTACACATATTACATTATTGTATTTGTTTACATAATTCTGCATTTTCTTTTTTTATACCGTACCTATCCAAACGTTTGCATGACTGTTGTAGACTGGTGCTGAGGACAATAATACACAAGAGGGGCGAACCAACTTGACGCAGGTCACTTTTGAAAACCTTGAGCTTGAAGTCAGTTACACAGTCCATGTTTACACTACCAACCCACAGTATCACTCATCAATTACATTTAATTTGGAAAAAGGTAATTATAATTCTTCAAAATTGTTATTCACCCTTATTATTAGGTTGTATTTACCATAGCATCATAATTCACACCCTAAAATACTGAACCCCACTCCCACTGTAGGCCTACACACGCCTCAGCTAATGCCATCTGTATCAGCTATTGAAAGAATTTTTATAACACGTGATAAATGTGGTGATTAATAAGAAGTTGCAATGAAATGGGCAAACACACAATGGTGTTAGGCACTTGGCAGGTTCCTGGGATGATAACAAAGTAGAAAGTAGCCAATAGGATATTTGATTATATTCATGGAATAATCAAACGACTGGTTTTTTTTATAATAGCCTTAGTGCAAATATTAACATGATGCAGCCTGGGGGGCGTTGGGTGGGGGTCAAATCCCGTACCAATAACAATGAGATACACACTCTCATAGTAATATATTTCTTAGAAGTGATCTTTAACTTAATTAGTAAATATATTGTAATTAATGTCAGTGAATCCCAATAAGTGTTTAGCTTTCATAACTTTTCTTGTTTTAATTTTAGAATGCCAAGATCAGAATCTGTTTTGTGATGGAAAGGAAGATTGTGCTGATGGAAGTGATGAAGATGTAAAACTTTGTGCGGGTATGTAATCTTAAAAGGGTTAATTATTTTACTTGTACGAGTGATATTGTTTGAACGAACCAGACAACTATAGCTGACTAAGAAGGAAATACAAAAACTATTAGGTACATAATTTCTTTTTGAAAAATTAGTAGTAATAAGGAACAGAACATGGTTTATACTTGGCGGGACTGTCAATTTTCTTTCACAGTGTTTTGAAAGCTACGACGATCTAATCGTCACATAGGGATAAAATACACTAGAATAGTGTAGTAAATGTAGTTAGGAACATGACATTGGACTCAAAACTAAAGCAGTTTGCTTGGGTGTGACAAAAACTTTATATAGAGACCCTTATTTAAGGACATTGCACATAAAAGCAAGTTGTCACCAGGCTATTTACAGTATACAGAATGTACAAATTATAAGTTCTGATTAACTAAAAAATTTTAACTTATTTTAGCTTATTTATATTTTTTTACCCTATATCTGGGGCACTAGAATGTTCTGTCGTTCTATGGTAGCAGGCTCCAACAGAGCACTTTTTAATGATTGAATATAATTGACTAGGGAATATTTAGAAAACAAAGGTATATTATGGACATTCTAGCTATTTTATGAGTTTTTACAGCAAAAAGTTTGATAGAATTTAGATTTTTTTTTAATGAAATTCTGGAAACATCCAATAATGTGAGACTGATGACTCCGCTCAATTTTGTGGACGTGTCTGCGAACCAACCTAATAAAATGAGGGAGACATATGATAAAAATATACTTAAACTAAATCGATAAATAAATAGTTCCTGGGACTCAAAGGTTTAAATATATGATTCTGGACTTTCCATCATTAGACTAATGTATTTTTGTGTTCATGATTGATTCCTAATTGTAATTTAAAGTTTGAAATTTTAATAAAATTGATCAATAAAATTAATAATTTTTACAGCTATAGAAAAAATGGTTGTGTACAAGAAAAGTAACTCTGAAGTCTACCTAAGAGTTGATGTAACCAATGGGACTGTGAATCGGTTGGACAAATTTATTGTGAGTTATAGCAGTGAGAAATCAGACAAAACTGAGCAAATGGAAATACCTGCAGAACCCTGTCTGATGTGGCCAGAATCCTACTGCCTCTATGTGTCTTCTCTTGAGCGCAATAAGGTTTATGATTTTAAGGTAAGCTTACATACACAATACATCAACAAAGGTTGTATTTTTTGTGTCTATTTAAGAGTAAAAAGGGCTGCGTTATTAAATTAATTCATCGAGTTTTTTTTTTACCTCAAATTAGATTTTATTAATAATCTTGACACGTATACTATGAAAAAACAACTGGCAGAGGTTTTACAGCCAAAAAACATAATGTTTTACCTACAAAATGTAGATATATTTAATTGTCAATTTTGTTCATAAAAATTATCAAGTTTAAAAGTTTAGTAAGTTTGCATGAGGATAGCACGTACAATAAAACTTGTGTAATCTATCCTGTGTAAACACTGCTGAGCTTAAATCAACTTTAAACTACATTGAATTCTGGATCAGATTAGAATAAGTTTAGATTATTAAGGATTATATTCTGAACATTTATATTTTTTTTAGATTTCTGTATCACTGAAAGGTGGGAAAATTGGAAATAAATATTCCGTATCTACAATCACAAAAGAAGAAGGTTAGTTCAAATAATATGATTCATAATGACGCACTAGTACACTAATTGAATAACAATAAAGATTTTCTAAGAGAACTTTTTTTAACCTTTAAATAGATTTTTTCTATTAAAAATTTGTTATCTATGAACACTTTGATACAGTTAACGGTTTTGTACCTACTCTGATTAAGTTATATGGTACATTTCACACTATTTGTCCCATCCCATGATAATTATTTGTTAAAAATCTACTATAAAAGAATTTGTTTTTGACAACTAATTTAATTGTTGGCGAATTTTAAACACTGTTTTAGTTTATTTGTTGAGTTGGATTGCTGCAAGTACCTATATTCAAATGGACAAATTGTTTATGTTTTTAAAGAGGCAATCTGAGAACTTTCTAAGTCATATATAATTAAAAATATTTGTAACAATCAGTTTTTTATTATTATTTTCTTAATTAAATGTATACAAAAAAATAGAGTTATGTTGTTTGAGTGGTCTGTTTGTGTATAACTGTCTGTGAAGATTGTGTATAACTTTAACTCTTATTTTGGGTAATGTTATGTGTGGGGTTTAATAAAAAATGACATCAGAATTTCATAACTTACAGCTTCAGGGCCTCCTGAGAATGTACGAGTCATCAAACACAACGCTACATGCTTGATATATCAATGGACTCATCCAAATCAAAGCAATGGTATAATCAAAAGTTTCCTCATCAGCATTGATGAAACAGAAGCATTTGAAGAAGACAAGTGCTGCCAGGCTCTACCCATCATATCTTTGCCTGCCCCTGAGGAGGAACTTCTTTATGAAACTTCGGTAAATCAGATTTAGAGTTACTATTATTTTGAGAGTAAAATTATAGCCAACATCATTAAATTACACAAATCTTTTCAACCAAACATCTGGTTTGCCAGACATTAAAGGTAAAAAATTGAAACTTTCATTATAAACCATGAAAAAAATCTGAAAAACAGTTGAAGACTGTGCCTGACAAGTTTTATTTCGTGGTTGACTAACACCAATAGGATGAAAATCGTGTGTTTGGCTAATTGTCTTATTAGACTGGTTTTAGTATTCTTTAAGTTTGGTTGATCCCCAAGCAACTTAATTAGACAGGCACATCACAATACTAAAATGAAAGAGCAACTGTTTAAGTTAATAACTTTTAATGGCTGTTAGTGTGAAGCTCGTGAGCAGTTAAACTGACAGTTGGCAGAGTTCGGGGAGAGGCCCATCTAAACTATTAGAAAGTAAAGTATCTAGTGGAAGTTTATTATTATGGTGGTTTTTTTATTGATTCATTATGTTAAGATACATGGGTCCAAGTAGTGCTAGCCTCATATCTGAAGGTCGATGGTTCAATTTTAACAAACACAAAATAGAACAAAAATACAAATTTTTAAATTTGTATTTTACAAAATTCTAGAGAAACGTAAGTTCCTTTTAAAGAAAATTTCCTAAAATTCAAAAATAAATTCAATTCATACGATAAGTAAACGCATAATATATATTTCCAAAAAAATGTTATATTCAATAATTATTTGTATATTATTCCAATTCAACTTTTTGAACTTTTTAGACGTCTAGTTTGACTCCTGCATCATCTTATGCAATAAGTATTACGGCCAAAAACAAGTATGTAGGCACCCCTGCAACACTTACTGTAAACACTCCTCCACCACCCATGGAAGTGATCAGGATGCCACAGGTAGAGGTGTCGTCTGTACTGCCGTTGTCATGGAAACCACAGGATGAGCAGGGAGAACTACCTCTGTACCACAGCCTTGTCAGGTGATTAAACAATGGAATAGTGTCTCAGCTACATTATTCACATCTGAATGTGTTTGATTAATTAATACTAGTAAACACGTTGCTCGAAATCGAGCAATTACAAAGAAGTAAAGTAGTTATTTAAAAACAAATAAAAGTCATAATTTCAGATGAGTTTAAAAGACTTTGAATTGAAAAATAAATAACAGCAATTAAATTATACAGCTGATCAAAATGTAAACAAATATGTTCTCCATAAGGATAACATGGGAACTTTAACAGCCACTGGGGCAAAGCCCAAGGGGTTATTTCAAAAATGTAAGGTCAGTTTGCAAATCTAAGCGACACGCTCTTTCCAATGAGACGTCAATGGATAAAATCGGTTGAGAAATGGCGGAGAAGTTCAACCGACAAAGTTCCATGTAGCGTATTAATTATATAGATTATACAATTGAACAACCTTTGCTTTATGGTTGGAGATAGGGCAAGTGTTATTAGCATCAGATTTGGTCTTTTGCATTAGGACAGGTTGGTTAGAGAACTGCTAAATATCTACAGACTTTAACAATTGTATACAATGGTGGTTTTTGGTCACAACTCACGATGATACTTGTCACAAGATTGGGTCCTTGTTGTGGAATGAAGTTGTCCTGCAGTTGCAGTGCAGTAGAGTAGTAGTAAGGTAAGGACTCAACACACAAGTCCCCATCACCTACAAGGGGGGGTGATTAGGTGATTAGTCTGGTCATTGTTCTGTGAGAGAACAAAGAAGATTCCTTATCATCAGTTGTTAATTTGTTGGGTATTTACCAGGAATTATACGTTTCCTAACTAACCAAGTAGGATTTCAACTTCAACAACAATAAAAAATAGCCACATTGAGAAAAGACACTCTGGTCAGAATTTCTGTTATAAGCTTGCGCCGTTTGCGCTTCAGTTTTACTGTGGGTTGGCATCCCAAAACAGCTGTTTGTTGTGTAATTAAATTGATATTAATTGCTACTACTGTTCAATTAACATACAGTGACATATGCAGGAGACCTATTTTACGTCTACTTTCAAGTGAAATATGTTTGATTTAAAACTTGAATCTCATATTAAATGTTTAGTTACACTTGCTATCTGTCGGTGTTCGAAAGGCAGCAAATGTAATGGAATGGAAGTAGGCATTATAAAGTCCTAAATTTAAGTGTTCGTCTTTTTAGTATGTTTACAAGTTATCAATTATTTTTTCGGGTTGGAAATCTAGCAATATTATTGTGTAAACGACAAATTTTACAATGCTGTAACTCCAAATCCTTCCTATGTGTCATGCATGAGGTATCACAAACTTGGCTGCAATAATCTAAATTACCAACAAGTTGCTGTGTTTCAGTTTTTGAGAAATTTTAGAGGAAATTATTAATTTGAGATTGATTAGTTGATTGATTAAATATTAAGTATAGGAATAGATTTTCACAGTATCTAGCAGCAACTTTATAAAATTTGAAGTTGGATTGGAGATTTAAAACTCAATTCTTTTACTAGAATTAAGATTTTCTAGATTTAAACTTCCCTAGGTCTATCATTCAAACTTTTAAGTCAATTAATTGACCCTTTTGCATACCTGTAGACAACCTGGCCATGTCCTGAGGTGAACTTGTTGATGATGCGGCCTTGGTTGTAGTTACTGTAGTGTGTGTGGTTGTAATAACAATGAACAAATACATTAATAAATACTTTAAATATATTTTTGCCGAAAAAATAATGTTGACTGGCTAGATAAATGTTTGTTCCCAGATCTTATATGTTGCTGCTTTTCCCACCTAAAACTGAACCATTGACTCAGATAGGGCCTGAAATCAAGAATGTTGAAGATGATATCACAGAGATACTGCAAACAACTTTTGGAGACAGATATATTGTTCTTTGGGACAAGAAAGTGGTAAGTTATTCAAGCATAGGTCATCGTTTGTAGGTAAATTAAGAAATACATTTTGTTTGTCAATTCTATTATGCAACATTTATGTATTTTATGTAGCACCAAGTGCACTTAATAAAGTTTCAAGAAGGATCAATATTTTTTCATTATACAGGGTGATTGATATAAGTGTGCCAGCCGTTTTATTCGAAAACCATAAGAGATTTAAAATACCCCCGCCGCAGCAAACCTGCAGACTAAGCGAATTTCCATTTGACTGATTGCATTTACACTGAAATGTCTACTTTAAAATATAACATTTATTCCCGATTTAAATAGAATTAGTTTAACAAGTACTTAGGTTTGCTGCATCAGGGAGGGTAAAATTTTTTTTTTTTGTAAAATGTTAATAGTTAGTAAGAAATAAAAACATTTTCCAAATTTGATCAAAATATGTTCATAAACAAGCAAACTACAACAGTTTACTTATTCTCCATAAGAATAACATGGGAATTTTAAATTTACAATTTTTTGGAATTTTCTCTGTAACCGTTAGGCGCACAATATCGCTTCAATATACTAAATTATTTGTTTTTTTAAGCTCTACAAAATGGTTTGGAAATAAATTGCAAAATTTTAAGTTTTTTGGGTCAAAAATGGGAAAAACCTATTTTTACCCCATAAAACCCCCCGTAAACACCCGTTCCCATGGTCCGATCATGCTGGATCGCGAACTCGTTCGAATAAACGTAGGTTTACACGTTTGTACCAAATTTCATCAAAATCGGATCATTTTTGCTTGAGTTATCGTGCTGACGGACACATATATATATATATATATATAAATATATAAATATATATATATATATATAAATATATAAATATATAAATATATAAATATATATATATATATATAAATATATAAATATATAAATATATATATATATATGAATTTGAACGGATGGTGTTTTTGGCCTCTAGGGACCTCAAAACAAAACAAAAATTGGTCCCGCGTCCAGGTCTTACCATGAGTACTACGGTAATAGCTTATTCCCTATATGGGAAATTCGCTAAAAAAGTTAAATGGTAAGTGCCTTGGATTTTTTATTTAAAAAATTATAGTCAAGTCAAAAAATTTATTTTAGCAGCCATTTTTCCAATATGGCCGCCAACTTTGATTTTTCTTATAGAACGCCCTGTATTTCATGATGTATTCTGGTAGAAAATGTAATTTTAAGACGATTTTATTCTTGTAATTTTTGTCATAAACCTTACCATTTCAAAGATAATAATGGTTTAAGTTGTGAAATTTTGAATGGTTTTAGAATAAAACAGCTGGCATGCTTGCTTAGGCCTTTATCGAAACTCTTTTCATGCAGAAATTTCAAAACTTTAACCATTATTATCTTTGAAACGGTTAGGTTTATGAAAAAAATTACAAGAATAAAATCGTCTTAAAATTACATTTTCTACCAGAATACATTATAAAATACAGGGTCTTCTATAAGAAAAATCAAAGTTGGCGGCCATATTGGAAAAATGGCGGCTAAAATAATTTTTTTGACTTGACTATAATTTTTTAAATAAAAAATCCAAGGCACTTACCATTTAACTTTTTTTGATATCTCTTATGGTTTTCGAATAAAACGGCTGGCACACTCATATCAATCACCCTGTATTTAGTTTTAGCCTCCTGATTGCATTTAAATCTATATATATAATACGTGAAGCCGTTTTTTGTCAAAGCAACTCCTCCCTTATTTGTGGAGCAATTTCAATGTTTAAGGTGTCTAATTTGTTTAAATACCTGCATTTATGCAATCAATGTTTTGCTAAATTGCAACCGGTTTCGACACACAAATTTAAACATTTTTGCTCACTCATTCTCGCATTGCATTCTGCTGTCCCCGCACCCAGCCACAGCAGGCCATCCGCAACTGCAGCGAACTTGTCAAATAGGCTTAATGTGAAAAACCTATTATCTTGTATCCAAATCAAGTACAGTAGACTCCCTCTTATCCAGACTCCTTTTAACCGGACTACACTTGGCGGAAATGGCATCTCTTTAACCGGACAATTTACGGACAATTTTTATCAGCACATTGGTTTAACCGGACTAGATCGGCAGGAAGTGGGCGGTACTGAAACGACTGTTCTCGTGGAAAAGATTTGAGACCAGTGTCTAAATACAATGCTTTCCTAAATTTAAGTCGACTATGACAGTAAACGGTCCGTTTTTACAAGTTTTTGGGGACAGCGGTTTAAGCGGAAACATTTTTATCCGGACTGGCCACGGTCCCGAGAAGTCCAGATAAGAGGGAGTCTACTGTAGTGATGTGATTCTGATTTGCTTTACCTGATGTAACCGAATGCAATGTTTTCAGGAAGATACAGATGCTTTCAAGAGCCCTATAAAAGTAGACAGGCTGACAGCTCTCAAGCAATACAAGCTGGCTTGGGTGCAGGTGGCACAATATAAGGATTCTCACAGCATTGACTACTTGGAATCTGATCCATTCATCACTGTTTGATGCCATAACACCTCCACTAGACTATAATTTATTTGGACTATCGTGTAAATAAAAATTGTAGTTCCAACGTTGACTAATCAATGCTGAAGACTAAAATTTATTTAATACATCTAAGTTTAGACATATATAAAACATACTCCCTTAGTAGATTTCTTATCCTTATGGAACAGCTGAATCCAATTTTATTGTTAGTTCTGTCTGGTGCACTGTAGAGGTCGGGTTTTGCTTACAATTTGTTTCAAGTTATTTCAGTCATTTGAAACCTCGTTTAAACAAATAAAATTATCTAATCTTATAAACAATAACTTTTCCCCTAGTTATATAACCAAACAGTAAAGCTAAAATCATGAAATTAACCCTAAAATAATAGAAAAAAATGTTGTCGACACTAGCGGTCAGTGTCACCTGACATGAACGAAACACAAAAAACAAGCTTCAAAATTTACAATGGGATGAGAAGTCTACTTGTATGGTTTCATATTGTGTTAGTTAGTGTTGGTTTAGAGTAGTTTAGTCATTATTTTACGGAATTAGTTTGTCTAGGTTTGTGTTGGCCTATATTGCTTACTTAATTTTCAAAGTATTACAGAATTTCAAAGATAGCATTGAGCATAGTGTATACAGCTTATTGCGGCTTATTGAAATAATGTCATAATAATAAACCCAGAGAAGTCAATGGACTTTTTGCTGATTTAAGTACAGTAAGCATATTTAGGATTGTATTATCATATTTTCCCTGATATTATGAACAATAAAACCACAATTAGCCTAAAACAGATTTTAACAGGTTTAAAGGTGTGATGTAATAGGTACAGACATTCTAGCACTCTACGTTCATGAACTTTAATGTACACAAGCAAGCTAAATCTTCCTAGGAATCACGATTTCCAACCACTATACTTAGAGGAGCTAGAGACCACAACCTTTCCATCCACCATACCACACAATTTATTAAGAAACCATCGTATATTGGCTGCAAAATTCCAAATTCCCTCCCACTGCACATGAAAAACCTATCAGGAAAAAAAACTTAAATAGGAACTTTGGAACTGGCTGGTAAATCAACCAGTGTACTCAATCAAGGTTTTTTCACTCTAAGAAGATTATGGAAAATCAAAGAAAATAAGTTACCTAAATAATTATTGTACAACAAGAACAATTTTTTTACTTTTTTACACTAATGTATTTCTTAAAGAAATTACTAATACAGATGTTTGTCTATATTGTCTATTGTCAGTACATTACACAGAGGTTGTTGGGCCCGAGACTACCTCAGTTACCGAGAATCTCAGGTAAGACGGAGGTCACATCGATTTTTAGGTGATATGGTGCAACATTAGGAAATCAAATACTTGCTCAACACTCTTTAATCGTCTTGAAAAACTTTAAACGTTTAAACACAGTATTATTAGAATTATTATTATGCTAAACCAATACACTACGGTATTTAAAATAAAACGGTTAGGTGGATCTTTCTGGTTTTAAAAGCATAAATTACATTTTATTTTATTTTGAGCTGAGCTTTTAACTTGACACTATCATACCAACATCAAGTGATAGGTTCGTGGGTAACATTGCACCACAGGATTGGATCAACCATTTTAGTAAATTATTAAACCCGCCACGATTATCAGCTGGGATCTGTTATGCGGAACCAATGAAACAAACGATGTTTTGGACAGAGATTTTAGTATGTTAGAGTTAAAATCAGTTCTCGCGAGATTAAAAGATAATAAAGCGCCGGGCCATGATAGGGTGCCCTACGAGTTTTATAAAAATGCTCCAGATTCACTGCTCACTAGATTATTGGGTATTTATAATAACATGTTTATCAAGTGCAGGGTAGTGGAAAGTTTTAAAAAATCTATTATATTCCCGCTGCACAAAAAGGGAGATGTAAATTCTGTTGAGAATTATAGAGGACTTTCCTTTATTGACTGTGGTGGTAAAATATTTACGAGTTTGCTGAATTCTAGACTAAATGTGTGGTTAACTCAGAATAATATATTGACAGAGTTTCAAGGGGGGTTCAGACGTGGATATTCTACCATTGATAATATATTTAGTTTATCATGTATGATTAATTTAAGTTGTGCGATTAAAAAAGGCAAGTTATTTTGTTTTTTTGTAGATTTTTCAGCAGCCTTCGACACTATAGACAGAAAGGCCTTAATTTATAAATTATTTAGTATAGGAGTCTCAACCAAATTTGTCAAGCTTCTTGAAAATCTTTACGATAGAACCAATGTTTCTGTATGGTGTAAAAACGGCATTACAAGTAGTTTTGAGTCCAAGATGGGTTTAAAAAAGGGTTGTAATCTTAGCCCTACTTTATTCTCAATATTTATAAATGATTTGCCAGAATTTTTAGAGGGCGGATGTTTATTTGGAGGTCAGAAAATAAATATCCTAATGTATGCGGATGACATAGTTTTAATAGCTCCCACGGCTGTTGTACTGCAACAAATGATTGGAAAACTTGAAATTTATTGCAATTTATGGAACCTTCAAGTTAATACTAATAAATCCAAAATTATGGTTTTTCGCAAAGGAGGTAGATTGGCAAAAAGTAATAAATGGTTCTATAAAGGCAAAGAGGTCGAGATTGTTAACTCTTACAAATATCTAGGGGTATTGTTCACGCCAATGCTAAGTTGGGAACAACATTTTAAGATGAAGTCCTCAGCTGCAAAATTAGCCATTAACGCCGCCTGGAACAAATTAATAAACAATGACAGGGTGCATCTGTCCTCAAAATTTGTGTGTTTTAACGCTGTGGTAAGATCAATATTATGTTATGGAGGCCAGGTATGGGGATACTTAGAGAGCGAAAAGATAGAATCTGTACAAAAGTTATTTATTAGGAAACTGTTTCAGTTGCCTAATAACACGCCAAATTACTCACTGTACTTGGAAACGGGTCTAGATAAATTACACATTTATTCTCTCTCAATGAATCTTAATTATATAATAAATATATTGGGGCTACCACCTGAACGTTTACCAAGATTATTAGCAGCTGAAGTGTTAAGAAAAAATGTAGATTGGTGTCGAGCGTGGAGAGCATTAGGAATCAAATATGGCGTGCAAATAGACCTGAATATACATACGATGGAGGAGGCGGGGAGTGGTAGGTTAAAGTCTCAATTAGTTAGTGTCGTAAATGCAGCAATAGATAGCTGGAGAGCTGAGTGTCTAGGCAGAGCGCGTACTTCAGCTTATCATTCTCAATACCTCGTCGTTGACTTTGACCTTGGCAACAATAGCTTCTTGGAAACTGGTTTAGACAACCGAACCATTTCTTGGATAATAAAATGTAGAGGAGAACTTATAGATCTCAACTATAAACCGTGGATTGTCGACAAAAACCACACATGTTCCTTGTGTAATTTAAACGAGAATGAATCTGCTTTACACTTTGTGGCTAGTTGCCCGGTGTTCAATGACTTGCGACTCTTGTATTTTGGTAAACAAAAAATACAATATGAGGAGTTTGTGGATTATTTGAATGGGAAGGATTGGCGGGGCCTTGGAAGTTTTTTAAAAATTGCATGGAAACGTAGATGGGAGTTAGTTAGGGAATTTAATTTTTAAAATTTTGTATTACAATATGTTTAGATTATACATATATGTGTATGTATGCATACATGTGTATGTGTATATATGTATGTATATGTGTTGCATTAAGAAGTGTTATTTTATTTTGTTTTAGTGCTTAGTATGTTGATTATGTGGAACAATTTTATTTCATTAATATTGAATGGACATTATGAGGACATTATGCCAACCCAGCAGACGGTCGTATGACCATTGTTGTATGTGCATGAATCAATTTATCGTACCCATTTCATGTAGCCTACTGTACATAATATGTATTTAATAAAGCACTTTCTATTCTATTCTATTCTATTCTATATAAATGATTTTTAATGATTTTACATGATACTTTTAACACTTTAATGACTATTTCATTTTTTTTAATTTTGATGGAAGATTTTTTTTTTTATTTGACAATAAGAATAAAAAAATACTTAATGGTTATTTTTATTTCAAGTATTCACTTTACAAAAATCAGAAATTACTTGCTATTTTAACTTTACTTTAACCTGAAACACGCTATTACAAAGTAATTATTGTTTAACGATTTAAAATAAAAAATAAATATCTAGGCCTATTATGACCTCGGATAACCTGAGGGCTGGAATAACCAGGGCTCGGATTATCGGTAGTGTTCTATACTTCCTTAACTAATAAGAAGATGAAGGGCTAAAATTATTGTTACAAACAACTTTTTTTACATACATTTAATAATAAAAAAGGGTCATATTTGTATAAATAAACAACTATGTTATAACAATTTTGTTTATGTTCCAACAGAAATTAGGCTATCACATTATGATGTATCAGCTATCAACTAAATTCTTATATCAGTTAAATATACTGTGCAACTCTTTTTTGGTATTATGAATGAGATTTCATTTTTATACATTGTTCAGTAAATCATACACAAATTATTGTTGATTTAAATTTAAATACTTTCAGTTTGATTATGGCCATTGTATAAACTAATTTTATAGAGTATTTCAATAAAAAGGTAACAATATTTGTAAGGGAATGTTTACGAGGAGATTTATATTCTAAGGGGGTGAAATCTTTCCGAATACTTAGAGAGAAAACTAAAATTAAATAAAACAAATAGTTAATGCTATACTAGATATTCTACATGGAAGTTATCCTCTTAATAGCAGTAAGCTGTGTCCAAAGAATGATGAACTTGATATAACAAATGAGCACCCACATTACATTGTTCAGTCTGTATTAAATAGTTTAAATTTAATTAAAAGTATTTTTTTATCAACTGTTACAGATAACATGAGTATCAATCAAAACTAAATTAAAAGGTGGCTTAAAACTTAAGTATATTGTGACACAATCGGTCAAGTAAAATGTGTTGAATGTTTAAGTTTTGCAAAAATGTCTTTCTTATAGTGAGTTACAGTCAAAGTAAGTGATTACTACATAATTGACTAGCAGTTTCTGACTTCTAAACTTTCACGAGAAGCTCCGTGGGTGCCCACATTTGACATCTTGCCATCTCTTGATAACACATGCTGTGATTACAGCTTTACTTTATGTTAGATGAAGTGGTAGTTTCCACTTTCCTCTAATATTATTTAACTACATGGTTGGTATTAAAGAAAGCTGGTTTGTAAATAAGGCATATTACTTACTATATTTAGTTACTACAAAATACTCTTTAAAACAACATTATATCTGTCAGTTATATACATTATTTTACAAGGTTTATTGCATCACATGGAGCACACCAGGGTACTTTCAACAATTCTAAACATTTTAGATGTACAGCTAATATACACAAAGTCAAGAGTACTTTTTACATTCAATGAGAAAATCATATTTTACAAATTTATAACAACAAACTAACTCATTTACTAAGGTGGAAAATGACCTAAGTCGGTCACTACAAATAGCGTCGATAGCACTTAATAAAAATACACCTAATCTGCACTTGAATATGTAATTCCAAAAGTGTAATATGTGTGCATTCTGGCAAAATTATATTGGTTGTATCAACTAATACTATGCTGTGGTGAATTAAAAGTTAAGGATTATATAAAGCATATCTCAAAAGTAAGTAATGTATTCAAATCATTGCTATAATTAGGGTCAGATGTGGTATCTAATGTCCCAGAGTTTTACAACACCTACAAGACATGAAAAGTTTTTATCATAAAAATAACAATACTCTTACAGAGGGATAAAACTCAATCTGTAACAAATATATCCTATATCCAACTTAAACTTGCCTTGGCAAGGTCAAATAACACAGAAAATAATGAGCACCTATGTAAAACTGAATTTAATCATTACAAACTTATAAATTAATGGTTCACTAATTAAGTTAATACTAGTAAACACGTTGCTCGAAATCGAGCAATTTCAAAGAAGTAAAGTAGTTATTTAAAAACAAATAAAAGTCATCATAATTTCCGATGAGTTTAAAAGACTTTGAAATGAAAAATAACAGCAATTAAAATATACAGCTGATCAAAATGTAAACAATCATGTTCTTCATAAGGATAACATTGGAACTTTAACAGCCACTGGGGCAGAGCCCAAGGGACTTTTTCAAAAATGTAATGGTCAGTTTGCAAATCTACGCGACACGCTCTTTCCAATGAGACGTCAATAGATAAAATCGGTTAAGAAATGGCGGAGGAGTTCAACCGACAAAGTTTCATGTAGCGTATTAATTATATAGATTGTGTAATCAGTATGCATATCTTCAAAATAAAAACATTTTTTATTTGCAATGTGACAAACTTAAAACCCAATATCCAAAAGTAAAAATGCCGCAAAAGAAGCTGTATCATATAAGATACTGTATAAGACAAAGCAATACACATTCATTCAGCCACTTGTCTTCAGCGGACTGAGATCATGTAAATATATGGTTTACTTTTGATACTTTACGTTTGATACTTTTAATCCATGGTGGTATGCAGCTTGTATAAAAACAGGAAAATTGCAGCCAAGTTTGAATTATGATGATCTACCATGTACAGTTTGGGGCAGTGTGGGGATAAATGACTCAATGCACTCACTACAGTCATACCACATGAAAATAGATGTGGTTCCAGGGGTCTGCGGGGCACTGAAATAGTAGGTACCTGGCCTTATTACCCCCATCGGTTCAGCAAAGCATTTCACTCGGAACAAATTTGGTTCGGTACATCAAATAATAATCATTACTTTCAATTCACTATCGTAGTACAAAATAGTTGTTCTTAAGTCAAACAGTAAAACTAATGAGATAAGCTAGATTACACAATGGATTTACACAATGTAAGCAAAAGTGGTTTTTGGTTACTAAGGACAAAGAAATATTAAATAATAAATACATTTATATTATTATTATGTACCTATGCTATTTCATTATATATTTTTGATATTTTAGTTTGTACATGAATTAAATCATTGTCAAACATTGTAAGACAGCGGATAAATTTAAATAAAACTGGGGATCAATTTGCAGTGATGGCAATTTATACAACACTAACTCAGTAGCCTGCCTAAAGAACTTCACTGCACAGTCTTCAGCATAGATTAAATATGCTCCTCAGGAGGGAGTGTCCCATTTTGTTATAATCCAATTACCGTATACAATGTTACAATTTTATAATCCATTGTTATCCCTTATGTTATAATTCTCTTTCTTTACATGTAATACCGCTGTATTAAATTAAAATATAATATTGTTTTCAATACTTTTTTTAATAACACGCTATAAGTTTATAACCAGAAGGTATTATTGTAGAAGTTGTGGAACATTTGCAATTAATATTACTATAGGCCTAGACTATATAGGTTTTGATGTTTGGTATTTTTCCTCTTTGACTTTACTTCATAATAGGCCTAACCTCCACTAACAAGTCTTTCATTGTCATCTGTTAAATGTGAACAGCTGGCAACTACAGTCCTTGTACTGAATGCATTGGATACGTTTTCTAATTAAACTAGGCCTAAGTTAAATTAGGTTTAATTTAAATTACACACCTAGTTTTTTTATTATTTGGAATAAAGTAACCAGTTCAGTTCTGTTAAATTATCTTGCCAAATGTTTGCTACAAACAAGTTTTAAGTTTATTCCTAAAATTTCTTAACCTTATTTTTAAACCTCTTTATAATGACTATGACTTAGTAGTAAAATAGGTAAAGCCTTTATCTTAAAAGTGTTTCTTTCTTGACACAATCCTGTTGGGAGTAAGAGGTTTGAATAATAAGTAGTACTGTAATTGTTGTTAGAAAACCAAGATTGTAGGATACTATCAATTTTCATAGTAATGTCAATGTATTAAAATTTAAAATAATGGTTTATATACAATCCTGAGAATAAAAGGGCCAAACAAATTGGTAGCATGCACCATAACGACTTTGCACCGAGAACAGAGGTACAAAATATTGTACCGTACCAACCTAAAATTTTCTGTACCGCAGACTCCTATCTATATAATTAATACGCGACATGAAACTTTGTCGGTTGAACTCCTCCGCCATTTCTTAACCGATTTTATCCATTGACGTCTCATTGGAAAGAGCGTGTCGCGTAGATTTGCAAACTGACCTTACATTTTTGAAAACGTCCCTTGGGCTCTGCCCCAGTGGCTTTGAAAGTTCCCATGTTATCCTTATTGAGAACATAATTGTTTACATTTTGATCAGCTGTATAATTTAATTGCTGTCATTTATTTTTCAATTCAATGAAACGCATTGGGTACATTTATTTACTATTTGAGATTGTGTAAACATAACCCCCAAGACGGATCATGTTAGTAGCCTATGGTTGTATCTCAAATTTGTGTATTTATCGTTGTTTTGTGTCGCTATGACGGATCGTGTTAACATGATTGTAACTTAAATGTGTGCGTTTATAGTTGTTTTGTGTAGCTATAATTTGTTTATTTGCTGTTTTTTTTTCTTTTAAATCCCTCCGACGCGACGACAACGAAACATAGACAGGAGGCGTAATCGTGATAACGACCGCAGCTACAGAACAGTGGCGCGTAATACCACACAAAACATACCATAGTAGTATGTTTTCTGTGATAATAGGCTTAACTCATCACAGTCAGCACCTGACCCTGGACAATCTCAACTATTAGGTTACAAATGCGCCCTAACACTACCCCAAAAAGACTTTTCGTTGTCAATTGGCCCTCTATCAATGACCTGTGTTGCCTGTACAGCGAGGCATTTTGAGAAGGAGAAAACCGGCTGGAATGCTTTAGGTTTATCAATAACAAAGATAAACATGGTCTGAGTTACACACCGGTAATCTTTGAGTTGACTCTTATAAACTCATTGTAAATATGACTGTTATTCGTGTTTTAAAACTCCTGTAATACTTTGCAATTGCTCGAATTCGAGCAACATGTACACTAGTACTTGATTAATCTACTGTGCAAAAGAAGGGTCGGATAATCAAAGATCACACAGTCAAGACTCTACTATATTGTCATTATAAATCAACAATGCCTACATTAAACTGGGTCAACAAAATACTATACATGTGATAAGTAAATGTACACCTTAAGGGTGGTATTGTTGGAGATGCTTTGGTTCCTTAGCTATAATATGTACAACGCAGATCGATAATTTCAGTAACTCAAATAAAAAATACCATAAAACAATATAATATTCAAAAAATACTTCTATCTAATAAATATTCACTCTAGGACATACATGCATAAGGCACACATAAATTAAACTATAAATATTCATTTTTATAGTTAAGTTAAAACATTCCTACCAGTCAAATTATGAAAACAAAAATAATATTTTAAAGACTAAATAAAATTTGGTTGGATATGAATTAAATTTAAAATGCTAAGAATTTATCCAGAAACTTTGAGACTATAACTGTAAAACCAGCTTTAACAGCATTTCACTTTATATGCATCTAGCCTTACATTACCAATACTTTTTACAAAAAATTTTATGTTTTGTATTTAACGCAATAACTTGCTTCTCTTCTGTTTTTAGTAAATGGAGTAGCAATTATGTACTCATATGAGTAGCATTTATTATTGTACTTTATTCCATTACATTTTCTATTACCAGTATTTATATGCTTCTAATTTTAAATATGAAATAATAAACATTTAAAACAACACGGCATATAATTTAAAAATAATTTGAGTTGGGTATAAGGTATAAAAATTGAGTGTGTTAAGTCTGACCTGTAAATACATTATTTTCAAACTCCATGTTCCTTTCATAGAAAATACTTTTTTACCTGAGCTAGTGCATAGTTTTATTAAAATCTTTATTGGATGTAAGTTTTAATCTGTAGGTGAATATATTGGTAAATTACATGCAGATACACCAATCAGGGTGTCTAGCGTCCCAATAAAATAAAATCCAAGGACAATTCCAGGTTTTCCAGGTTAAAAATCCAAAAATATCCAAGACAAAACTTGCCACTCAAAATAAGCCTATCCTACTTCTTTACACCTGATAGTACATTAAAAACCCTTCAGTGAATTGCATAACAATTTCTTGCGATCCCAATTGCAACCACATCAGTGATCATGTCCTTCAATCACAGCAAAATTTGTGATGATTTCTTGTGATCGTGGCAATATCTTTTGATAATTTCCCGCCATCGCAGCAACATCAGTGATGGTTTCTCGCGATATTGGTTAGGCCTATCCACGATCATATGTTGAAATAGGCCTAGCTGCAAAATTTCTGATGATTTACGGCGTTTTGAAATGTAGGTTCTAGGCGTTGTGACAACCTAAGTTTTTTGTTCCGGTCATCATGTAAAACCCTTTGATTACTTTTTACGCGGCAATAACCAAGATAATACACCAAGATCGTGAAAACATCGCGACGACACCCACTATCGTCTCCAGCATTTTTTTTCTCCTTTTTTTTGTGATCACCAATAAAGCATTTTTTGTGATCTGTAAGTTGCAATGGGAGCGAAATTCAAAATGATTTTTCATCATATTGGCAACGGTTGTGATCATTACTTGCAATCACAGAAACGCCAGAATTGCAGTAACGTTGTATTTGAATTACATGATCGCAGCAAAATCAGTGATAGTTTCTCGCAATCAAGACATAACACGTGTTGATTTCTAGTGATCATCTCCTGTGATTATCTCTACACACGTGACTTTTTTTATTTATGGTGGCAATATCTGTTATCATCTTTGAATCTGAGCAAAATTAACGATGTAAATCATCGTGTGTGTGATTGAGGCTACAGTCATGATCATTTCTTGCAATTGCAGCAACCTCCGTTATTCGTGATAGTTTCTCACAATTGCAATTTTGGGCGGATTTTTGGCTATTTTTAAAAAATTATAATTTCCCGGTTCTTTACAAAATTCCTGTTCAGTTCCTGGTTTTTGCTATTTCTACGTCCTCTGGACACTCTGCCTATGCTTTGAAAGGAATACAAATTTGCATATTAAATCATCAAACGGCCACAGACACAACTTAAGCTTACCATCAAGGAGGATGTAACGATGTAACACATGTCATAGAGATCCCATAGTAAATCTGATGCTACTTAAGAACTGTTGTTAATGTTCATGTGTGTTCAAGGCTGTGGTTAAGTTATGCCCAGATAATTTGACAATCTATCACCTTTTGAAACTTTAGTACTGTAGCAGTGTAGCATAATATAAAATAACCATTTTTGAGCTTTAAATATAATACTTTTCTTATTTTGCATATGGAGTTGGAGAAATTGTCAACGTTATGCATCATAATAATCTCAGCAAACTAGTAAATACTGTTCATATAATTATGTACTAAGAAAAAACAGAAGGTATATATTAAAACTTTAAATTAAAAACTAGTTACTTTTAAAATATTTCTAACATTCTATAGCTATAAAGCAATCTATAAAATATGTAGGTAACAGGAACTTATGTGATAAACTGATAACCAAACTACAATGTATACCTGTGTTAGAATGTCTTTTACAAGTGAGGTGATCACAGTTGTTGTTGGTGGAAAGATAGTATCAGACAGTCACCCCCACCTCTCCTAGGATGTCTGACAGACGCTGTAGATGGCGCTGAAGGTCACTCTGAGGTCGACTGCGATGGATCAGCTGCAACGCATTCATGTACTCCAGCTCCGAGAATTGAGGCCCAGTCTCTAACACCTGGTTCAGGATATCCTGCGCAAAAATTAAACTATCAGCACAACGGATCAGTTGCAACACATTTATCTACTTCAGCTCAGAGTACTGAGTCCAGTTTCGAACACCTGGTGTAGGATATCCTTAACAACAATGAAACTGTTAGTACAATGGATCAGCTGCAACACACAGGTACATGAATATGTAACTCAGCTCTGAAAATTGAGGCCAGTCTCTAACACCTGGTTTAGGATATCCTAAAGAACAATGAAACTATCAGCACAACGGATCAGCTGCAACACACTTATGTACTTCAGCCTTAGAGAACTGAGCCTAGTCTCTAAAACCTGGTTCAGAATATCCTGCAAAACAATTAAATTATCAGCACGACGGATCAGCTGCAACACATTCATGTACTCCACCTCAGAGGACCGATGCCAAGTCTCTATAACACCATGTTTAGGATATCCTAAAAAACAATGAAACTATCAGCACAACAGATCAGCTGCAACACATTCATGTACTTCACCTCAGAGGACCGAAGCCAAGTCTCTATAACACTATGTTTAGGATATCCTAAAGAACAATGTAACTATCAGCACAACAGATCAGCTGCAACACATTCATGTACTCCACCTCAGAGGACCGATGCCAAGTCTCTATAACACCATGTTTAGGATATCCTAAAGAACAATGAAACTATCAGCACAACGGATCAGCTGCAACACATTTATGCACTCCACCTCAGAGGACCGATGCCAAGTCTCTATAACACCATGTTTAGGATATCCTAAAGAACAATGTAACTATCAGCACAACAGATCAGCTGCAACACATTCATGTACTTCACCTCAGAGGACCAATGCCAAGTCTCTATAACACCATGTTTAGGATATCCTAAAGAACAATGTAACTATCAGCACAACAGATCAGCTGCAACACATTCATGTACTTCACCTCAGAGGACCGATGCCAAGTCTCTATAACACCATGTTTAGGATATCCTAAAGAACAATGAAACTATCAGCACAACAGATCAGCTGCAACACATTCATGTACTCCACCTCAGAGGACCGATGCCAAGTCTCTATAACACCATGTTTAGGATATCCTAAAGAACAATGTAACTATCAGCACAACAGATCAGCTGCAACACATTCATGTACTTCACCTCAGAGGACCGAAGCCAAGTCTCTATAACACTATGTTTAGGATATCCTAAAGAACAATGTAACTATCAGCACAACAGATCAGCTGCAACACATTCATGTACTCCACCTCAGAGGACCGATGCCAAGTCTCTATAACACCATGTTTAGGATATCCTAAAGAACAATGTAACTATCAGCACAACAGATCAGCTGCAACACATTCATGTACTTCACCTCAGAGGACCAATGCCAAGTCTCTATAACACCATCTTTAGGATATCCTAAAGAACAATGTAACTATCAGCACAACAGATCAGCTGCAACACATTCATGTACTTCACCTCAGAGGACCGATGCCAAGTCTCTATAACACCATGTTTAGGATATCCTAAAGAACAATGAAACTATCAGCACAACAGATCAGCTGCAACACATTCATGTACTCCACCTCAGAGGACCGATGCCAAGTCTCTATAACACCATGTTTAGGATATCCTAAAGAACAATGTAACTATCAGCACAACAGATCAGCTGCAACACATTCATGTACTTCACCTCAGAGGACCGAAGCCAAGTCTCTATAACACTATGTTTAGGATATCCTAAAGAACAATGTAACTATCAGCACAACAGATCAGCTGCAACACATTCATGTACTCCACCTCAGAGGACCGATGCCAAGTCTCTATAACACCATGTTTAGGATATCCTAAAGAACAATGAAACTATCAGCACAACGGATCAGCTGCAACACATTTATGCACTCCACCTCAGAGGACCGATGCCAAGTCTCTATAACACCATGTTTAGGATATCCTAAAGAACAATGTAACTATCAGCACAACAGATCAGCTGCAACACATTCATGTACTTCACCTCAGAGGACCAATGCCAAGTCTCTATAACACCATGTTTAGGATATCCTAAAGAACAATGTAACTATCAGCACAACAGATCAGCTGCAACACATTCATGTACTTCACCTCAGAGGACCGATGCCAAGTCTCTATAACACCATGTTTAGGATATCCTAAAGAACAATGAAACTATCAGCACAACAGATCAGCTGCAACACATTCATGTACTCCACCTCAGAGGACCGATGCCAAGTCTCTATAACACCATGTTTAGGATATCCTAAAGAACAATGTAACTATCAGCACAACAGATCAGCTGCAACACATTCATGTACTTCACCTCAGAGGACCGAAGCCAAGTCTCTATAACACTATGTTTAGGATATCCTAAAGAACAATGTAACTATCAGCACAACAGATCAGCTGCAACACATTCATGTACTCCACCTCAGAGGACCGATGCCAAGTCTCTATAACACCATGTTTAGGATATCCTAAAGAACAATGAAACTATCAGCACAACAGATCAGCTGCAACACATTCATGTACTCCACCTCAGAGGACCAATGCCAAGTCTCTATAACACCATGTTTAGGATATCCTAAAGAACAATGTAACTATCAGCACAACAGATCAGCTGCAACACATTCATGTACTTCACCTCAGAGGACCGAAGCCAAGTCTCTATAACACTATGTTTAGGATATCCTAAAGAACAATGTAACTATCAGCACAACAGATCAGCTGCAACACATTCATGTACTCCACCTCAGAGGACCGATGCCAAGTCTCTATAACACCATGTTTAGGATATCCTAAAGAACAATGAAACTATCAGCACAACAGATCAGCTGCAACACATTCATGTACTCCACCTCAGAGGACCGATGCCAAGTCTCTATAACACCATGTTTAGGATATCCTAAAGAACAATGAAACTATCAGCACAACAGATCAGCTGCAACACATTCATGTACTCCACCTCAGAGGACCGATGCCAAGTCTCTATAACACCATGTTTAGGATATCCTAAAGAACAATGAAACTATCAGCACAACAGATCAGCTGCAACACATTCATGTACTCCACCTCAGAGGACCGATGCCAAGTCTCTATAACACCATGTTTAGGATATCCTAAAGAACAATGAAACTATCAGCACAACAGATCAGCTGCAACACATTCATGTACTCCACCTCAGAGGACCGATGCCAAGTCTCTATAACACCATGTTTAGGATATCCTAAAGAACAATGAAACTATCAGCACAACGGATCAGCTGCAACACATTTATGCACTCCACCTCAGAGGACCGATGCCAAGTCTCTATAACACCATGTTTAGGATATCCTAAAAAACAATGAAACTATCAGCACAACAGATCAGCTGCAACACATTCATGTACTCCACCTCAGAGGACCGATGCCAAGTCTCTATAACACCATGTTTAGGATATCCTAAAGAACAATGAAACTATCAGCACAACAGATCAGCTGCAACACATTCATGTACTCCACCTCAGAGGACCGATGCCAAGTCTCTATAACACCATGTTTAGGATATCCTAAAGAACAATGAAACTATCAGCACAACGGATCAGCTGCAACACATTTATGCACTTCAGCTTAGAGAACTGAGGCCCAATCTCTAACACCTGGTTTTGGATATCCTACACAACAATGAAAGAGTTAATACAGCGGATCAGCTGCAACACATTCATGTACTCCTGCTCAGAAAACTGAGGCCCCTGTGAATTATTCTCCCAAGTGGAGGTGTTAAGGGAAAGTCTAAGAAAAACTACAATATAAACCGAATTTAAACTATAAAACAAACTACTGTATTTCTCATCATTATTACTGTATTCAGCCATGGAACTAAATTGGACTAACAAAACAGACAGCTGATAATAAATAAACATTCCCATCATCTGTATTATGAATATGACAAATAACAAAAGACAGGCATTTTCAACAAGGCCCAGTCTCTTGACACCTGGTTTATCAAAAATCTAGTGGAATTTCAATCATGTGTAATTTCTTATGATTACAGAAATAGAATAGAAGTACAGTTGACGCACGCTAATCCGGCATATGACTGACTACTGACTCTGTCAATTGCTCCATACTCCCTCAAACGCTAAATAGGATCAAAACAACATTCAAACAAATTTTTATAGGTCATTAGACTGATGCAAAGTTATTCAAAGTGCCAGACCATCAGACGCCAGCTCAATGGGTTAATACTGTGCAATATACAGAGCAGGTACAAGAAATATTTAAGCAAACGTTGTATAAACAACAAACTTATTATTTAAATGACATATTTGTAGATGTTTTGTTAATGACAGACTCACCTCTGGTGTGAGGTGGAAGAGCTGGAAGTATTGGTTAGCGTGGTCCAGGGCCACTTCTCTTGACATTGTTATGTTTGCAAGAGTCTGTTGTAGAATGAAGATGTTCCGACACATTCTGTGAATTCCATTGTCATCTATCATCTCTAAATACTGGGACGAACTCATCAGGATTTTGGCTACTAGATGACCCAACCCTTCAAAAACGTACTGTAACAAACAATTGTTGTTATTAGTCTTCCAGATATTGTATGGTTTTTCCGATACACAAAACCAAATTACTATAAGGTCTTACACACACAAGGTACAAAAATGATACAAAATTTTTTAAAGCTTTTACTTTTGCGAAATTTTATTTAAAATGGTCGTACTTGAGATAGTACAATGGGTTATAACTTTCTAGTAGTACTTAGTTACAAACAACTTATTTGAATTTCCCTGGCTGGATTGGTGATTTCCATTAAAGCAGCAAGTAGGTAGAGGTAGGTAAGTTAAATGGTAGCCAGAAAGTTTGATTAGTAACAATATGTCAATGGACAGTAGCAGGTAACAAGTTACAAATCACTAGACATATCATACTAAATGTGCTGAATGTTACTCGCAGTAATGTAAAAGTCAAGTAAGACTGGTAGGCTAGATTAGAGAATTAAATGTACTTGGTTATGTTAAAAACATTAAATAGTGTTTGGTGACCATGTGATTATCACTTTATTTGTTTACTGTACCTTAGACTTGCGAGGCTGAAGACTAGAGGTCATAGCCTCATCTACAGACGCAAGCACTCTGCTCAGTTCTATCACTCGAGGATCTGGGTCTTGAGAGCTAGAGTTGAACCTTTCACTGGCTCTAGGCAACAGGTAGTAAAAGCACTGCACTCTCACCTATCAACAAAACAGATTATCTTAGCTCATTAAATCAGTAACAATTGGTCTGAAAACTCTTCAAACTACAGACAGGTGTTGTCTTTATGTTCCAGGTACAGTGCACATGCCACTAGCACACGTTATCAGGTACCCGATCGTCCACATATAGGGTCGGAAAACTAGGATTTTATTCCTAACCCTTTTACGCTGGTAACGTTTTTCAAAATTTATCCCTGAATTCATAAAAAAATAAATAAACCAATAGAAATTCATGAAAATTCAAAGAGTATATAATAAATTTAGCATTATATTCATTTGATGAGTTTTCCACCTCCCATAAATAGAAATAGTATTTTTATTTTATGTATTTTGACACTTTTCACTGTACCACCAACGTAGATGAGTTATATGATGAATAAAGATGTTTGAATATGATATGAATAGGACAACTTAGACTGTACATTAGTGCACTAAATTACCTCAAGATGAAGTACCAACAGACAAGTGTTGGCGAGCTCCTCAAACTCATGGGCGAGGTTCTCCAGAGCAATGAGAGTTCCCTCAGGTACGGCTGGGATGTCTGCACTGCTCACTGAGATGCTGGGCACACTAGGGGACAACTGGCGAGACTGTCTACTCTGGTGGAGCTGGCTGGTGAACTGTAGGATCCTCCATGAAAACCACTCCTGTTAATCCCGACAACAATTAATTTAAGAGAAGTACTGCAAGGGTTTTGCAAAATTTTTAAACCAAATAACTACTTTAGACACTGTAAATATATTATAAAGGATACTAAACATAGTTACAAGAAATTTTATGGTTGATAACCTAACCTGTACACATTAATGGCACACAAATATAAAACAGAGCAGTCTATGGACTCCCCAAAGCAGAACAACGAGCGACGCTGCGACATTGTCGCGGACACGAAACGCCGAGAAACGCGGGCCTGCAGACACATTTACGAGCTTGACAAAATTTACTGGTTAAACGAAAAAAAAAGATCGCAAAGTAAAAGAAAAGCGGGCGCGAGTGAAAACGCTACTACACACATCACTTCGAAGAGGAGAGAACCGCGCTGCTCGACAGCCGGATGCCGTCTGCCGCTCCGCTCGGTATCTGTCTGCAGGCCACGCCCTCCTACCGCTCTCCCATTGGCCTGGCGCAGTCACCTGACAGACAGCAACCACCCTCCCTCCACCTTACAAGTGCGCACGGATGACTGAGCTATGAAGACGCACTGTACCGTATCTGGCGATAGTGTTGCGAAATAGAAAAACGCCATTACGTTGTTGATTTCGGAAGAGAAAAGGCATTCCAGCCCTATTGTGTTAACTCTGTGGTGCGTGGGTGCGTGACCTTTGTTACTGTAAAATGTATAACTAATGTTGGCATTATTTGAGTAATGGGTTTTGCGAATGAGTGAAATATACAATGTATTCTCGGCCTTCTCGTGAGCGTGTTATCTGCTCTGTTTCTTTCGAGCAAATTGTTCATAAAAATTTAAAAACTCATTTTCTGAGACATCATCTTGGTGACTCTGTAAAATTTACAAGTGCCTATAGTAAGAATATATCAAATTTTTTTCATGGATCTACCGAGAAAAAAATTAAACTTAGCGAAGATGAACCGACGTCTACTAACAGTCCAAGCACTTCTAGTAAGCCTACCTCACAAAGCGATAAAAGACAGATTGAAGGTCTACCAGTGGATTCAACGCCTACGTCATGTGGAACAAGTTTGTCTAGGCCTACCTCACAAAGCAATGAAAGACAGCTTGTAGGTCTACCACTGGATTCAACGCCTACGTCATGTGGAACAAGTTTGTCGTATAACCTGATTATGCCTACCCCTTAATAGTTTTTTAGTTTTTTGTTTTAAAAGTAGGCTATACAAGTTATTGAAATTTACTTATTTTATTTAACTATATTACTAGTAGCCCTAAAGAGTGAATATATATATATATATATACCGGTATATAAGTCATTATTTAGCTTTTTGGTTTTAGCGCTTGCGGACACATTTTGAGGTTTTCACAGGCCGTTGCAGACACGTAGGAACCATTCTGCTTTGGGGTATGGACTTAGTCTAACAGACTATTGAGGGTCAAATGTATAGGCAAAAGTGTTGAAACACAAATCAATTGAGAAAGCATAAGACAATGTGGCATAATCTGGAATTATTTTACAATAAAACTTACATTGACATGGTTACCATTTTTACAATACCTACAGACTCCTTTAAAGATAGAAGAAAATATAAATAAATTCAATCGCACACTAAACAGTTTTTTAATTCAGTTTCCTTATTATTCGATAGAAGAATTTTTTAAGCACAAAAATTTTCCCATAACATTATGTTTGGATTCCATAACATAACTAAGGAAACTTTTTTACTTATCTTCAAGGTGCTTAGAATTACATTGTTGTTTTTATTTTATGCAAGCCCTTGACTAAATAACTAACTTTCTAATGTTATTGACTTGACTCTATTCAACACATGTACTCTGTGTTTTATTGAATAAAGAACGATTTGATTTGATTAGATTTTGATTTGAAGACTAAAACCATAGCTACATTACCATGCTTTCCTGCAGCAATGCGAGGCACTTGAGTTGAGCCACATCTGATATAATTTCGTGACTATTGATACCTCCTTCACCCAAGTTACTGGCCAGTATTTCTGCCTCTTTGATGTTTCTTTGGCGCACATCTTCAGGACTTTCTTCTTCTACAGTGTCGTCTCTCTTCATTGACTTTCGAGATTGAAGTGCTTTTTGGGTTTTTAGGTTTGTCCAGTTTGGCAGAGACCTGAATAAAATAAATATTTCTATCAAACATACACCGGCTATGATGAACAATTTTGATCCCAACTTAATTCTTTGCATGGTATGTAAATACAATATAAATAAAAAATTGCTTTTTTCTCAAGGATTGTAACCACCAAAAAGTTAAGCATAATATATTAAAATTGACAAATATTTATTACAGGGTTATTAACAAATAATGGTTAATAAATACCGTAATCTATATAATTAATACGCTACCTGAAACTTTGTCGGTTGAACTCCTCCACCATTTCTACACCGATTTTATCCATTGACGTCCCATTGGAAAGAGCGTGTCGCGTAGATTTGCAAACTGGCCTTACATTTTTGAAAAAGTCCCTTGGGCTATGCCCCAGTGGCTTTGAAAGTTTCCATGTTATCCATATGGAAAACATAATTTTTTACATTTTGATCAGCTGTATTTATTTTAATTGCTGTATTTAAAATTTTTGTTTATTTTAATTTGTGTGTTTATTGTAATTGCTGTTATTTATTTTTCAATTCAATGAAAAACGCATTGAGTACATTTATTTACTATTTGAGTTTGTGTAAACATAACCCCAAGACAGATCGTGTTAGTATGGTTGTATCTCAGATATGTGTATTTATTGTTGTTTTGTGTAGCTATGACGGATCGTGTTAGCATGATTGTAACTTAAATTTGTTATTTGTTGTTTTTTTTTCTTTTAAATGCCTCCGACGCGACGACAAGGAAACAAAGACAGGAGGCGTAATCGTGATAACGACCGCAGCTCAATCTCAACTAAATGCGCCCTAACACTACCCCAAAACGACTTTTCGTTCTCAATTGGCTCTCTATCAATGACCTGTGTTGCCTGTACAGCGAAGCATTTTGAGGAGGAGAAACCGGCCGGAATGCTTTAGGTTTATCAATAACGAAGATAAACCCATGTAATACAAACTTAAGGTTTTAAGGTGGTAGAATCTCTTAAGGTTTTTGTCCATACAACATTATATGGCTATGAGTCAGGAAATGTTTGTAGTAGGGATGGTCAAGTCTCAAAATTTCGGGAAATTTTAAATCTTGTTACACGAGACAAGATTTCTTTTTGGCCAAGATTTTTATCGAGACGAGAATAAAAAAAAAATTAAAAAATTAAAAACGCCTGCAGAAAGTCAATGCAATACCCGCAATACAGGAGCGTGTTGTAGTTGCGTTTCCTTTGAGAAGGCGTTCTTATTTAATTAATTCTTTAAATGTAAATATTATTTTAATTATTTTAATAATATTACTTTAATAACATTTGAAAAGTTTTGTTAAGTGTAAGCAGTGTGAGGAATGTTTTATTACTATAAAAAGTCAAAACAAGTACCTAACTATTTTATAAAAATTAATATTGCTTTTATTTTATGATTTATTTTATTTTAGACAAGTTGAACTCTATCCTAACTGATATCACTATGTTTCCTAATCGTAGGCATTTTTAATAAGTTAGGCGTGATTAATAAAAAAATTTTATGCTGATGTTTTTTAATAAAAGATTGTAAATATTCTTGCCTATTATCATTATTTTTGTATTTAAACAGTCATCTAACAATGTTACAAAATCAGGTAAAAATTTTGAACGTGCATTTACCGTTGTGTATGAGAAGGGAAATCCCGTCTCAATCTCGTCTCGAAATTTTATGAGAAATAAAAAATCTTGTCTCGTCTCGTCTCGAACTAAAAATCCAATCTCGTCCATCCCTAGTTTGTAGAAAACATTAAAAAAACAATACCGTACCAGAGGTTATGAAATGATACAATATTTACAGGAAATGTTGATTACTGTTTTATATACATCGTGAGTATCTTCATGAGCTACACACCGGTTATCTTTGAGTTGACTCTTTTAAACACATTGTAAATAACACTATTATTTGTTTTGAAATAACTCCTGTAATACTTTGCAATTGCTCGAATTCGAGCAAAAAGTACAGTAGTGGTTATTAACACGTTTCCGTGATTTCAAACAGCTGATTGTTTCACCAATGGAAAGTGTGTGTTCATAAGTGTGTTTTGCCAAGGTTATGTTTTGTTTCACTTAGTTGAGTACCACGACGCCTGCCAACAATTGGCTACTACAAAACAGGGTGAAGCATTTTGTGTTTTAGAATTTGCTTGTACTAATGCTATTGTTAGTGTTCAGCAAAAAATTGGGACTAAATTTAGGAAGGAGGCTCCACATAGGAACTGCAAGGTTTGTTGGATGAGGCAATTCAAGACAATTGAATGTTTTGGTGTGCTGGGTAGAGTTCAGGCCGTCTTCAGACTCCGCCAGGCGCTGTGGAGAGAATTGAAGCTAAGACTGTCAAGGTTTTTGGACTCTGAACAAACTTAAGCTGGTAGAGAACTTCTCGTAATGCAGTCCACGGTTTTAAGCAAGCGTTTGAGACAAACCCCGGGACAAACTTCAGCTATTACAAGCATTGAAGCTTACTGACAACCCAAAATGCTCAGATATTTATAATAATAGCTTCGATTCTTCTTAATAATCTTTGATTTTGTTTACAGGAATGGTACTCAACTAAGCAACTGAGAGAAAACATAACTTTATCAAAACAAACTTACAAATACGCCCTTTCCATTGGTGTAACAATCAGCTATTTGAAATCATGAAAACATACGTACCTACCATTTAGTTTTGCACCATTCTTTTTTAATAACCCTATATTTATTCAACATCGGCTTTTCTAACATGAAACACATAAACAATAGGCTACACTCGATACAATGGGATATTTGTACATTTACTATTCAAAGTCAATTATATTATGACAATTTGCAACTAGTGCTGTTTTCTTGGGTTCACATAAGTTTTTTTATGTTTCACCTGATAACTAGCACCACAATTAGAGCTAAAATAACTAAACATGTTCAAATTCATTATCAAGTGAGTATTATCTGGCAGTGCTTACTCAAAAGAGCTAATGATTACTACAAACGGCACTTTTTTAATCGCTAATAGGCCTAGTAAAATTAGTGCTAATATTTGTATCGTCTGAGCCATTACGACTATGAAATCTCAAAGAGTCAATACATACTTGAGGAAGCGGCTGATGTCTTCATCATTGAGCCAGGCGGCACTGCAGACTCTCTTGTCCTCAGGGTGAGGCTGTACAATGCCTCTGTATGCTGCCTGGCATGTCTCTCTGTAGCCATGGATCACATTTACTGTCACTCCCAGCAGTGCACCTGCGTGCCACGGCAGTGCCTCCATCAGTGCCTTCATCTCCTGCATGCCTTCCTCTACCAGCATCGTGCTCTGTCATCACAACATAATGTTACACTATGGGGTACAATGCCTCTGTATGCTGCCTGGCATGTCTCTCTGTAGCCATGGATCACATTTACTGTCACTCCCAGCAGTGCACCTGCGTGCCACGGCAGTGCCTCCATCAGTGCCTTCATCTCCTGCATGCCTTCCTCTACCAGCATCGTGCTCTGTCATCACAACATAATGTTACACTATGGGGTACAATGCCTCTGTATGCTGTCTGGCATGTCTCTCTGTTGTCATGGATCACATTTACTGTCACTCCCAGCAGTGCACCTGCGTGCCACGGCAGTGCCTCCATCAGTGCCTTCATCTCCTGCATGCCTTCCTCTACCAGCATCGTGCTCTGTCATCACAACATAATGTTACACTATGGGGTACAATGCCTCTGTATGCTGTCTGGCATGTCTCTCTGTTGTCATGGAATACATTGGCTGGCACTCCCAGCAGTGCATAAAGTATTAGAAGATAAAGAATTTCAGTGGCATAGGCTATATCTTTGACTATTAATAGAACTTCAGTATCCAATAGTCAATGGCTATATTGAAAAGCCTTATTTACCTAATTGAGAAGGATGGAGAATTATGCACAACCAAGAGTGCACAAATAAGAGACATGTACCATTCACCAGACATAATAGGAGAAGCAAAGAGCAGAAGACTAAGGTGGGCTGGCCTAGGAGGGAAGATGGCAGACTAATTGAAGAAGTTTGGAGACAAACCCAGCATGAAAAAGACCCCGAGGAAGGCCCAAGATCATTATGGGTTAGTCTCTGGATCGAAAATTGCAATATAATATGGTTTACGTTACCTTTTGCGTAAAACGATCCTTTATGTAGTTAAAATTAGTGATGGGCGGATCCAAGAAAATGTCGGTACCGGATCCGGATCTTGAAAAAATCGGATCCGGATCCTCGGATCCAGATCTTCAGATCCAAATACAAATACATTTTTTTCTTTTTTCAAGGGTGAGTTTTTTAAGTAAAATAATTCATATGGCTAGGCAATGTCAAAGACTAACTGTGTCCATATAAAAAAACACTTAATATGTGTCGTTATTGAAAACAAAGTCATCACAATTCTACGTTGCGCAATGATTATCTGATTATAGATCGATACGAAAGAGACAAACTACCACCTATCGCGTTGTCTTTCTAACACAGCTATTCGTATCGTAATCTACAACGCAGTGCGAGTGCCTGATTATCTAGTCGCTATGACGACACACGGTTGCCGTGACAACCTACAGTGCGCACTGAGTACTGCGCCTTGTGTGGGAGGGAAGATTATACCAACAAACTATTTCAGGAATTCCATTTTGGGATGGATGAAAGATAAGTAAGAAACAAAAAGTGGTCACGTTTGTAAAATGTAGTGGGCGAGACAATAAGGCTATAAAGAGTATTGTCGCGTCGTTGTTCCTTGTTTGTTTACTTTTTCAGATTCCCTATCAAACGCCCCTATCTGCTATCTCTCTCTCTCTCCCCTCTCTCTCTCTAAAGATGTACTGATTAAACAGATTGAGGTTCACGACTTTTCTACTTCCCTGCGGTTATTTTAGTTCAATCAATCCCACAACCTTTCTATTGCTTATCAAAATAATTAATTAATCTGTTTTGTATTTTATTTCCTTTAAACCAACCCCTATTTACCATCTGTATTTTATTATTTTATAGAATAAAATGTTTGTTTATAAAGTTTAACTGGCCACACAATTTTGTACCTATTTTATTTTGTATAAAGTAACAGTTACTTTGATGATTATATATATCAATAAGTGCTGCGTGCTGTAATGAATGCTTTTTATTCTCAAAATAAGTAATGAATTATTAATTTTTGATAATACGTGGTTCATTGAATACCATAATGTCATGTAGTTTCCTATTTGTAACTTACAAATAATAATAATTGATAGTTAATTCTGGAAAATGAAAAATAGTGAATGCATTCATAACCCTGTTGTCAAAACAGCAACGCGGGTGTAAGTTTATTGTTTCAGAGGCTAGGGTATTTCAAGGACAAAGTGCTGGGCCTCCTGGCTCAGGGGGGGAGGGGTGGTGGTGAGACTGAGAGAGAAGAGGGGGAGGAAACTGGTTTTGGCTATTTATTGAATAGTTCACCAACCCTTCTAGACAACAAAATTGAGTGACAGTGACAGTGTTAAATCGCTGTTCTGTATTTCATTTCTTGTTTACTTTGTGTGTTATTCTATTAATTTTAGTGTTTTGGTCTATTCCCTCCTAGTCTCTTGCAAATTGTATTATCAATGCTAAATAATTGTGGTAAATTCAAATTATATTTTTGATTATTCAAATCTCCTACACAAAAAGATAAAAGTCAAACCAAGCAAAGAAAAAACCGGCTATTGTATCCCTGTACCCAGCCAATTGGGAAGTGTGAACGTCGTCTAAATATAGCTCAAAGGCTCACCCTCCCCCCCCCCCCCCCCCCAACCCCCTACTCAATGTTGCTCAAGGTTATTGCACAACTCCTCCCTCCCTTCTATTGTTTTGCCTTTATAGTGTTTCTATTCTGATTTTATAAACATAAATTTATTGCTTACAACAGTTCAGTAGTGGAATTTTCTATTGTGAAACAGTAGGCCTACTTTAAAACAAAATCACTACCGATCATGTCATTCTATTCTGTGTCAAGTCAGTATACCATTGCCAGTCAGTCGCCTGCGACTGCTTTGAGTTGACCTATTCTGTCGTGACAGCACTGACAGCTATAAAAATAGGTTAGGGCAACTACCTCTTGCTTATTTCTATATTTGTATTACTGTAGAATCTACAGTAATACAAATTATTCATCATTTTATGTAAACACAAGTTACATTTCAACAAATATTGATTATTTACAATTTCAAACCAAACTGGCGAGTTCAAAGATAAGCTCGAATTTCAAGGCCGTACTCTACTGGAACTCGAAATCTCAAATACTCGCCCGTTTTGTGTTAATAGTATAAAAAAAATCGGATCCATTAAAACCGGATCCAGCCCAAGATCCGATTTTTTGTTGATCCGATCGGGTGTCGGTTCTAGCTCAGATCCGGTGGATTCGGTAGTCCGATATCCGGATCTGACCATCACTAATTCATATATATATATATATATATATACATATATACTAATTAGTGATGGTCAGATCCGGATATCGGACTACCGGATCCGCCGTATCCGAGCTAGAACCGGCACCGGATCGGATCCAAAAAATTCTGGATCTTGGGCTGGATCCGGTTTTGATGGATCCGATTTTTTCCAATTTTTTCCCGATTTTTTTCCTAACACAAAGCTGTCTGTAGCCTATCACTGTACAACCCCGATTAACCAACACAAAGCAGTCTGTATTCAATTCAATTCAATTCAATTCAAACAATTTGATTCATGCAATTTTTTAATTAAATACATAATCCCATGTGCCATGCAAAGCACGCGCGGGATGAAAAACACATTTTTATTACTGTAATACATTTCATTTTCTGGCAGCAAACAGTTCATTTTTTTCTTCTTTGTCACTTTACAGAACAGTGAGTAGACATTTCCTATTGCAACAGTTTTAATCATATAAATAACACTTATGTTATAAATAAACAATTTAGAATAATTTAATAAGAACACGGTTTTTAGAAAGACAATAATTCTACATGCAAATATAAATAGTTATTTATCTAAAACAATGCTAAAAATAAGTTACAGATTATTTATGCTATATTATGATTGATAGAAAACAACAAAGCTTTTGACTTTATCACAGACCTTTTATCATTATAAACTTCATTACCGAACATTTTTACAAATGCATTAAAAAATTTTGGACCAAGACAACAAAACTGATGCCTACTAGTTTCCTTTTTAAAAAAGCTTTCTGCTAGCAAGTAATATTGTGCTGATCGAGATATTCTATTGACAGGTTTCATATTAAACATGTACGGATATTTAAAAACAAACATAATCAAACAGTATACGTGCAATTGATTGAAGGTTAAAAGCTTTTCTTGTTCAAAAAGATAACTAACTCTATCATATTTTTTTAATCCAAAAACTGTCTTCAGTGCATGTCTTTGGTTCGTGATGACAGGTTGTAATATGGTAGGATAAGTACCGCCATAATGTACTATTCCATATCTCATCACACTTTCAAACCAGGAGATGTATACCTTTTTTAAATGCTCACTCCTAATGTTGTCTCTTAAGTGATATAAAGCATAATTTTTTTTCCTTAATTTAATTGAAAGTTGTTTTACATGCTGCTCCCACTTTAAATGATGGTCAACAAACAATCCTAGATATTTAACATAGTCTACTACTTCAATACAACTGCAAGAACAATTATACAAACAAGAGTGTTTATGGCACAATAAATTAAATTCATTTTGTAAATTTTCTCGAGATTGATTATAATCAAAGAAAAATAAACATTTAGACTTTAAGGAGTTTATTAACAATCTGTTTTCAATTAGCCAATTTGATATCTTGTCTAAGTCTTTTCTTATTTTTAGTTTCAGCGACTCTTTATTGAAAGCTGAGCACACAAGAGCTGTGTCATCAGCATAGGCAAATATTTTTGAATATAAATCAAGCTCCAGCAAGTCGTTTATATATATCAAAAAAATAATGGGGCCCAAAACCCCTCCTTGAGGGGTGCCAAATTGCAAAATCAAGCACTTCACTCAAAACATTATTAACTTTCACAGCCTGCTTTCTTCCTTTACAAAAAGATTGCAACCACTCTAAAGCTCTACCACCTATGCCATATTTTCTAAATTTTGAAAACAGCACATTGTGATCCAAAACATCGAATGCTTTTTGAAAATCTAAATACAAAGACAATGTATATTTACGTTTGTCAATGGCATCAGTGATGGTAAGCAAGATCAGTGCCTTTACCTGGCAAAAACCCATACTGATTTTGAGAGAAAAGAGATCTACTAGAAAAATATTCCATGAGCCTCTTTTTAACCAAAGTCTCAAAAACTTTAGCTACAGTACTTATAACGGAGATAGGCCTGTATGATGAAATTTTAGATAAACTTCCAGACTTATGAATCGGTACTACCGATGCTATCTTAAACCTGTCTGGGTAGACACCTTGATCCAAGGAAATTCTAATTATTTTACATAACAATGGGGTGAATACATCTAAGTTATCCTTAATTATAAAAATATTAATACCATCTATCCCAGCACTAGCCTTATTTTTTAAAGATTTAACTATATCTACAATGTCTGACTCAATAAATACAAAATCTCTAATAAAAATATCATAAGTACTATAATCTTCCACAAACATATCACAGCCAAAGTTCTCATGCTTTAATTCAGGTACAATTTGTGTAAAATATTCATTAAATTTATTTGCAATAACTTTCTCACTGCCACTACATTCAATAAGGACATCATCTATCTCAAAACTAGATAAATTACTTTTATTACTTCTAATTATTTTTTTTTATAACACTCCAATAAACCTTTGAATTCCCATTAGACCTCTCGGTATGTATCACTGTACAATACCGATTTGTTTACTAACACAAAGCTTTCTGTATCCATGTACAAGACCGTTTTTTCCCCGAGTGTTTGTCTCTTGATGTAAATAACTTATATGGCAAGGCCATGTCTCGATGTTTGTATCTAGATGCATATAACTTGTATGGCAAGGCCATGTCTCAGTGTTTGTCTCAAGATGCAAATAACTTATATGGCAAGGCCATGTCTCAGTGTTTGTCTCGAGATGCAAATAACTTATATGGCAATGCCATGCCTCAGTGTTTGTCTCTTTGCAAATAACTTATATGGCAAGGCCATGTCTCAGGGTTTGTCTCTTGATGCTATTAACTTATATGGCAAGGCCATGTCTCAGTGTTTGTCTCTTGGTGCAAATAACTTATATGGCAAGGCCATGTCTCAGTGTTTGTCTCGAGATGCAAATAACATATATGGCAATGGCATGTATCTTTCCGAACCGAATCCGACCCGATTTTCGGATATCTGCACACCTCTAGTTTTTGGTTTTGTACCTAGCTATCAGTACTATGGGCCTGGAACGAATTTAAGGAAGAGATTAACAAGAGGTGATCCAGGCATAAATAAACTGGATGCTGCATGCAAAAACCACGATATAGAATAGAATAGAATAGAAAAGTGCTGTATTGAATACATACTATGTACAGTAGGCTACATGAAATGGGTGCGATAATTTATACATGCACATACAACAATGGTCATACGACCGTCTGCTGGGTTGGCAAAAACCACGATATAGTATACTGAAGATCGAACTATTGTAAAATATACATATACACAGAATTATGATTTTGTTAGTGTCCCCAAAAAATGAGGGATTATGGGCTCAACTGTAGATTACTCTATATTTAAGATATATTAACCTTTAAACATAACCAATATTATTTTAAACCGTATGATTTAAATTGGCATTTTAATAATTACATTTTTTTACCCGCCCTTATGACAGTGTGTATCTGGATCCGGATCCAAAGATCCGGATCCGAATTTTTCAAGATCCGGATCCGGATCCGGTACTGACATTTTCTTGGATCCGCCCATCACTAATATGAATTTGAACGGAGGGTGTTTTTGGCCTCTGGGGACCTCAAAATGAAAAAGTAAATCGGTCCTGGTTCTAGGTCTTACCATGAGACCTACGGTAATAGCTTATTCCCTATATGGGAAATTCGCTAAAAGCAAGTTCAGAAAGAAGTTTTGAATTTCAACATACATGTAGTAGTGGTCGAGGTAGTTCTAATTCTGCAGCCTTTTCTGGCGTGATGGGTGTCTTCCAAGCCTCTTGGCATTTTGTTGCAGATTCCACCCTTGCAGCCATCTTGACATGCTGTCTTCGCACAAAAGTGTCCTTAATGTAGTCAGAAATGAAGGCATTCAAAGTGCATGGATTACTGTAAAAAAATAATGTTATGTTATAATTACAGCTTATTTTAACACTAGCTGTACCCGCGGGCTTTGCCCCGTTTAACTTAATAAGTGAGCTCGTTCGCATGGCTCAATCACGTCCTGGTTGAAGTTTGTTCGCTGCGCTCACTCTTGCCTTCAGGTTAGCTCGTTCGCTACGCTAACTCGCCACCAGGTTGAAGTTCGTTCGCTACGCTCACTCACCTTTTAGTTGCAAATTAGCTGTTGTCATAAATGTAAAAAAAATAATAGTGCTGCACCCTGTTGGTAATCCTTGTAACTTTAATGCTATTGAACATCATAGAACAGAACCAACTTGTTTAATTGAAACAGCTGTGAAGATTCATTAATTCCATTTAAATATACTCATAAGGTTAACATGGGAAACTCCAGAGCCACTGGGGCGGAGCCCAGAGGTCGGAGGGTAAAATCCTTTCTTAGTGAGCGTCTACTACCCAAAAGGAAGATGCCTGCCAAGTTTCAGGTTCCTAGGTCTTATGGTTTCCGAGATTTCGTGATGAGTGAGTGAATGAGTCAGTGGTATTTGAGCTTTTATATATATAGATGAAAAAAAAATAATAGTGCTGCACCCTGTTGGTAAATCTTATAACTTTTTAATGCTTTTGCATATCATAGAACCAACTCTTTAAGTTGAAACAGCTGGCTAAGTTTCTTTAATTTCCTTTAAATATGAATACTCATAAGGTTAACATGGGAAACTGCAGAGCCACTGGGGCGGAGCCCGAAAAGGGTGTTTGAAATAAGAATGCCTATATGTTAATCGGGAATGTGAGCTATCATCATGCCAAATTTCAGCCCTATCCGACCAGTATTTTTCGCGTTTACTTGTCACAAACATACATCCATACATCCAAACTTTCTCATTTATAATATTAGTAGGATAACAATACCTCCTGCCGCATCAATCTTGCAGACTAAGTAACATTCCCTTAAAATGTCACATTTATTTCAACTTAAAATGCATTAATTTTAATGAGAACTTAGGTTTGTTGCTACAGGGAAGATAAAATACCCACGCTGCAGCAAACCTGCAGACTTAGCGAATTTCCATTTTAGTGATGGTCAAAACCAAAATTTCGAATCTCAAAACTGAAACCGAAACTTTAAAAAATCGAATCCCGAATCTCGAATCTCAAAACCTAAACGCGAAACTTTTTTACTTAGCTGGTTACAAAGGTCAAGGTTACAAAAAAATACACATAATCATAAAATGTTAAGTATGCGATCAAAACTGAAAGAGATCGACTCCTGACCGTGACATAACATAAATATGTGAATGTGACTGATAATCTTAAAACCCAATACAACATAATTTTTCATAAACAACCAACAAAAACAAATAAAATAAACTTCTAACACCAACATAAACATGAATACCTATTAGATTAATTAGAACATTTAGTGGTCAATATTTCTTTGTGTTTAGTAAATATTTATGTGAAACTGAATTGTACCAGTTATGATATTTAAGATACCTTTAGAAGTTCAGAATAAAATTTACTTGTTTAATTACTGTTAATGGTGATGTTTGCTCTGTTGCTACCAGCTTGTTTGGAAACAGCGTTGAAAACAATAACAATGGCACCAAAAAAATTCAGCAGTTTCAAAAATAAAACTGCCAAAATCTTCAATTTCCAAACTTTTGAATCTCAAAACTTGGTGATCGAATCTCGAAACCAAAACTTTTCCCAAGTTTTGATAGTTTTGAAATTTTAGATTCGGTTTTGACACATCACTATTCCATTTGCCTGATTGGATTCACACTAAAATGTCTCCTTAAAAATATCACATTTATTCACTATTTAAATATTATTAGTTTTACGAGTGGAGTACTTAGGTTTGCTGCAACAGGGAGGGTAAAAAAGTGTTTTTTGTTGTAAAATGTTAATACTGTAGTTTAGTGAAATGAATGTATTTTCCAAATGTGATCAAAATATATTCATAAACAAGCAAACTACAACAGTTGACTTATTCTCCATAAGAATAACATGGGAATTTTCATTTACAATTTTTTGGAATTTTCTCTGTAACCATTAGGCGCATAAGAACGCTTCAATGTACTAGGCCTAAATTATTTGTTTTTTTAAGCTCTACAAAATGGTTTGAAAATAAATTGTGAAATTTTGTGTTTTTAGGGTCAAAAATGGGAAAATGTATTTTTACCCCATAAAACCCCGTGTCCATAGTCCAATCATGCTGGTTCACAAACTCGTTCGAATAAATGTAGGATTACACGTTTGTACCAAATTTCATCAAAATCGGATCGTTGTTGCTCGAGTAATCGTGCTATCGTACATATATATGTGTGTGTGTGTGTGTGTGTGAATTTGAATGGATGGTGTTTTTGGCCTCTAGCCCTCCAACTGTCCATAGTAATGGTATTAATGTCGGCCCATTTATTGCGCAATTGCAGGGTTTTATTAAAATGTATCTTAGAAACTTAAAAACAATGCAAAGTATACTGTTTTATATATAATTTTGTTTGGGAAATTATGGGCTTCAATATAAAACATTACAAAAAAAATTTCTACAATTTTTGTGGGGTTAACATTTCTCAAAAATTATAAAATAAATGAAAAAAATTTATGTTTGCGCTCAATAAATTTTTATAAATTATAAGTCTACAAATATTTTAAAATAGCCACTTTTTTCTAAATTTTATAAGGATTACAAAAATATAATAATATAAGGAAGTAAATTTGCAAATAAATAAGTTTTATTGAAAAACAGATTTCGTACATTTAGCGTTTAGCTAAGAATGCACAGCTTAACTATAGCAAGGAATCTGGTGGATAATTTACATCAATATCACTACCTACTTCTTCAGGATCATCAACCAGCCCTTCAAAATCACATAAATCTTCTTATAATGCACCACGTATATCACTACTTTTTATTTTTAACACTAAAACAATGATAAACGTAATAAAACACATCAGTCATCGGTGCGAGGTTAACCAAGTTGTTTACAAATACGCACATCAACTGTCTGCTACAATATTTTCGGAACTAAAATGAAATGCGTCTAGAAAAAGACATCAGGAGAAAGCTTAGAATATGCTGAAAACAATGATACCAATCTCGATCCAGTTCAATCTGATTCAGTCAGTCCCAGAGCCTTCGCCGTAAACGATGTTTGTGTGTCGCAAAAGCGACGCATAACACCACGGCGGGTGTGTTGTGTGTCGATTACGCGACGCTTAACACTCAGAGGGCTAGGGACTTCAAAACAAAAAAGTAGATCGGTCCAGGGTCCAGGTCTTACCATGAGTACTACGGTAATAGCTAATTTCCTATATGGGAAATTCGCTAAAAGGTACGCGTGTTTTATTAAAATTTTGATAGCTTAATATGAAATAAACAAATTTACCAAATCCAATTAAAATATTGATAAAAGTTTTGTTGTACATTGTTAGTTTTATAATTTGTTTCTTAAATCCTAGTAATTATATTGTAATTTATTGTATTACTTGTAGAGAAATAAAGATTTATTATTATTACTGCTCTAATAACAAAAAAATATATATAAGCCTACATTATATTCGTATGTATGTACAGTTGAACCTCTATAAGACGAATTTCAAGGGGTACGGGAAAAATTCGTATTATAGAGGTATTCTTAATAAAGAGGGTCGTTTTATCGAGGTTTAATGCTGTTGTTATTCTTCTTATAGAGGTTTCTCCTCGCTCCAAGGTTTTTCCAAACAATGACTGAGGAAGGAGGAGGAATGGGTGGGGGTTTCATGTTGAGACATGCTTCTGTTTGTTTTGAAAACTACGTACTATGGAGGTTAAGATTTTGATAAATTCGTCTTATAGAGGTCACGTTCGTCTTGTAGAGGTTTTGTGCTAAGAATATTCGTTGTATAGAGGTTAATCAGTCCTAGCCCATGTCACAAACAAATTCGTATTATGGAGGTTTTTAACTTAATTACTACGTTGTATAGAGGTGTTTTTAGCATTGACCTATATGAAAGTGTCAAGGGGATTAAAAAAAATCGTCTTATCGAGGAATTCGTTTTATCGAGGTTCGTACAAACGAGGTTCAACTGTATCTACATAGGTACGTGCAACACTGTACCCTGTTTAGTTGATAAATTATCTTTTATTACCTTTTATTGTCTCAAACTTCTCTCATTCATTTGTCTTCTTAATTTTGTCATAGTATTCCGATAGACAAGAATTCCAAAGACACGACCGTTTCTTCACCGCTTCGATGAAAATATCTATATCAAAGCCACTTGGATCCATCACTGGTGCACAATGAAAACAAGGCAAATATGCGAGCTGCAGCGCAATGACCATCTACATGAACGCTGTACTGGCTAAATCTAGTCTCTGGCTAGCCGCGGTAAGTCGCAACACTTGGCTAGGAAGCGGCCCTGGCGATGGCTTGGGACACCAAAACCAGTTGCCGTGGCTGTACGCTCGTGTGAACAGCTCCATTTGATCCTGAGGTACGCTACATAGTCCCGTCAACCTAGTCACAGCCTAGTCAGCTAGATGTGTCGCTCGTGTGAACAAGGCCTTAGACTTAACGTAGATTGCACAATACAGCTGATTGATATCAATTTATTCTGAAGAAATCTAACAAAAATGACTTAGTAAAACTGGATGGAAAAGAAAGTATAGTAATTCAAACACTGAATATAATAGAGTTACTGTTCAACTCAGTAAAATGTTGAAGCTCTGCATTGCATTCTTGATTTTAAGCTGCTTTATTTAGTTTATGCTACAGACAGCTGGAAGTGATGGAATCAAAACCAACTAATAAAATAATGCAAAAAACTCCAGCAAATTAGATTTTTTAAACTAGCAGATAAAATTCTTCAATACCTCAGCTGTCTTGAGAGTTGGTTATAAGTTTCCCAGATCACTACTATCTACTACATTAAAATAATAAGACTATATAGATTTAACATACCCTGATGAGCATCCCATAACTTGCTCTATCTCTTCCAGGAACTTACTAAGAGGGATGAAGATCAAAGTGATATTGTTGGGGTCTGGTTGACACACAAGTACCTTCTCTCTTTGTGAGGTATCTCCCAGCCTCTGAGCAACAACAAATGTCACACAAGGATGTCATTGAAAGATCATAATGTCCAAGTCAACTAATCATCAATCTAAATTACTAGTTAGGTCAACTTTTCAAGAGGTCTTGTTCTTCTTAACTTCTCAGCTTTTTTTTTAAAATAATCAAAATATTTGTTTAAGGATAAATATTGTAAAATTGGTGTAAATACCTGCTTCTTGTAATCCAAATTGTTGCTGTTATAACGCAACTAGTTTCGACTTATCACGAAGTCATCTTCGGGCGTCCAGAGGATGTCAATTCACTTCATCAGAAGGTCGTCAATACACACATACGTTCACACACGAACATGGTCACGGTTACGAACAAAAACACAGACACGAACATTGAAACGAAAAAAGTACGATTTAACGAGTAAAAGCTAAAAGTGGTAACACCGGTGAGGATTATGCGTCACGGCCGGATGGATGTAGCGTCTGGACGCCCGAAGATGACTTCGTGATAAGTCGAAACTAGTTGCGTTATAACAGCAACAATTTGGATTTCAAGAAGCAGGTATTTACACCAATTTTATATTCAACGTAATCCGGAGGCTAACATCAACAATGAAAATAAATATTGTATTTCATTTGATTTTTAACAAGCAATCTTGAATGCTATAGTAAATTGGGTATTGTCCTCATATTCATATGAAGAAAAATCAAGTAAAATGTTATACTTAATTTAATGTCCTTCATCTTATTGTTTCTTTTAAGAATATTGGCCTGTGTTTTGTGCTCTCGATACCACCATTTGTTAGAAATTGGTATCGGTATCGAGAATCAACCGCCAAGAGTCTATACCAATACCGATAAGATATCTGACACGTCTGATGTTTTCCGATAATGTTAACATGATTTCCAGAGAAGTTCAATATTGTACCATGATCTTAGGAGGCGATGATGTCTACAAAACCATTGGAGGTGTTCATGATTTTTCAGCGATAGCAGTAGACAATGATGTCCACACGACCGCAGGAAATATTTAGGACCTTGTTGTGGTGGCATAAGACGATGATGATAATCCCGTGACCACCGAGGATGTTCATCATGGTGCTGTGATTGCGGAACACAGTGATAAAGTCCACGCGACCGCAGTATATGTTTATGATTTTAGCACAATTGTGGAAAACAGACCGTGAGGGATATTCAGGAATTTGTTGCAGTAGCGAAAGACGATGATGATGTTCCTGTGATCACAGGTGAAGTTCAATATTGTGCTGCCATCATGGGAGACAATAATGATGTTTCTTGTTTAAATTTTAACTGAACAGTTAGAACTTTTCGTTGCTTCAAAGGCTACACACTACCCCAAAATTACTTTTGTGAGGACATAAAAACAGGGGCTGGTAGTTGATTTTTTAAATGGTATGAGTATCTAGAATGTGAATAGATTTTTCAGGTATCGGTATCGAGAATCGATAGATTGACACACCTCTAATTGCAAGATGTATTATTTTATGGCCTTGATGATTTGTTATGTTAAAATTGTTAAAAATAAAAACCACGGTAAGGATCATCAAAATGGTCATCAACACCAAGAACTGTGACGGAAATTTAAATTCTGTATGTAGATTACTGTCAGGGAATGTTACAAAATAAGTTAATTTTGTAACATTCCCTGACAGTAATCTACATACAGAATTTAAATTTCCGTCACAGTTCTTGGTGTTGATGACCATTTTGATGATCCTTACCGTGGTTTTTATTTTTATATTTGAATGTTGAAATCAAACCAACTCTTTTCAAACAACAGTGATTAGAAGGAATTTTGATTTTATGTTACCTTAAAGCCAGATAACGAAGAGGGAACATCTTTCATCAAACTTGTCATTGTTAAAGCGTGTGATGAGTTTTCAAATTTAAAAAGATGAGTTCTTCTGGATCTGTAAAAAAGAGTTTTATAAATTTATAAACTGGATTTGTTTAAGTCAGATAAGATCTATTTGAAATCTTGCATCATGTTTTATTTTATGGCTTTGCCGTACAGTCATACATTTTAAAATTTAATAAAATGTGTATTTCATTTTTAGATTATTTATTTATTTCAGCACATTTTTGTATGACCTATACAGGCCTATTCACAGTCTGCCTCGGCAGGCAATTAATTGTGTGGTTATATTCGGCATTACAAAATATGGGTAGATTGACACATTGCACCTTCACAGGAAACGCTAATATGTAATATGTAATTATGTCAAGTTTACATTATTAAATGACATGGACTTCCCAATTATTTAACCCAATGTGTTATCTAATCAATGTGTTACGATCACAATTAAAAAGTTTGATTTTCATTACAATTTCACAATTTTACTAAGTAATATTTTATTCAAAATTCAAAAAAAAAAGTTTTTTTTTATTAATATTTTTGAAGAAAATGATTCCTTGAGTAGCACAGGTATATTAAATTAGCAGAAAATGTCCGGTTAAAAAGTTAGTTGATTGTCCAAGACTTGAAGATGATACAATACAACAGTTACCTGGAAGCCTGTCTTCTTCGTGCAAAGTAGGAGGATATGTTGGAAGACTGGTCTGAGAATGCAGAGGGAACTTGGTGAGTCTCACCCATGGTGTTCTGGATGTCTAGGTAGTCAGTCAGTATTAGTTGCATCTGTATATACACATTTCTTGTCAGTCATTTAAAAATGAGCAAATTTAATACCAAGACTACTGTATTCATGCAATGTGAATAAGAACTTAAATTATAAAAACCATTGGGCAACTCAAACTAAATTAATTAGACTAAACTTATTTCTATATAATATATTAATTTAAAATTTTACAGCAAGACCATCATCGTCTCTCACAGTCCTAGCAAAACCTTGAACATCACCCTCAATTGAGGCGTAATTGCCAATTTCTGATCTCCCATCTTTGCGGATGCTTTCTGCAATCAAAGAAAAAAAACACAAAAACACAAGACACAAGCTTGGCCCCAAAACTGTTTCCAAACCAAACCAACCCCTCAGGGCTACTGTTGGTGCGAGCCAAATATCAGGGACCTGCAGCATCTGACAATTGCCTTTGAACATTAAAAAGTACACAAAAATATCATGTAAGGTTGAACAAAATTGTCTAATAAGATATTTCAACTTAAAGTATTAAACTAAACTGACATTCAATTTTAAATTTGTTTAAAGATAGAGAACTTTTTTCTAAAAATATTACAAATGATGGAGAGGTCTTTAGCTTACCACAGCCTGTATCCTGGCCCAAACATCTGGCAGATCATACAGACTGACGCTGGTCCTGTGTGTAGCAGCGGACCTTCTGATCTGCTCTAGCACCACCTGGTGAGCTGCTACGATGGCTCGGAACTGCTCCATCAAGAGAGCCAGCAGCTCTACTAGAGGAGACTGCGCCTCACTGCCAGTCAGGGACTTGGTTGTACGTTCTACCAGCCTCAGCAACTCTGTTTGCATCTCTACCTTCAGACTCTATAAAAACATAAATAAATACAACTGTAATTGAACACTTCTTATTTTGTACATAAATACTATGGTATTAGCCAGTATAAAAGTGGCAAATAATAAAGATGTGACCGTTTTATATAATAGAATGATGATGCTTAACATTCAAACATTGTTGCCACAATCTTTTCTTAACTTTTGTTAATATGTTGTAGGAAAGGTCAAACTTGTTAATAGGTTGTACGAAAGGTCAAACTTGTTAATAGGTTGTAGGAAAGGTCAAACATGTATAAAATGTGATAGCATTTCATTAATACATAGTTGTACAAACTTTTTCAGTACAAATAAAAAAGGGATGGATATATCTAACGTAATACAGCGTTTTTTAAGTGACTTGTTCAAAAATACAAAGAGGCATTTATGTTCCATGACTGAAATTACAATAGTTGAGCTGCAGCCAGTTAGGCAGGCTACCTAGGGTAAAGACAAACCTCCACAGCTTGGTTCAACTTGCCGAGAAGTCCCAGACACTCCACAAGTATTGACATGAAGTGTTCACTGTCCTCTTCTGGGTTCATAAGGTCTGTGTCTTCTGTAACTTTTGCTGGCGTAGTTTTATCCCTAAGAAAACAGAAATAGACTATAGAAATTATGGATGTGGGGGATTAGATGTTTTTTTCTCTTCAGATAAAGGGTTTTTTCTTTAGGGAAAAATAAAGTATTAGATAAATCCAGAATCTTATGAAATTTAAAAGTCGTCTTAGCAAGACAGTGTACCTTCAACAAAAATACTACAATTCACAACTAGCCTATTTAAATTTTTACAAGCATGTCTTATGTGTGACGGAACAAAAAATTGATGATAATTTGGTGACATGTGAATTATCACTTTTCTATGGCAATAACAGTTTTGTTGTAGCCTATTAATTGTAAGTTGCAACCTTTGAAAACGTCTCTGTGACACACAATATTATTTTGCGACAAACACAAAAAACTAATTACATCCCAACAAATTTTAATTATCTGATGATAAATTAAATAAATGTTCGGAACTTTAAAAACAATAGTAAATAATTCCAGATTTTTGGGACTTGAAACTTTTTTTAAGCTTGTGCAGCCTGCATTTTACAAAAAAAGAAAGCAAATACATCCATTTAGGCAGCAGAATATTGCAAAAAATAAACAACAAAACCCAAATATTGAGGTCTACTACTTTGAGGATATTATGTACTGTAGCCATAAGATTCCAAACAATAATGTAATGCTAAAAGGCTTATCAATGGCATTACTTTTTACCCACCCACCAGTGAAATTTTTTCAAACTTCATTTGTGAACTAGAAATAAACAAACACCTGCCTAGGTTTTGTATTACATGCTATATATCAGCTTACTTTACACCATTTGAAAAGTCCAGTCGCTTCTTTGATCTGAAGGACTCTCTTAAGTTGATTGCACCAGGAGTCAGTTCTCTTCTGGATCTGTCAAATGGACTTGGAGTCAATTCTCTGTCCCTTGTTGAGCCTTGCCGCAGCAGACGAGAAGTGAGGATGTCTTGGGTTGATTCCACATAGATATGTCTCGTTAGTTCTTCTAAGAGTTTGGCATATAGTTGCTGCAATTATATTTATGTTAAATATTAAGAACAGTCTAAAAATTTTTGCTTCAAACTCTGTTTGCTGCCTTACTTCCTCGATTATATTTGAGGTTAACAGGAGCAAATATTTCAAAGATTGCAATTTTAAATTGAAAATCTTAAAGAGTATAAGGGTAGAGGAAAAGATAAGGTTCACTTTAGTTGGGTTGTATCGGCTAGCGGTTATGTGAACATTATTTTATTTATTCCTTAACACGTTCTCTGCTGACCGCTAGATGCCGGGACAGCGCCAGGAGCTGAACTAGCGCTCACCGCTGCGTAACATTACTGCTGATACACTGAATTACAGTTAAAACAACAGTAGTTATACTGGATAGCAATGTTCTGCATTTGGCTTTGGACGAACGATTCTGATAGATAGCAGCACTACCCAGGTTGCAGTTGGTAAAGTAGTGTAGCTATCTAGTAGGAAAGAGGTGGGACAAAGCCCTGTTCTGGTGGTGATTTTCGGAAATTATATTTTTTATTGTCAGAAAAGTACGTCCCCACGACCTGCAAAGAAATATAGGACGCTCTTGACGAGCTGGCTGATCCATGGAAACGTTAAAAACAATAAACGGTGACGTTCCGGAACGTTTCTAGCTTCTGGCGCCGTGGCACCGCTCAAAATATCACTTTTATTTCTACTAAATATCTTATAGTTTGGCTAAATAAATATGGGGAATTACGATGTAAAATGAGGGTGGGTAATTATCGCAGATACTGTATTAGAACTGATAACGGTATGGATAATAAACATAGACAAATTAGGTCAGTAGCTTACTAGCGTGTGTACTTTTTAAATTCCTTTTTCATGTGACCAGTTCTTTTTTCAAATGAATGTTATTTTTACTAAATAGCTGTTTCAAAACAAACTATCATTGTTTTTACTTTTCTTTGTTTACTTATTGATTTAGCAATTGATGTAGTGAAATTGATAAAGGATAGTTAGTTATGGACTCATTTAATGATGTCAGGATACCAAAATTATATTATATGTACAGAATGTGAATTTTATTCTTATTGGATTCGTTTTATTTAAGGTATTTTTTATTTTGACTTAGGCCTAGTGGAAATTGTGTATAGTATGAGTAATTGTATTGTGGCGATAATAATTATAGAAGAAGTAGGTGATAGAAGGGAATGGGAGGGCAGTAACCTCTTAAGGTGTCAGTGGCGACGAAGGTAAAGTACGGTAAGTGATACAGTAGAGTCCCACAAACTCGGCGTAATGTGGACTGGAAGGGTGCCGAGTTTGTGAAATGCCGGGTTATCAGGAACTAGGGTTAAAAATAAGAACAATACAATTTTTAAGGTTTTTAACCGCCTTTTTATCAATATTTTTATTACAAGTCAGTATTAAGTCATCAGATATAGTACAGCAAATCCTTGGTATGAGTTGCAAATGATTTTACTAGAGTTGGCTTGAGTCAATTTTTAACTCGGACTGAAAAAATCACTAATTTTCTGAGCCAGGTGATGGCCGAGTTATCCAGACTGCCGGGTTATCGAGTGCCGAGTTTGCGGGACTCTACTGTAGTATGCGATGGAAGGTGGTATCGTTGACAACACACTTCTCAATTGACTAAACTCTCTCTATTGTATTTATAATCAATGTGCGAGTCGGCCGCAAATCTCACTTCAAGGCTTTTTACATCGACACAATTGCTGTTTAGTTATAAAATTATCAAATTTAAAATGTAAATTGTATAGGCCTATAATGGGATGAAAACAAATTTGGTCATGTGACAACCTGCAAGAAAATGTGTATTTATACGTGTAGTGAAAACTAGCTGTTTTGAAATATACACAGTTTTAACTGACTACTCGATTCCCATACGTAGGACGGGCTAACTCCTCGTTTCTGATAATTACTAAAAACAAAAACAGAATTAACGATTATTCCTATTTTGATCTCATACCTGTTTGCTGACTTCAAGTTGAGTGCGAAGTTCTTTTAAAGCTTCAACATCTTCTAGGGTAGATCCACCAAGGGCCAATGCTGATACAAGTATCTGTACAGTTCATTATAAATTACAATTACGGTATTTTATGATACAAACTTATTTCAAGAAACTAATAGACAAACCCGTATTCATTAGGGTTGGCAAATAGATTGATATTGTTTCTTTTTAGTAAAATTGTATCAACAAACAGCACAAAATTTAATTTTTTTTTTTCAAACATACATCTGGATACATTTAATAACATGCACCCTTAGTAAAGTGTTTAACTAGTTACTTTAAAAAAATTGTATTATGAAATGAGCTAAAATGGCTAAATTGTGTATAGGCCTACATCTGCAGTAACAGATCTTTTGTTTCTATAAAGTATAGGCCTAGAGGATACATTTTTCAGCCGTTAATATCAGGCTGGATGTTGATACTACAAAATTAAACAACGATTCATAATCGAATGACCAAATATACATGGGTGTCCAATGTCCATCAATATGGGCTTTAAAATTAATCATACTAATTATGCTAGCAGTAAACTATCGCTGAATATTTGGCCAAATGTTTCGCCGAATTTTTGGCTCAAGTTGCGACAACGAATGCTACCTCAAGTACCCACAAGCTCAGCCAGTACACGCTTGCCCATGTTCGCCGAACATGCTTGCTGGTGGTTAGATATATAACTTCCAGCACTCCCCTTTGCTCGTCTCCTTTGACTCCTGCCAAAAACCACCAAAATTTGGAGCACAGGCGAGCACAAATCATGGCCAGCGAACTTTCCTGAGAGTACACGAGCAGACCAAGTACACTATCGGGCTCGCCTATATTCGGCAATAGTGGACTGCTAGCATAATGTTATTGACTGGAACACATCTTTGTTTGCTTACATTGTCTTTTTAATAAAGTTTAAGTAAATACCTGTGTTGCATGAAGATAATGTTTTTTGCTGAGGTGAGCGGAAAGTTGTGAAGGAACTTCTTTTAGTTGGCTTCTGTAACAACAAATACTTCTTATAAACATTCATGCAGCAGTACTGAGTATCGGGGAGCGAGCTGGCGTAGTGGTTAGAGCGGGGAACTTCAGCCCCTGAGGTCCCGGGTTCGATCCCCGCCAAGTCACCAATGATTTTATCTAAGTGATAATGCCGCAACCCCTAGGTCTAGCCTGAAGTAATGTGAAAAACAATCCCAGGCTCGTGCCTAGCGTCCTAGGACAAAAAAAGTACTGAGTAGGCCTATCATATATCTAAAATAGTCAAAGGATTTTTCATGAATTGGTTGTTATGTTGATAGCGGGACAGTCTGGCAGTAGTGTCGAGGTTCACGTCCTGGTGCCGTCTGCAGAGAATAGTTTTCAGCACTGTTCATCCTTGTAAAGTACCGGCTCACAACTGACTTCAATCACAGACGAGAGAACCATGTGGCAGGTGAGAATATGCATTTCTAACACTGTTGGATCGTGTTTATACTTTATACAGTTATAACTAAGGTCTGTGTTATCTGTGCTTTACTCACATCTCCTCCAGCAGCTGCAGGGTGTGCTTGTGTTCAATACCCTCCAACCACAGCTTCTTGAGTTCATCCCTTCTACAGCTGAGGAGAGTCTTGCAAGCGAGCAGATTCTCTTTCACATTGCTGATCCTCTCACGAGAAGTGTTCACCAACAAAGATACTCTGCCGAATGTCTGTTCGGATTTATTAACATTTTAGTTACCACATAATTAGCGATGTCGTTTTTCTTGTGTAGTATAGTATCTAGGCCTACTACGTCATAACTTTGATTAAATATATATAAAGACATAGACCTATTTCAGAAGTTTACATTTTTTCTCTCTCAAAACATAATAACTTTGTATAAAACATCCCATAAAGTTTTATTACTATCAAGTGTTACTGTTAACCAATCATTGTACAGGGTGTTTTTTTTAACACCACCAAAATTACAAGCACCAAGAGACTGTGACGTCAAAACTAGCTCATAGTTTGGTATCCCTGATTTCTTTAGCCTACCCAGGGTGTCTAGTTTATTTCCATTATAAAATTCAAGACTAATTCCAGACTTTTCAAGACTAATTCCAGATTTTTCAAGACTAGTTTTTTCCAAAATTAGTGGGTGTTGATACCAAAATGTATCGATTCTCGATTCTTGATATCGATACCAATTTTTATAGCTTAACCAAATTTTCTAAATAATACTACACCAACTCTTTGTCTTTGTCATAAAGTAGTATGATAATGTGGTGTTTCAAGTAAAGAAATAATGCGGCAATACAAAATTCTAACTAGCAAATTTGGTTTTTTATCATGAAATCTTCCGCGTACCGTATGTTTAGACATCATCATTGACTGTGATTACAGAAACGTGATCGTCGTCGTCCGCGATCACGGAAGCTTCATCGTCATCTCCCGCGGACACGGAAACTTCATCGTCATCTCCCGCGGTCACGGAAACTTCATCGTCATCTCCCGCGGTCACGGAAACTTCATCGTCGTCGTCCGCGATCGGGACAAACTCATGAATATTTCCCGCGGCCGAGCAGATATCATCGTCGACTCCCGGGGTCACGGAAACGTCATCGTCATCTCCCGCGGTCACGGAAACGTCATCGTCATCTCCCGCGGTCACGGAAACGTCATCGTCATATCCCGCGGTCACGGAAACGTCATCGTCGTCGTCCGCGATCGCGGCAAAATCATGAAAATTTCCCGCGGCCGTGTAGACCCGCGGTCACGGAAACGTTATCGTCGACGTCCGCAATCATGGCAAAATCATGAACATTACCCGCGGTCGTGTAGACATCATCGTCATCTCCCGCGGTCACGGAAACTTCACCGTCGTCTCCCGCGGTCACGGAAACTTCATCGTCGTCTCCCGCGGTCACGGAAACTTCATCGTCATCTCCCGCGGTCACGGAAACTTCATCGTCATCTCCCGCGGTCACGGAAACTTCATCGTCATCTCCCGCGGTCACGGAAACTTCATCGTCATCTCCCGCGGTCACGGAAACGTAATCGTCGTCGTCCGCGATCGGGACAAACTCATGAATATTTCCCGCAGCCGAGCAGATATCATCGTCGACTCCCGCGGTCACGGAAACGTCATCGTCATCTCCCGCGGTCACGGAAACGTCATCGTCATCTCCCGCGGTCACGGAAACGTCATCGTCATATCCCGCGGTCACGGAAACGTCATCGTCGTCGTCCGCGATCGCGGCAAAATCATGAACATTTCCCGCGGCCGTGTAGACATCATCGTCGCCTCCCGCGGTCACGGAAACTTCATCGTCGTCTCCCGCGGTCACGGTAACGTTATCTTCATCTCCCGCGGTCACGGAAACGTCATCGTCATCTCCCGCGGTCACGGAAAGGTCATCGTCGTCTCCCGTGGTCACGGAAACGTCATCGTCGTCGACCGGGTTCGTGGCAAAATCATAAACATTTCCCGCGGCTGTTTAGACATCACCGTCATCTCCCACGGTCACGGAAACGTTATCGTCGACGTCCGCGATCGCGACAAAATCATGAACATTTCCCGCGGCCGTGTAGACATCATCGTCGTCTCCCGCGGTCACGGAAACTTCATCGTCATCTCCCGCGGTCACCGAAACGTCATCGTCGTCTCCCATGGTTTCGGAAACGTTATCGTCGTCGTCCACTATCGCGGCAAAATCGTGAACATTTCCCGAGGCCGTGAGGACAATCATCATTGGCTTCGCGGTTACGTAAACGGAGGACGACGATCGCGGCAAAATCATAAAAATTCCCGACTTTGAAATAAAATTTAAGACTAAATCCCGACTTTCAAGACCATTTTTAAATTCAATACTAATTCCCGACTTTCCCGATTTTCCCGACTACTAGACACCCTGCCTACCTCACTACCGATCAGCTGATATGCATTGTTGAATTGTTTATAAAGTTTTCTGGTTTTTTCTTATTGGGAGTTTATTGTAAGCTAGCTGCTGTACCCGTGCCTCCCAAGAGAGATGACACTGAAGAGAAAAATCTGATGTTAAAATCTGATGTATAAAAAAAGTTACACGTTCGTCTTTTGTTTCAGGAACAAAATTTAATTGAACATCTTAGTTTGTAAAAAATATTTTTCTTTTCTTGTTGTTTCACTTTGGCTATGCTAATTTATAAGACTACCTAGTAAGAAATAGGCTATATGAGACACTGATGCGTGTATAAAAATACTGTAACATACAATTTAATTTTCAAGATACGCTTAATGTTGGTACACAATAAGCTGTATTTCATCAATCACCTGTACACCCTCCCTTTCAAAACATCTTATACAAATTATAAAGGAGAGCTGGGCCCGGTTTTAAACGATAAAATATCAATTATCAATTAATTGAAATGGGGACAACCCCTAGAGTTGTATTTTACCGAAAATATGAGTGAAGGATGAGTGTAGAATGGAGAGATGATCTATTACTTAAAACGTTGTTAATAATCAACCCAAAGAACTTTGGATTACAATATTATGAATACATTAACAACTCAGCTACCCAGCAATTAACCTAGGCCTAGTCAGTAAAGTAATATTACCTGCATAACCTGAGCCAAATCTCCATCATGTTGGGAGATGAGTTCATCCAACTCTTTATCACACTTCTGGTAATCCTTCTCCAACTTGGCCTTTTCTCTATCTCTTTGTTCATTTGACTCGCTTGTAGACAATGTCCTAATAACTGTCATCAAGAAGTTTCCACTCTGAAACAAACAAAACGCATTTCATTACTATTTTTAGCACTGAGTTTAACTAAAACTCATCCCCTTGAATTAGAATGCCAATAAGAACATCAACTTAAAATGTTTAGACCTACTTTTTTTGCCATCCCAGTTTCAAAATTTGAATAATCTTATTATATTAGATTTATCTTTATCGTTCAGTTGTAGATATAAATAGAATGCCTGAGGCAACAACAAAACAAAGGTAAATCTAACTTAAAATGTTATGTTCCACCGGTACCTATGAAAAAACATAGCCAACTGTTTGGCTGGGTAGCTGAGTGGTTATAGAGCTTGCCTAACAATTAAAAGGTCGCCGGTTTGATCCTGAGAAAAGTCAGTAGCTTTTCGATGATTCTAAACCGGACCCAGCTGTTACTGATCATTGGGGTATAAATAAATGGTCCTAACTGATGAACCAGCTGATCTTCTTAGGCCGGGGCTACACGAGTCGGATCATCCGCACGGACGGTCCGCGTGGTCCGACAAAACATTGAATCAAATGAGAGTGGCCACACGAGGCGAAGTTAAGCCGCCTGGGCGGATTGTCCGCGTCATTTCGCGGATAGTCCGTGCGATCCTAAGCCGCGTTGGAGGGGATGACACAAGTAGTCTTATGAGAGTGGCCACACAATACGGATCGTCCGCGCGGATAGAGCTCAGCTTCGGGCATTTATAGTTATTTTTTTGAGTTTGTGTTGTATACGTTTTGGTTTGAAAGTTGGAAAATGTACCCTAGGGACACATGTGAATTTTGAGACTTTAAAAATAAGAAAAAAATACCTAGAACCTAGTTAAAATCAAATAAATGTTTGTTTCATGATGCCCCGTCCCAAAAAATATTAAAACTAAAACACATAATAATATACAGTACTACAAATACAGTATGTATCTACGAAGTAAAAGGCCAGGGATATTAAAACGTAGTTTCAAAATTTTCACTCGATTGTTTAACACAATACGGCTCTTGAATAGAATTGGTTGATAAAGCATTCATTCCTGTAACGTTGACATTGGAAAATGACGTCATGGTCACAGTCAAAATATTTTTGATTTTGATCAATAAGTTGGGGTATTCTGGTAAATATCAAAACTACTGTGTCCTAATCCAATCAACCATTCTGTAAAATCTGGGTGGTCATTTGATATCACAGTTTTTAAGTTGGGAACTTTTTCATTGTCTGTGAGTTTGCAAATCTTCAGTGTGAGTATACATCGATGAGACGTAAGTGTCAAAGATAGGCATTAATAGTTTGATGAGCGAATTTTTTGATTCGTCCGCCCGGTAGAAGCTGTTTCCTGACCACACCAGTGGCAGAAAAACTAACTTATTTCAGGGTAAAACATGGCATGAGTTAGTGTTTTGTGGATAAATGTTTTCTAGGTCCTTTGGAGCCTTCAATAAAATAAGTTAAGTAGTCTAGGTAACTATATAAAAAGAATTTTCTTCAAATTAAATGGAGAGCAGTTATCTGTATTTGACCTTATGCTCCTCTCATACAAATAGGCCTATTTAGTAAGTTTAAAAAAATCAGTTTTTACGTTGGACTGCTCCTCTTGTAGGCCTATCAGGCCTAACTTATGTTGGTTGTAAAATTTTCTTCGAGGCCTCTGGGGACCTCAAAATATGCATTATTGTAATCTCCCAAAATGTACTTGTAACTTAATGTACAGTACTTAGGCTACGGTACTGAAAAAAAAGTAAATCGGTCCCAGGACCAGGTCTTACCATGAGACCTATGCCAATAGCTAGACTATTTCCTTAAATTAGAACTTAACATGTTCACTGCTACGGACGTTCCAGAACGTCAGCCGGGCCACGGCGCCAGGAATTAGGAACGTTCCGGAACGTCACCGTTCATTGTTGTTTAACGTTTCCATGGATAAGCCAGCTCGTCACAAGCGTCCTATATTTCTTTGCAGCTTGTGGGGACGTAGGCTACTTTTCTGACAAAATCATAATTCCAAAATCATAACCGGGGTTGTTTGGAACAGGGCTATGTCCCATCTCTTTCCTGCTAGATAGCGACACTACTTTTACCGACTGCAACCTGGGTAGTGCTACTATCTATCAGAATCACTTAGTACTTTGTCCAAAGCCAGTTTTATTGCAGAACATTGCCATCCAGTATAACTACTGTTGTTTTTACTGTAATTCAGTGTATCGGCGGCAATGTCACGCAGCGGCCGAGCATTAGTTCAGCTCCTGGCGCCGACCCGGCATCTAGCAGTCAGCAGCAAACGAGTTAATGGGTTATTTGCAAAAAGTGGATCAAAGCATAGGCCTACCCAACTTAGGCCTAAGCTTTACATTTTGTAAACTGATAAGTTAATCTGGTCCCAAGGTAATATAATAGTTGAATAAATAATCTAGGCCTGGCATATGCTAGGTAGGCTAATGTCTATATTTCGTGTTTTATCAACCTCACAGGGTGAATAACACCCTAGCTAGGTTAGGCCTATTACCAGTAGGCTAGGCTAGGCCCTAACAGACACAACAACTGCTCATAAGCTTAGCCTAACTGAAAAAAATGTATGCGACAGAATTCTTATATAACTGGGCGATTAATTATTATGATATTCTTTCATAAAACCCTAGGCTAATAATATTCGTACCCTATCCAAAAAGAGGTTAAGAGTACGGCACTTACCGTTTCCTTCGGGTTTTTAACACCCCGAGGAGGTTTAGTGGGCAATGGAGCAGATGCCATTTTAAATAACGTTGATAACACACTTTGAAAAAACACAAACTTATAATCTATCACATTTTGAAGACATGTTGACGAGATATTAACAACAAGAACTCACTTCCATATTCATTTTCTACAAGATCATTCAGTGAGTGACACTGACTGACATTAGTGACATTTTAATTTTAGGGTTAGGAGGTGGTGGTGGTACAGGGGATAGGGGATAGGTGTTGGTTTTCCGCTGCGGCACACGGGAGATTTTTTAGGTGCCGTTATGACGTCACTAACCACTTGCGTCCCGGTCCACGCTGACACCGATACCGCGCTACAGCCAGGCTACAGCGAGGTGGAGTCAGGGGAACCCTAGGAGGATTAAACCCTAAGGGGAACCACACTGGGAAGTTTGTGTTTGTACTTTGTACTTTGTCACGAAATTAATAATTTTTCGCCTAATTTCAAATATGTAGGTTAACTGATACATTCATAAAATAGCTAAAAAAATAATATATCTTGTTGAAAGATTTAAACTTTAATCTTGATACTTGATAATGGTTAAGATGTAACTAAAATTTTGGTACTTTCTTGATAAAGGGAACATTCATTATTATCGATGATTTTTTCGTCCTTAACGATATTGTTCCTTAACAATATTGATGGAAAACCTTATTAATTCAGATATAGCTTATAGCTTGGACTCAAAATATATAACCTCAACAAACCAAAACCCTGTGATTACTGATTACACAACAGAGAACTCAGAACGTCAGTTAGAACCTTACAGCCCATAGATTAACTGTGATACAGAGCAAGAATTAATTAAGCTAAATTAATTAAGTTATTTGCTTTGAAAACAATTAATTTTACATTAACAGATTATCAAAATATTGAATCTTCTTGAAAAATTAATCTTTATCATTATATTAGAATCATGTAGTTCCTGTGATTGGGATACACACGATAAACTGTTGGGACATAATGATGATTTACGTTTCGTTTGGAAATATCTTAAGACCCAGACCCACCATTTAACGGTTTCAAGTTAGGGGTCAGAATTACTCTCGAAATGACGAAATACACCTTTATACTAACGTTTGAGTTTTGACCCATTTAAATTATAATTAATTAACAGCTAAATTGTATTGTAAATAATTACTTATGCAATCTGATAAGTTTACCAGGTACCAAACAGGAAAACATAATGATAGGCCAAGGAAGCAAGTTTTATTCGAGTTTTATTTATAAAATGCAGTAGCCAAAATACTATATTTTTTTATAATAAATCAGACAATGACATAATACTAAATTAATTTATTTAATCTTAAATGAACATTATTTCGTAATTAATACAACATTGACCCTAATTGACAACATGTCAGTTTATTTGTTTTGATTTAACCTAAAAAAAATTGACATGTGAACATTGAACACATGATCACATCAATACAGCCAAAAAGGTTCATCCTCAAAGCAGATATTCCAACATACCTCAACCACTGCTAGCTAAAAAATCCAACTGTATGCCTACATATTTTTGGTCGAGTTTTCGACCACTGGACGATCTCTAGTCAAGGCAAGCATGTTTCTTTAAAACTTTTTTTCTCAGCTCGTGTGAATTGCAGGGAAAATCTATGCATACTGTTAGAAATATATTTTCCTGTAAATGTGCAGAATACCTTTATAAAGAAGACTCAAAAATAAGCAAAAAAATGAATAAAAAATAAAAAAATTTAACATGGGCCGTATGGGTTGCCATGCTGGTGACGTAATATCAACGAAACATAAACAGAAAATCAAAACAAATTAAATAAATTTATACCAATCACATGTTTTATTTACAGATTGGAGTAGAGAAGTATGTACATTAAACATGTTTGGTCGAGTTTTCGACCCCTGGTATAGTTTAAATTCCAAGGTGGGGTGAGTTCTGAATATTGCTCGTTCGATTACGCTTATATTTGTAAAAGATTCCTTACTGGGTCAAGACAAGCCACGGCCGCCTTTAACTACAGGCCGCGGTCTGGTAGAATTGGCAACATCGCAAGTGGTGTTGTTCAGTGACAAACGTCCCATAAGATAACATGGCAGACAGGTGACATCAGCTCATTAATTCGCACTTCATTGATTTAATTTTTAATTTATGAACATAAACTTGTTAAAATATTGAAAATAAAACATACAGAATTGAAAATTGAAACAATATGAATTAAAATATATATCTGTACATTTTTAAGCGGAGTCAATATTGTCATAGTCCAGTAATCAATCTTTCTAGTTGCTTCCAAAAAAATCAGATGTTACAACACCACTTGCGACGTTGCCAGTTCGAAGGCCGCGGCCTGGTGTTAAAGGCGGCCGTGGACAAGCGGTTGACGCTCCTTGCTCTGTTGAGTCTTCTGCACTAATGATGACGCCATAACGGCACCTGACAAATCTCCCGTGTGCCGCACCGGTGTCAACAGTGTCGAAGAGTCAGAATCAATCAGACTCAGTCTCAGTCAGCCTGCTCCCACCTCCAACAATAGATAAAACGCAAGCCCCCCAAACACTACCAGACCAGACCTCCAGACCAGACCGTCTGGTCTGGCGTCTGGCACTTGTCTTATCGTGTGTGGGGCTGTCTGCAGACCAATTTTCTCGGACCAGACTGTCTGCGTGTCTGATGGTTGAACCCTCAGACCACAGACGGTCTGAGGTTCCCCCACCACTATTTTTGTCTGGTCTGTGAGCGTGTGGCGTTGTCTGTCAGGCCCCCCATACACGTAACGATCGGCCGGCCGGCCCGGCCTGAACAGTCCACGCCGGCCGGCCGATCGTTACGTGTATGGGGTCGTCGTCCGGCCGCCGGACGACCAAATTGGCCGGACGACGACTGATGGGATTCCCATCAGTCGTCGTCCGGCCAACCCCCGCCTTCAGGCCGATCGTTACGTGTATGGGGTCGCCGGCAGGCCGCCGGAAGGCCGACAGTACAGTAGCATTATTTTTTTTTATTTACGTTCATTTTTAAGGTCATTGACATAACCTAACTTTATTTTCTGTTCAGTCTTTGTACTAATATGGCTACGTGGACTAATCAGCATGTGCTAGCCTTTATAGAAGAATACAGAAAGCATGAATGTCGGCGGAGGGTCAAAACAAAGGCATACCACAACAGGGACTTAAAAGATCCAGCTTAAAGCAAGTTAACAAAAACGTTTTTGCCGTACGAAAACTGACTACAAACTTGCCACTAGGCGGAGAAATTTCACTCCGGCCGGCCGGCGAATCGTTGCGTGTATGGGGACCCTCCTTTCACAGGCCAAACTGTTCAGTTTGGCCTTCCGGCCCTCGCCGGCCGGCCGATCGTTACGTGTATGGGGGGCCAGACGACCGACCGTCACGACAGTATTCATCCATTTGTTGGAGTTCTCACCACGGTGTCTCATTTACGAATGTTGGAGTGTCTGGTCTGGGAGTGTGTAGAGCCGTCCAAGACGGTCTGGTTGCAGCCAGACGGTCTGGTCTGGAGGTCTGGTCTGGTAGTGTGTGGGGGGCTTATACTCCTCAAGCTCCAACCTCCTCCTTTCTGGGTCTGACTTAGGGGAGGTACGATTGAGGCATTAGTTCAAAATTCCTCCGTGAACAGCGCTGTAGTAGAGAGCATTTTGGCAATGAAGGTTTATACTAATTGCAAAAATAGTTCTGTTCATAAAATAAAATTATAAATGCCTCAAATTCAATTTATAATTTTTTTATTATAAAATTACTATCATAACCTAACCGAACTAACAAACTTGCTGATAATGAAATAATATAAAAAAAGTTTATTAATAGAACAAATAATTCTGTTCATTAAATAAAACTAAAAATTGCTCAATTAAAATTTTATAATGACTTAATAATAAAATTAAACTGTCATAACCGAACCAAACCAACCAAACTTGCTGATAATGAAAAAATCTTAGTCAATAAGTTAATTCCACCAGCGGGATTCGAACCCGGGACTCTCAGCATATCAGCCCGGCACGCTAACCACTAGACCACCGAGGCTGATGGCTGAAAACCGTATTGTTACGGTAATGGTGTTCCCTCTGCTAATGAGAAGCCCACAGCTGTCATCGTAACCTCATCTATATCTCCCCTGAGTAAATATCCTCCTTTATTCCTTTCTCTCCTCAGTCCAGTCTCCAGTCCAGTCCAGAGACGACCGATGGGCGGGGGCGACGGAGACGGACGACGACGACTACACTACAGTGACTGTGACTGTGACAGTGTGAGTGTGCGTGTGAGCGTAGCGTGTGCACTGTGCAGTGTATCGTGAACTGTGAAGTCGAAGTGTTGCTTAAAACGGTCTTGATTATTAGATTTCTCATTTATTCCTTATTGATTTTTTGGTGAGGACAATCCTTAGAGAACCTTTATATCCTTTTGAATTGTTAATTTGGTTTTAGTGTGTCTTATCTCTCTGATTTCTTTTTTTAAGAGTGGGGCGTTTTGCAACAGACGTACATTCTTACGATTTTTGGTGAGGTAGGCAAGTCAAAGTCCTTGGCCCCAAAAGCTGAGTAGGCTACAAGTTTAGTATTTTGACAGACATCTAGGTGTCGCTTTTTCACCAAAATGGAAAACGTATCTAATATAACTACTTCCCCGGATGATGGGGCTGGAGAGAAATTAATGGATGAAAAGAATGGACACAATTCAAAAGGAATTGAAGTTAAATATATGACACCAACATCGCAAAATGGAGATGCGAACATCAACATTGACAACTTGAAATCAGCATTTGCAGGAATGGGAAAAGAGGAACTAATGAAGTTTGCTAGTGATCCTTTCTGGGTTAGAACAAGATGGTTTCTTTTCATTTTGTTTTGGCTTTTATGGATTGCGATGCTGGCTGGAGCAATAGCAATTATCGTCCTTGCTCCAAAATGTGCTCCTCCAACTCCTAGAGAGTGGTGGGAACAAAGTCCCTTGTACAAAGCAAACCCATCAACATTTGCTAAAGAACCCACCAAGACACAAGGAGACCTTAAGTGTAAGTTCCTTAGCCCAGGTACTTAATTACAGAAAGTTAGAACCCCTGTTAACCGAATTCGGGTTAACCGAAACACGGGTTAACCAAAATGGTGCTATAAAATAATTTACGGCTGTAAAATGCTCTAAGTTAATAACTTCAGTTGTCTGGTTAAAAGTATTTTCTATCCCATTGTAACATTTTTGCAGCTGAAATAAACACTGAATTTATATACCGGCAGACATTCTCTTAAATTCGTTTTTCCTACACACTGATGATATACATTGTTTAACTTAGCATGATGGGTTAACCGCAAAATTGTTTATCTGAAACGGCTCTCCCCCTTCTAAGTTTATTTCGGTTAACCGGGGTTCTACTGTATTGCGATGAGGGTGACAAAGAGTACTATAGTAATAGTAATTTATATCATTAGAAACTAGATTAATTATCTGAAAACAATGGTGCAAAAATTTTTATTTTGTCACAAAAACTGAATTTTTTTAACTAAGATTTTTTGAATGTTATTTTAATATTGTATGAGGAACTTTAAGAATCTCTGTTTACTATTCTCCATAAGAATAACATGGGAATTTTTAATTTAGGCCTACAATTTTCTCCGTAACCAATAACTTAGGCCTAACCATACAAAAACACTTCAATGGTACTAAATTATTTGTTTTTTTTTTTTGGCTCTTCAAAATGGTCTAGAGAAAATTTTGGAAATATTATGTATTGAGGGTCAAAAACGATGAAACCCAATTTTTACCCCATAATAAAACCCCGTTCCCATGGTCCGATCATGCTAGTTCGCAAACTCGTTCGAAGTAACGCAGGTTTACACGTTTGTCCTAAATTTCATCGAAATCGGATCACTTTTGCTCGAGTTATTGTGCTAACGGATATATATAATAAGATATAGCTTATATTTTAATAAATAATATATAAAATAACATGAGTAGGCCTACCCTTTTTCTTTCTCTTTTATTTAATAAAATTAAATTACACAACATGTTTAGTCTATTTCGACATGTTCAAGTGTGTTCCATTAGATTACCAAATTTGGCACCTAGCTAAAAATTAGTGCTTCTCACTGACAGTAAGGTTGGAATATAAAAAATAATTTTATTGTAATTTTAACAGCCGCTAAAACCAAAAAAATTATTAAATTATGAATTAGAACATGAAAAAGTGATCTAGAATATTTTTAATTTTTTGGTCAGGAAAGTTTTGTCAGCAGCAAAGTTTGAGAGCTTGAGTTGAATCATAACATATATTTTTTGGAAAAATTAATAATGAATAAGTTAGTTTTGGAAATAAATCAGGTAGAAGAGGAAGCAAAATTTGGGCGCTGCCTTGCGACTACACTCTCACACTACTACCCTACTACGCACACAGTGATTGATGCATTCAAAATTCATTCTAATTTATACATAGGCCTATATAAAATATAAGCACAGTAACATTTGTATACGGTACATACAATTGCTACCTATTCACATTAATTTAGGCTAATTATTATTTTGTGTAATCAGTAACTAAATTATGACTAAATCGGTCCTATATTGAACAATACATTGAAGCCTGTTTACAAACTGTTAATATGGATATTAAAACAAATTTATTATGTTGGGTAAGCTTAACTTTGCTCAAACAACTACAAATCATGTACGGTATAAATGGCAATAAACCAATTAGGCCCACACATAACAATAATACATAATTTTGCACGGTAAATTACATGTTTTAACTGATAGTCAAAGATAATACTTTGAACATAAAACATTTGCCAACAAAATGCTGTTTTTACTGTCCAAAAATGGTAAACCTTTGTTAGATGGTGCCTAAATTGACTTTCATGTAGGCTAACTTAAAAACAAAAATATCCTTTTGTGTTTGTTTTACTTTGCTCAAACAACTACAAATCAAGTGTAAATAGCAATAAATGAATTACACATTACAAAAACACAGGATTTGCACTCTAATTTATTATACGATTTTGATATAAATAATAGGTATATTTATTTCATAAAATAGCTATTTCATCCGTGTTACTATTGTTTCGGGTACCGGTACTTAATGACTATCAACCACAAAATCCAAACCAGAAAGTTGACTATTGTCGGGACCACATAAGTTTGCAGTTGAGGGAGGAGCCTATTTACCATATGGTTTTGAATGAACCAATGAGAACGGTGCGGTGTTGCCAAATCTAATAATACCAGCTGATTTGAAAATATTGCTTTTATATTTTAATTAGTGTTGTCAATGGGTGATGTGGCAACGTCGCGCTAGCCTTGTCTTGTGATTGGCTGCCACCAACTGCAAACTTATGTGGTCCCGACAATAAATCATCATTGTTGCATAACTATATGAGCTTAGTTCTTCTGTTTTAAAATATAACCAATCATGAACTTTCTATGATACCCTATCGCAATTTCTCTAAAGCTTGGTCCCATATAGTATACAGGGTGGCTGAAAAGTAACTTGCACCCCCTTAACTTTTCAACCATTTGAGATATTTGAAATCGGCTTGCGGCAACCTTCTTAGATATTAGGGGCTACCTACAATAATCGTGGTCAATTTTGAAAATTATCCCCTTAGGGGTAGCGGATGTAGGGGGTAGCTCAAAATTTTCGAATGACAAGTATAGTCGAGTTTGGTATCATTTTACAGGTCTTGACGAAACATTAACATTGACATAAAGAAAACCAAAATCGGCTCACTAATAACAAAATGGCGCTCTAAAACGTTTCAAATCCAAATAACCATGAGAGTGACAAAAAAATTAACTTGCACCCTCTTTAACTTTTTAACTACCTATTTGAGATATTTGAAATCAGTTTGCGGCAACGTGTTTGGATATGAAGGGCTTCAATAATTATGGCCAGTTTTGAAAATTTTGGCCTTAGGGGTACCGTAGCGCGGGGTAGGGGGTAGCTCAAAATTTTCAAATAGCAAGTATAGTCGAGTTTGGTATAATTTTACAGGTCTTGACGAAACATAACAATTAACATAAAGAAAATATATACCGGACCATTAATAACAAAATGGTACCTAGTTCAAAATTACTTTAAATAACCATTGTCTCAATCATTTTTAGCTGCCGTTTTGTTATTAATGGTCCGATTTATATTTTCTTTATGTTATTTGTTATGTTTCGTCAAGACCTGTAAAATGATACCAAACTCGACTATACTTGCTATTTGAAAATTTTGAGCTACCCCCTACCCACGCTACCCCTAAGGGCAAAATTTTCAAAATTGACCATAACTATTGTATCCCCTAATATCTAAGAAGGTTGCCACAAACCGATTTCAAATCTCTCAAATATTAAAAAAGTTAAAGAGGGTGCACGTTGATTTTTTTCTCACCCTCATGGTTATTTGGATTGGAAATGTTTTAGGGCGCCATTTTGTTATTAGTGAGCCGATTTTGGTTTTTCTTTATGTCAATGTTAATGTTTCGTCAAGACCTGTAAAATGATACCAAACTCGACTATACTTGTCATTTGAAAATTTTGAGCTACCCCCTACATCCGCTACCCCTAAGGGGATAATTTTCAAAATTGACCATGATTATTGTAGCCCCTAATATCTAAGAAGGTTGCCACAAACCGATTTCAAATATCTCAAATGGTTAAAAAGTTAAGGGGGTGCAAGTTACTTTTCAGCCACCCTGTATATTAGTTCATAAAATAAACAAAACTACAATAATATAACAGTACTCAATCTATATCTATTAAAAATCGTGTTAAGATGCCAATGAAACAATTACACATTAAGAAAACCCATTAACCACGGTAAATTGGATATTTTACAAGTACCGTATTTTACAACATAAACACGTTCACATAAATAATTTGGAAAATAAACTACATGCTTGGTTTCCAACACTTGTTAATAATATTATAAAAATGTTATTTGTACCTTTCCTGACTCCAGTTACATGCATCAGTCTATGAATGTTCATGTCTATGAACTCGCAGAGATGCGCGGAACTAGGATGACTCATTGCTCTCCCCACTACTCATACGAGCAACGCCGATTTTCAGGTGGTTTCACTTCACTCGCCCGATGCCCTCTCTATTTCTATTCTGTGCTCTCTGGGTAATAGCTTATAGGCCTACCCTATATGGGAAATTCGCTAAAAGTATTTTTATTTATAAATTATTATGCAGTTAGTTTCTAATAGATCCTGATTATTATTTTTCAGCATTTACTTCAAAGCTTGAGTACCTTAGCAGCCTTGGAGTCAAAACCATAGTAATCTCCAATATTCTTAAAGTCTCTGATGAAAGTTCAGATGGAAATGATGAATTCAAGAATGTTGCGCCCTCTTATGGTACTCTTGCTGATCTGAAATCTCTCATCACTGCGGCCAAAGACAAGGGTAAGGTCCATACTAAAAAAAAAAAAAATACTCAATATGGGATTTATAGTACAGAGAAAGTTATAAGGCCCCCCCATAAAAAACATAAAAAACCCTGCCTTTTTCCTAGTTTAAAATTTCAGAGACCACTAAGAGATTGGGTCTAGGAGCCTGTCAACTAAGCGTAGCTTAAAGACTTGTCATGTAGGTTGCATAAAACCCAAATATAGTCATTTTGTATTAGGTTAGGTACAAACTTGTTTAATAAGGCTCATCTACAACATTAGTCCTTCCTGTTTAATGTTTCTAAAAGAAAATTAGCCATGTTTCTCTTAACCTATTCACAGCTTGATGATAATTTTGAATGTGATAAAATTGTCTCCCTAGGTTTTATGTTGTTAGGATAAGCCATCAATATATGTGATTTAAATAGCCTATAGGCCTAGACATAAAACTACTGTATTTTTTATCTTTTAGATTCACCATACATAGGCAGGCTACAGGCTAGCTAAGTTTATTAAGTTTTCATAAATATTTTGAAGGGCTTAAAATTGTTATGTTGGATTTGGACATTTACATCCTGTAACATTTAACGATGTTTAGGTATTTTAGATTTGTTAATGATTAATTTATTGTTACATTCATAAGTATATTTGATTATTGAACGTTTGTTACCTTATAGCCTTTGTTCTTGTAGAAAGATGTTAAATCCTCCAATATATTTCGCCACAGTGTGTGGCATCATCAGGGAGACGAGAAGATCTATTTACACATTTTATATACACACAGTTTATATACACATCACCAGACCGTACGCTTACGTCGCGGCGGCTTCGCGAGCGCGGGCTCGCGTCTACGCCTACTAACTTTGAGTAGGTCAGTGAACAAAGACGGTGACGGTACTAGTGTGATCCCCTACAACAGGTGTTCGTCGCGCGTCCGCGCCCGCGCTCGCGCTCGCGAAGCCGCCGCGACTTAAGCGTACGGTCTGGTGATGTGTATATAAACTGTGTGTATATAAAATGTGTAAATAGATCTTCTCGTCTCCCTGATGATGCCACACACTGTGGCGAAATATATTGGAGGATTTAACATCTTTCTACAAGAACAAAGGCTATAAGGTAACAAACGTTCAATAATCAAATATTCTAGTTCTTGTCACTGGGAAATACATCAAATAAGATTCATAAGTAGGCCTAGATCAAGTTTTGTCTATTTATAATTTATATGCAAATTTTAGTTTCTGGTTTTCTCAGCAATGTATTCTTATTTGTGAGTTCAAGTTTTTGTATTTTAGCAATCCACTTTCCTCCTTTTTCTACAATAATTACGATGTAAATTAAAATATTGTAGGTAACTATTGTTGAAAGGCTGAATAAATTACTATTCATTGACTATAGTAAGCTAAGCAGGGGTCTTACTGACAAATTAAAATAAGGTAAAAGGTATGAAGTCAAGTAGTGTAGAATAAACCTACAATATTAGACACAGTGTGATTTCTAAATCATTTAGATCCAGAAATTCATATTTATTTTCTATGGGTTTCGCAAGCATCAGGCAAAATCTATTTTGTTGCCTTATGTACCTACCCATGAACTACCTAAATGGCCGTATGCGCAATAAATAGGCCTAAGCTTCGGTTGATGTGCCCGGACTTTGAGTCTGCCCCTTCTTACAACAGGCCTAGCTATGGCCTTATCGCAGGGCTTTCTAGCACCCTACAAATTTAGCAAAATTATAAAAGTGTTTTTTTTACCCACCTATTTCCTATGGCATAACGTTTGTGTTTACTGCCATCATTCAAATTTAGCCACTGTGGCCATTCCTGTCCATCATTCCCCAAACCAGCCCTTTATCAGATAAAGTTCTACACTTGTTTTGTTTTGTAGGTCTGAAGCTATTGCTTACTCTAGTACCAAACCACTCATCTCTGAACAATCCTTTCTTCAATAAATCTGCATCAAGAGATACACAGTACTCATCATTCTACGTTTGGGCTCCAGCCAAAGGACAGGATAACGATCAAAAACCCATTCCTCCAAACAATTGGGTAAGTAACAATTAGGGCTTCGTGTTAAAGAGTAGAGGTGTACGCAAGCGGCCTCAAGGCAGCCTGTCTGTTTGGTTGACTTGAGCCAAGCTCTAATGTTTTGCAGTATTTTCGCGATGTAGGAAGGACCTGCAAATATTGCATGATCGATTTTTCTGTGATCGTGAGTGTGACATCTTGGTGATCGCAAGAGATGTTCATGATTTTGTCGTACGTAGAAAACACCAACGAGGTGCAACTTATAACAATGACTAGGCCTACCGGTACCAAAAACTTTGACACTAACTTTGACCTCTGAAGAAATAAAACTGTTGAAGATCAATGAAATAGTCCTTTGGGAAGGTGGGTTTACCAGTAAGCCCATCACTAATACCATAAATGTGCCTATCCTTAGTAAATAACTAAACAGTTTATGCCTAGTGATACCGTTTTGAATTTTAACTGATATTATTTCCTAATTTGCTCATCCAGGCTGTAATCCAAGCTATAACACCAATGATCTCAGATTGCTGATTATTTTTTAATTGGTAATTTGATCAACCTAATTACCCATATCAAATTTGATAAAACTCTTTGAGGACGATATATACATTTTTTAAAGCTATCAAATATGGTGTTTATTATGTTTCTGAGGCTATTGTCATCGGGTACATCATTAAAAAGTTGGATAAATCTTAACATTTTATTAATTATGATCATAGAATATTACTTTTTCCTCTAAAAGGATTAAGTTAACCCATTGGCATACTGATATTGCTCTAGGCCTACCTGATTACGTACGGTACAGGTGTACCCATTTGGCTCTTTTAGTGACTTACAAAAACAACTATACTTCCTTATTCATTATTATATCGTCTTAAATTAATCTTTCTCCTCAGAAAGATTGGGAGACAATTTGCAATTACAGTAGAACCCCGATTAACCGGCGGCAGATCAACCAGGCAGCGGATCAACCGTGGTCAATAGATGGCTCCAAAATTATGTTACATAACCTCATTTTCCAAAAAGATGTTTTATAATAATTGTAAATAAAAATCATTTTAAAAGAAAGTCTAAAACTTGTTAAAAAATCAGTTTTCTGGCCAAAGAATTAACTAAAAAGTCTATTTCACTAATAAGTTCTAAGTTTATGTTACATTTCCATACAATTTGTTGTACCCTTAGTTTTACTCAACTTTCTTGTGCTTCAGTAGTAGTAATTTAAAAACAAATTAAAATTCCTGTAATATATAATCTGTTAGGTTATCAGAGTGAAAAGTCAGTCATCAATGTATACAGTTATGACTGCTTATCTCAAACTGTTAATTACTCTTATCTCTATAATATACTGGTTTAGCTTGTTCATTTTCTGAACATAGTTTTTTTTATTTAATGGTTATTGATACATTTTTGTCTTATCGTTATCTTTAATTTCAACAACAAAGATCTACACTGTGAAAGACATTTTGCCATTTATAGTATTTTTTAATTTCATAGCTTTCACATTTTAAGTACTAATTTTGGTCACCAATTTTTTGATAAATGTCTCTGTGTCTGAAAAGGCTACTGGTGAATCATTTACCTTACCTAATTGTCCCAGATAAAAAAGCAATAACTTTGAGGTTCCCATATCCATTTTGTTTGAACTACGATTCCAATTACAAAATTCAATTGCCACTTCCTCTGAGACAGAAGTGTGTCCCAGTTTTGACAACTGTTAAGAACCCATTATTAGAGAAGACCAAAACCTATTATTAAATCAGTTTTTTAACATTAGGGCCTATTCATATTACATTTTATATTTGGATTAAACAATTGTTTTTATTTCTTGTTTAATCCAGGCCTAAGTTGTTAAAACATAAAAACACTAATATAGCAAATACATGCCTGGTAATTATACTTAGGGCCTCCTATGTATTTAAAATAGATGAATTGGGTTTGGCAGAACTATGCTTAAGGATGTCTTTAAGCAAGTGGTTTATCAACCGTTTTCTATCAACCAGAAAAATAATGGCATTTGGGTGTCCAGCCGACCTGGAAACTGGGGAAACCGGGAATTGTAGATGAATTTGGATGACCAGAAAAAATATGTGGCTTTTGTTAAGAACCGGGAAATTTAAATGTTTGAACATTAGCCGAAAAAATCTGCCCGGAATCACCGATTTTACTCATTTTGCGTAGTTGTAAATCACAGGAAAATCGAATGCGATCTCATATAACAGACATTGCTGCAATGGCAAAAAATAGTCATGGCTGTTGAGATAATCGCTGAACAAAATCGTGGATGTTGCCACGATCGCAAGAAATAAATAACACACTTGTGTTTACACGTGTTGTGGTAATTGCAAAAAATCACTAGGGATTTTTCTGTAATCGTGTGACACAACAATGTTACTGCAATTCTGGCCAAGATCGCAGGTAATGTTCACGCCTTCACGGCTGTTTCCACGATCAGGGGAAATCACCATGAATTTTGCGGTGATTGCAAGATGATCTCAGATGTGGCCAGGATTGTAAAAAAGGTCATAAGAGTTGATATAATCCCTGTAAGACGACTGTCAATGTTGCCATGATCGTTTTTTTTTTTCAGCCTAATGGGTTAAAACTTAAAACAACTTAAAACTATCCGACAAAATTTAAATTGTTTCCTTCTTAATTTTCAGCTTAGTAAAAGTGGTGGGTCAGCATGGGAATGGAATGAAAAGAGAGGAGAATTTTATCTTCATCAGTTCGATAAGAATGAACCCGATTTCAACTTTCACAACCCTGATGTCATCAAATTCTTTAATGTGAGTATATGAAGCTTGGGCTACCTGATTTAAAGTAAAATTGAATTTACTTAAGTGCCATTTGAGTATTTCCTCAATTATATAGTTCAATAAATAAAAATTGTGTTCTTTAAAATAAATCTAGCAGTACTTTCCAAACTGTTATTAGTTCCTGATAGAATTGATTAACACGTTCACTGTGTTACGAGATCCCAAGGTCTCGTATCGTAACTGTAATCTGATGCGGTAGCGCAATATGACATTCAGCCATAAATTCCGTTTTCGATAGTTTGATGTAGAATTAACATAAAGAAATTAAACATAGGTCTATATGTATTTTATAAAGGGGTCCGCGGAATTGGCGGACTGGAACTCGCTAACCCTTTAACTCTGGAACTCGCTAACCCCATGTTAAACGCCCTATCTTCAAATTTGGTCGATGAGAGGAACTCACTAACTTGTTCGGTTTCGGAATTGGCTAACTCCGGAACCCGCTAACCCGGCTCTAGAGCCGGGTTAGCGAATTCCGTCCTCGTACGGAAGTCGCTAACTCGGTCCCTCGGCGGAACTCGCTAACTCCCAATCAGAAGCCTCGCGGGCCGTCCAATGGGAGCCAAGCACGAAGACTTTTAGCCAGTGATGCCAAAAGTGTAGTACCTATATCGGCACCATAATGTCGTAAAACTGGCGACATCTTTAAAAAACACACACTTTTTTACCATTCACGCTGGAAGATTTCCGTAATCTATCAAATGCTACGAATAATTAGGATTAAGATCAACGTAGTCGACTAAATAAATATATATTCAGAAGTATGTTTAATATTATTCTTATGATTATTAGGGTAGAAAATGCATTATAGTCTTATCACAGACTAACCAACACAAGTAAACTTTGCATCCCATTGTAAACTTTGAAGCTCGTTGTTCGTGTCTAGTTCATGTCCGGTGACACTGATCGCCAGTGTCGATGTAATTGTGTTTCTTTTATTTTATTGTTGACTTTATGATTTGTTCTTTACTGTTTGGTTATACAACTAGGGGACGTGTTATTAGTTATGATTAGAACGTTTTCTTTGGTTAAACGAGGTTTTAAATGACTGAAAACAAGAAACAATTGTAAACAAAACACGACCTCTAATGACAGTGCACCGGACAGATCTAACAATAAAACTGTCTTCAGCTGATCCATAAGGATGAGAAATGTACTAATATAAGGGGGTATGTGGTTTTCTTACTTAAATAGTAGCTTATTGGGATGCAAAAAGATAATACTGTACATTTAATTTGGATCTTTTACATGTTATGAAATATCTATTTTCGTAGTCCACCATTTGTTTCTTTTATTCAAATAAAAACCATTATGTGAACTTCTGCAAATAAAATGTTTAAGTTCGTATTTTATATACTGGACTTGTAACCTTGAATCGTAAAATTGAACCATAATTATTCATGATAAAATTTGCACGTTAAACGTCATTATAGAAATACATTGTAGTGGTAATGTATTTTTTTTTTTAAATAGAGCTATTGAATTTTAATAAATATTGATCAATACATTATACAGTGGGAAGCCTAATGTATTCATGGATTGCATTACAAATTTGTCTATGCATAAATACAACTTGTAAATTTCTGTTATCATAGGCTATTAGTTAGAACTCGGGTCATCCTCTTAATTTTTTTTTTATTAATATTAATTTTACGTCTTTCAGTAGGCCTTCTTTTTAAAAGTCTGGAGTTTTTATGGTTCTAAATGAACCCAGTCGTTCTTGTTTGTTATCATTTATATGAATGGTGGCCATAGCTAAAATTACCTGATCTTATCCAAAAACAAAGCTATTGTCTATTGAGTAGCTCAGTACCGGGGAACGGGGAATTGAGCAACGGCTTGGTATAGTTTATTTCGATTGTAAAAGCAATATAAAGGAAACCCAACACTCAAATCAGGAAATTCCGCCAAGCCGTTGATTAAGAATCGTGAATTAAAATAAACCTGTCACGTTTTATTATATGAATATTATATCCTCTCCTATTATTTACTAGTGATGCTTAGGTGTACAATTTACAAACTGTTTTAAAACATGTAACAATATTACTAAAAAATTCAACACATTTTAGAATTAGGCAACTATTTACTAGTAGGCCTACTATGCTTTGGTTTAAACTATTAAAATAGATTTAGGCCTCTACAGCCATTCTATAAATTGATATGAAACTTAGTCTATGTCATATTTGTACACGTTAGACGATTAAACGACGATGAATTAGTTATGAAAGTTACGATGGTTGATGACTGTATTAATTAATAGTTTTGGTTTATTACGACATTACGATTAAATTTGTTTTCTGTGTTTGAGAACTTGTGTGTATTTTAGCTTAATTTCGTAGAGGTTTAACTATTTAGTACCTATTAAACTGAATTTTCAATAGTTTTCATATTCAATTATTTTCTTTTATACTGATGGCATTTACATTTAAGACGAAATCATAAACATTTAATTGGCCATTACAGTTAAATAAAAAAACACCTTTTCATGATTCTTTTATTGTCTTTGAATTACTTTGGGCTAGTTGTCTGTTAAAAGTAGAATCGATAACAAATAACAATAACATTTACTGTATCTTCATTGACACTGACATTTTGAAATACGGCAGTATACGATTATTTCGTCGTACAAGGTTGGCAACGCTCCGTGCGTGGGCGCGGCCGGGTTAGCGACTTCCAGAGTTAGCGAATTCCGCCGCGAGACAAAATCGAGTTAGCGGGTTCCGGAGTTAGCCAATTCCTGACTGAGACGGTTAGCCAGTTCCAGAGTTAGCCAGTTCCAACACGAGACCGAGTTAGCGAGTTCCTGAGTTAGCCAATTCCTACGTCTCTTATAAAGCTCTATTATTGCTAAATCTTTTTAGTCGGCTAACCATAGAAACCGTAGAAACTGAGAGACCCATAGATCCCGTACCGCTCTGAAGTAATGAATTATATACGGATTGAGACCCTGGGGTTCTCGTATCAAAATTTAGTTGTTTTTATCACCGCTAGGAGCATTGCTTTGACAGAATACTCCAAACGTTTTGTTTACGTTTTACAGTTAGTCTTTTGCGGTTATTCATTCGTTTCCTGTTCATTGCTAAGTCTAGTGCTGTTTATTACTTGTAAAACTTTGTGATATCGTGTATGCAATGTCGTCAGGATAAGATAATCCTGGCAATGTACAACCTTATGTGTACAATACAAGAAACAGGCCTAGGCTAATGTTAGTTAGTGCCAGCAATACTTCGATTCTGGAACAGCTTGTGACAGAGGGCCTAAACTCAGATGTTCCTACGAGCGTATATTGTCTGAGAGCGAGGAAGAATTGTGTGATTTTTCTTGGAGTGTAATAGAACACTAAGACTATAAACCATCAGTTGACGATAATAACAATTCCTCTAGTGACGAATCACTAAATGAAGTAGAGAATTGCACTGATGGTCACTATGTTGGAGGGCAACGGTGTGTACTACCTGGTGGATACAGCGATGACAGACATGGATACAGCGGTGACGCAATTGGAGGCGGCGTAAACCCCATCTTACTTACTTGATACTTGATGTCTTTGTCTTTGACCCAGCTTGTGGGATTGTCTGCGCCAGATGCCTTTCGGCTATTTTTTTTCCCGTAAATAGTTGGATTTCTTCTGCATCATTCAGGGTGTATACTGGCCATTCTAATAGTTCATGTTTGATGTGGTTCTTGAAATTTGAAGTTGTGAGGCTTTGAACCGTCAGCTGAACAGTTTTATGGCTGCAATTGGAAAGGAATTTTGTGTTTTACTCAGCCTGCATCTTAGGACTTCCAGATTTTGAGCTTGTAGCTTCCAGATGTCGGTGTATGGTATTTCTGTATCATTAAAAAGATTGATACTCTGTTTGATGTAGTTTAGAGAGTTAAAAATATACTGGTTATAAACTGTGAAGATTCTAATTTTTTTTAAAAGAGGTTTACAGTGTTCAAGGTCATGAGTCGAAGCCATAACTCTTAACGCCTTCTTCTGCAGAATAAGAGCATCACTGCAGGCAGCTGAGTGTCCCCACAACAGAAGACCATAGTTCAAATGACTGGAACAAGGCATGATAAATTCCCAGAAGGTGATCCATAGTCAACGCCTTTGTCAATGTCCTAAGAAGACAAATTGAAATTACTCTTGATAATTTTACACAGACCTTGGCAACATGAAAGTTCCAATCAAGCCTGTTATCCAGCCAGAAGCCTATAATTTTGACTGGTTCATTGTTCTTCGCTGGAATTTCTCTTTTAAGAGACAATAATATTCTTTGAGTCTTATCTTCATTCAGTTTTAACTTATTGCTCTGGAACCAGTTTTTAGCAGAGGTGAAGGTTTCATTGGCTTCTGACAGAACGTCTTCAACGCTTAATCCTCTGTTTACCACATCGGCAAGTTTTTAATGTCCCAAGAGGCCAAAACACTATCTGTTCATACTTAAGTGTTTATTTGTATGATTAGGCCTACTTAATTAAAAAAGTTGTCCGATTTTGATGAGATTTGGTACAAAATTGTTATATGGAAGAATACTACATTAGTTTGAATCAAGATTGCAGGATCGGGCTATGGAAATGGGGTTTTATAGGGTAAATAAAGAAATGTTACTTTTATTTACATGGAAAACTACTTAGCAGAGCTAAAAAAGACAAATCATTTAGTACATTGAAGGGTTGTTATAGATCTAATGGTTAACGGTTAAAATTAAAGCTTGCTTGTTTATGGGTGTATCTTAATCAAATTTGATAACTTTTTTTATTTTACTCCAAGGTATTAATGAACATTTGAATAAAAAAGAGCTTAAGTATCTTTGTGTGAGAATGTAATAAATTGGACAATTTTAACATTTTATTGAAAATCCAATCAGGAAAATGGAAATTTGCTTAGTGTACAGGTTTGCTGTGGCTGGGGTACTTTATTTTAACTAAAGTTAAAATTGTTTTAGACTGACAAAACGTAAAACTTTAATTCAATGTTTGATTATTTTTAAATAAGAGATAAGGACTTCTTGAAAATATATATTAAACTTTATAATCACTTAAAATTTGAAGGTTTAATCATCAAACTTTAGGGTCGGCCTTCAATGATTAGTCCAAGCTGATTAAACGGTTGAACTGTGCACATTGGTTATTGGCCAATTATTGGAACTGTGCCAAAATGGCATATTTATGTAATAAACACTGATAGTAGACTTCTTTAGTCTACATAATTATAAACTTATTATTAGTTTTCAATACAGAGACTAACAGTTATCATGTTAGGGCAAGTTTCAGTGCTTTGTTTGGTGTTACTTGTTTATTTTTCCGTTATTTTTATTCTAATAAGTTTATCTTTCTTGTTGTCATTGTGACGTGGATTATAATTGACTTGTGCAAGAGCATAATTGGTTTATGGTGAATGGCAAACATTGATAATTAGAGGCTACGATATGTTTCTCATACCACTAGCACAACTGTCTACTGAACAACTACCAAAGCTGTAAGTTATAATATATTTAGAGTTCATTGTTTGAATATAGGCCTAACAGCTTACGTCACAATATTGTTGAAAATTGAAAAATACCTTCAATGTTTCCGTGAAAAAATATAGGGTACACTACACATCAGAAGATCTTTTTGAGAATAATCAAACTCATTATTAGGTTGGCTACCTAACAAATATTGTCTACTTACTTAGAGAGACTCCACGTTTGAAACAATTATAAATCCTCACGCAATACAAGTTTCTAACATACAACGGAGTAGCATCACATTTATTATCAGAATTGAGTAGATTTAAAATTGGCACAATGTTTAATGTTTGATTAATTTATAGGTACGGTATTATTTTAATCTCATTACAATCCGTGAATTTTAATGAGAGGTTGATCAGCCTACGGGCACATGTATGTTTCAGGTCAAATGTACATTTCTAGAAACAGTGTTTATGGTAGTAATGGCTGATTATTTATTTATGACTGTTTCAGGAGGTGATGCAGTTTTGGTTGGATTTTGGATTTAGTGGTTTCGTCTTTGATCGCACACCTTACTTGATAGAAGACAAAGACCTTCGCAATGACACCCAAAAGAGAGATTTTGGTACTGCCACTCACATGGACTATGAGTTTTATGACCACATCAACACAGAAAACGTTCCAGAACTTGCTCCATTACTTCGCACCTGGACTGCTTTTGTTTCTAACCACTCAGGGTAAGTTTTACAACACATTTATATTTCTGTTTTTTATAGCTTTGTAACTATGAGTGTTTTTAAGCAAATTTCTCCTATAGGGAAGAAGGTTTTAGTGTGTGTCCAACGTCTGTGAACTTGAGCAATTGTGGTTTAATTTCAATGAAATTTGGGGTTGGTTCATTGTAAATGATCATGCTACAAAAATAACTGGATATTGTAGGACATGTTTTACCATCAGACTCCAACATTTACAGAATCCTGGTCGTGGACGGTGTAACAACAGCATCAAACCAGTCAGTGGCACATCTGGTGGTGAAGCCTCAAGTGCTAGAAAAGTACCCAACATTCTCAGCTGATGACCTCGTCAATATCATCACCACTGCTCGTCAAAACAATCCCTGGCCGGCATGGCAGGTACGTTATCAATTTACAAAAAATATGTGTAGGCCTACCTCAAGGGTTTGTTTGTGGATAAAAAATAAAATACTGTAAAGGGATCTTATTTTCTAAGTAGAAAAAAATAGCAACATGTAAATTGTGTGCAGTGTTGTTTGACCTGAAATGCTATGTTTTTTTACCACTACAATGCTTTACCAAGATATACATCCTAGGATTTATAATCGTTAGCTTGACTATTAATCAAACGGTTGCTGGTTCAACCCAAAGAGAGGTTAGTAGCTTTTTGTTAGTTTGAAACTGGCCCCAGTTGTCCCTGATCAAGATTTGACAAATACTTTTTAATCAAATGTTCCTAGCTAATGAAACAGCTGGTCTTAGTCAGTAACAAAGATACACAAGGCATCTCACTTAATTCACCCATATTTGAGTTGAAATACACTCCTGGGTAGTGTCCTCATCTTCATTGCTAATTGGGCTAAAGGTAGTAGCCTAAATCACAAGACTTGACTATTGTATTAATTAACTTGACTGAAGATGAAATAATAAGATTAATTAGTGACTGAAGATGAAATAATTAAAGTAATTTCAAGTAGGCCAAATAAAACTTCTTCAGGATTTGATGAGGTCCCAATGTCTTTGTTAAAATCAATCAAACATGAAATTTCAAAACCGTTAACACATCTAGTAAATTCTTCTTTAATCTGCGGTATATTTCCCAACAAATTAAAAATAGCAAAAGTTATTCCAATTTTTAAAAAAGGGTTAGAAACCAATCCTCTCAATTATCGTCCAGTTTCCCTACTATCAAATTTTTCTAAAATTTTTGAAAAAGTTGTGTACGATCAATTAGTAGATTTTTTAGAGAAAAATAAATTATTTGATGAAGATCAGCATGGGTTTAGAGCTGGAAGGTCAACGACAACCGCTAGTGTAGATTTTGTGACATCAATAATTGAAAGCATAGATAAAAAAAATAAAACTTTGGGGATCTTTCTAGATCTTACTCGCGCTTTTGATAGTGTAAATCATTCAGAATTAATAAAAACATTACAATCCTTAGGAATAAAAAATTGCCAGATAGATTGGTTTAAATCATATCTTAATGATAGGAAACAATATACTGTCACAAAAGGGCTTAGTACAAAAAATGTTATACAATTTCATAATTCAACAATACAATCTATCAAATACGGAGTACCCCAAGGATCTATCCTAGGACCGCTTCTGTTTTTGTGCTATATCAAGGGGTTACCTAGTATTATTTCAGGAACAGATAGCAAAGTTTGCCTATATGCAGACGATACAAGCCTTTTGGTGACAGGTAAAACTCTCGAGGCTGTACAAAATTCTTATTCTCACTCTATTAACAAGATTAAAAACTTTTTTAACAGCAAAAATTTACTTTTAAATGAAAATAAAAGTAGTTACATTTCTTTCTGTACAAATAAAAATAAAAATAATGAGACAATTTTAAAGACTAATGCTAAAATTAATAAAGTAAATGATTTAAAATTTTTAGGAATTATTATTGATAACAATTTAAGTTGGGACTCTCATGTCCAGCATGTTGTAAGCAAAATTTCATCAGGCTTGTATGCTCTTCGAAGGATGTCCTATGTCTGTGATCTTTCGGCTCTAAAACTGGTGTATTATGCTTTTGTACATTCATTTATATCATACGGAATTAGTGTGTACGGAGGGACCTCAAAATCAAACCTTAATCAAATACTTCTGTTACAAAAGACAGCTATTAGATTAATGCTAAGTTTAAATTGGATTGAAAGTGCAAAGTATCATTTTTCTAATTTGGAAATCCTAACAGTGTTTGGAATTTATATATACGAGACAATAAAATATACTAAGCAGCACCATTTACCAAAAATACAGTTAGAACTAAGTAGGCCTACCAGTAATAGATATAATACCAGAAATGCACAATATGTTATACAAAACAGACATAATTTAGAATTTTATAAAAAAAACACAGTGTATAGAGGCCTTAGATATATAAGTTTTTTACCAAAAGATATAAAAAATTAATGTAATAGTAGGAAATTTTACTTTAAACTAAAAAAATACCTAGTAGAAAAAGCAATTTACTCCTTTGAGGAATTTTACAATTTAAAATATTGTGAGTAGACAATAAGTACTCACTGACTCTATTCTTTGTACTTGTACATTCATGAATAAAGGAGATTTTGATTTGATTTGATTTGAACTTTTGGTTGTCAGATCCAAGTGAAGGATGAGCCTGAAGGCAGTGCTCTGTCCCAAGGAATGTTGCTCACCTCCATGCTACTCCCTGGGATACCCATCACTGTAGCAGGACAGGAGCTGGGCATCAGTGATCTCAGTGACATTCCATGGGACAACACCACAGGTAACTACTGTTCTGACATCCTAATCCCATGGGACAACACCACAGGTAGGCCTAACTACCATACTGACATCCTAATCCCATGGGACAACATCACAGGTAACTACCGTACTGACATCTTAATTCCATGGGACAACACCACAGGTAACTACCGTACTGACATCCTAATCCCATGGGACAACATCTCAGGTAACTACCGTACTGACATCCTAATCCCATGGGACAACACCACAGGTAGGCCTAACTACCATACTGACATCCTAATCCCATGGGACAACACCACAGGTAGGCCTAACTACCATACCGACATCCTAACCCCATGGGACAACACCACAGGTAGGCCTAACTACCATACTGACATCCTAATCCCATGGGACAAAATGACAGGTAGGCCTAACTACCATACTGCCATCCTAATACCATGCTAGTTTTGGAACTGAACCACCGACAGAATGTGCTGATTTCAATTGAATATGCCAAGTTTAACTAAGCATTATTCAAAGGACAGCCTATTGCAACTGCCTAGCATTGTTTGTGTCTCATCAACAACCACAGTAACAGAAAATAAAGAGGAAATGGAATTAAAATTTTTACCAGAGAATTTACATATACTTGTGACTCAATCATCTACATTTTATTTGAAAGAAATATTGGCTACAACTGGTCCATAAAGATGGGACGTCCACTTCAGTATCAAAAGTCAATGGTACACCCCCACTAAATAATGATTTAATTGGACTAGGTAAATGTAGGTTTTGATCATTTGTCATGACTGAAACCTTTCTATGTCAAATCCATTTGTCATTTAGTGCTATATACACTTTGAATTGATAAATGGACAAACTTGCAGACACATTACATTTTTAAAAAATAAGGCACAAAATGATATAAACATATATTTAAATTCTAATAGGCCTACTTCAATTCAACCCAAACAATACCTGGATATAAAAACAGGCGTCATAATGTAACTGAAATAAGAAGAGAGTGGTGCATTTCTTACTATATGCTCTCTTCACACCTGAATAAAAAAAATTGTTGATGTCTTATCATGTCATGTAAAAAAAAGGATGACAATTTTTCAAGTAAAAAGCAAGTAATTATAATATATATTTTTTAAACTTAGTCGTGTGACGAGACAAAATAATGGCAAATAAATATTTCTGATATCCTTAAAACGAATCGGACATGAAATTGTTTCAAAGAAAAATTATTATTCGTAAAATGAGGAGAAGACAAATATAATCAAAAGATTACTTGATGGATTTCAAGGTCAATTCAATTTACAGTCCATTCAGTATACAATGAATGCTCTGTTAAGCTGTTAGAGACAGTTTTATGAACTTTGGTGTTCTTGATTTGAACTGAAGAGGCATTGTTTGATTTCACACAGGTTAGCATTGGAAAGTCTATATTTGTGATGTTATTTGCAACCTTGATTTTTTTAATGTTAAGGCCTACAATCATTGTATTATTTTGGATTAAATAAATTTTAATTATTTACTTTTTTGATATAGAATAAAATTTGTTGTTTGAATACAAAAATTTATTTTTTAACACATCACAACTTATGAGGTGATGTCTGCTGTCAAATGTAGATAAGATTTCTGCCTATCAAATATAGACATAACCAAGTCCAAAATGCCCAGTCAGCAGCACTTCTACACTTCACTCTCAATTTGAACAAACATCCTATATTATATTAATAGGCAAGCATATTTCTTGTAAACCTTCTTTCTCAGCTCATGTGCATCGCAAGGAAAATCTACGCATACTGTTAGAAAGATATTTTCCTGGTGATGTGCAGGATTCCTTTATAAAATGAAATAGGCTCAAAATACCGCATTTTGCCATTTCCAATTTGTATCTTGTGTACAGAGAGTGGTGCCGGTGGCAAAGATGTGATGAGTCAACAGAAGAGTGACCACAGCTTCTACAGCGCCTATAAGGAGCTAGTCAAGGCTAGAGAATCTCCGTCTATACTGTACGGATCCCTGGACCTGCATGTCTTCAACAGCTCCTCCGTCCTGTCCTACACCAGGTACAGCACAAACATATAGCCTGCTTCTATTTATTATTTATTGTTCCTTCTATAGTAGAGCTTTTATTACCGTACCTGACCTAAACCAGGATGTATAACACAGAAAATAATGTAAAACACCGTTATGTTAAAAATCATAAAAGTTATTAAAAAATGTTGTTGCCAACTTATTTGTGGCATTTAGTTTTGGGATTTATTAAAACTACAAACCATTTCGATTATGAACTCAAACAACATAAAATACCCAAAAAAGTAAACCACCACTACTGCAACTGTAAAGTACAGCTACATTTCCAGAATTCTCTGACTGTTTCTAAATTTTGGATTACATGCACTTACTGATTAGTGATCATCTATCACAATCGTGGAAAATCATAAACATCTTCTGCAGTCAAGAAGAACCACCATTCTCTCCCACAAATGAGGCTGTATTGTTCCATCCTATAATTTCATGTACCTTAGGCCTAGTCTCTAAATTAGATCGGAAATGTCTTCCATCACCATTTTTGACTTGTATCATGTATTCATGTGACAGGTTAAAGAGTGGCAACCCTGGGTACCTGGTAGTGTTCAACACAGGAGCTGAGGAGACTGTAGTGGACGCTCGCCAACTGCCCAGTGTACCTGACGAGCTGACATTGCTGCTCACTTCCGACGCCAGCCCCATGGCTGAAAAGTGAGTCCAAACAATCATCTGAGCTTGATAGTTAAACTGATAAATGAATCAAATTTATTGTAATTGACGTTAAAAAAGATTATGTCATTTAAAATGTTCAAGTAAGTTTTCCCATTCACAATGTGTATATATTAAACTAACCCTCCATAGTAAAGGTAGTACTTTATCCATTATATGTACACAAAACCCAAAACAGGTTTTTTTGCATGACAATAAATGCAAGCGTATGGGACAACAAGGGGTCAACTAATCAGAGTGGAAAGGATTAAACCTTCTTATAATGCACCACATACATCACTACTTTTTATTTTTACAGTAGAGTACTGATAGTCCAAAATGGTTGGGACCAGACCCAATTCGGATTACCGAATATTTCGGATTAAACGTTTTTTTTTCTAGGACGCTAGCAAGGTGTCTACCTGTCACGGATGTCACCAAAGTCCCGGAAAAGTCACAGGTTTTAGTAATGTGTCACCGTTGTCCCCTATTGTCACGGAATATGCTAAAATTATCACCTAAATTAATGTTGACATTTTCATTTATTTTTGGGATAAAACCAAATATTTAGACAAAACTTGCCATGTATCAATAATATTTATTATCATACTCAACAGTTCACCTAGAGTAAGCTTTCCAAATAAAGGATCGCAATGCGTAATGCTTACTGTACGTTCAGTCTCAGTGTTGTAATATCTGCCAACTGTCGCCATTTTGCTGGCTATTGCGCGGTTCTGCCATTTACAATTGCATTGGGCCTTTTATCCCCAAAACAGGACTTTTAAGACCATGTGCGGGATTAGAATGGGATGCGGGATAAAACGAGACTATCGGTTCTTACGATTAGCTTCTTTTTATACCGCTTTCCAGATAAAAACTAACAATTGCTTAAAATATTCTACCACAGTGTTGTTGAAAGGATTTAGGAGATATCTAGACATGTTACATCATACCGATCACCCTGGACAGATCGTAAAATATCATGCGGGATTAAACGGGATTTTTCATTACAGTAAAGCGAGATGGACGGGGATTTTCTCAACCCTGTAAGTGGAATTTTTGTTTTCTGCGTGTAGAGAGGTTTTATTTGAATGTTGTAGTTGTTCTACCTACGTGTTGTACAAGGCAAGTGCAGTTAGTTCTGAGAGAAGTAAGAAGACATTAAAAGTTTGCATTTGTTGAATGCTAAAAATCCTTCCAACTTCCAACAGTAACTGTGTAGTTGTGTGTTAGATTAATTGTCTACGTTTTAATCTGTGTTTTAATCGACTCAATCTCCCCCATTGTTGACTCGTAAAATATGTTAGTTGTTAGGCATTTGAAAACGAGTTAACATTAAAATCCTGAATTTATATATTCCTAGTTTTTTGTGACTTATAAAACTGCCTTACTATACTTAATATTTTCTACCTCAACAGCAAATATAAAATTAACTCGCAAAAATTTACTAACTTTGACGTCACTGATTTTTGCCTCCAAATGATGATTGATAAAACCCCCAAATGTCCGATTTTTCAAATAGCTTACTGGTAGACACCCTGGCTAGGCACGAGCCCGGGATTGTTTTTCACATTACTTTAAGACCTGGTTGCGACATTATCACTTTGGTAAAATCCATTGGTGATTCGGCGGGATTGGAATTCGGAATGAAAATGTTTACTAAAAAAGGGCAAAATATTTACTAAATATAACAAATCTATCTCGCCCGGCCACTACAGAATACTTCGACGAGGTACAGCTAACTGTCGTTACACACAATTTCGGCTTTTCCCAATGGGTAACAGCACATACTGGGTCATCACTTTTTATATCTAAAATAAACTGCATTAATGTCTTCCTGCTACGGTGCTTGAAGTTTCAACTTTCCCAAATAAGTGACAGCACATACTGGTTAAACATTTTTAAATAAAAGAACTTAAAAAAATGATTTTTTTGTTTTGGATTAAGCAGACTTTTGTATTACCCAAGTTCGGATTATCGAGACTCCACTAAAAACAACGATAAACGTAAAAAATCAGTCATCGATGTGAGGTTAACTAAGTTGTTTACAAATACGCTCGTCTTCTGTCTGCTACAATATGATCAGAACTAAAATGAAAAGCGTATAGAAAAGACATCAGGAGAAAGCTTAGAATCTGCCGAAAAACAATGATGCCAATCTCACAATCCGATTCAGTTAGTCCCCATAGCCTTCGCCGTAAACGATGTTTGTGAGTTGCAAAAGTGACACATAACACCACAGCAGGTGTGATCACTAACAAATATTTGATTGTTAGAATTGCTCAGATTAGTATGATCCAACCACCATTCTATATTAATTTGTTTATTGTTAGAGTTATTTTCTTATAGGGTATAAAGATAATATGGTAAGTATGATCATTTGCAGCGTGTTGACAACTATAAAACAATTGAAGGAACAAACAACAAACCATCTGCCTATGTATTAGTGCAGGGGTTCTCAAACTTCTACTCAAAGACCCCGTATTTAATTATGTATGTAATTCAGACCCCTACAATTACCACCTCACCTCCTACTAACCCCCCCCCCTCGATTACCTCTGATTTTTATTTTAGATTAATCATTTCAAAAGATGACTTAATCATAATAGGCAATAGGTTAATAAATAAATTATCAAGAAACAAACCAAAACTGATATTTTCAGAAAAAGAAATTTGGTGTGAATGATTGATAACTACTACCGGGTATCTGTCACTACTACTCCAACTAAACTGTGCTAATGTATGACACCGTTATATGTACAGGGCCGCGTTAAGGGTCAATAGAGCCCCGGGCAAACTCAAGAGCGACGCCCCCTTTTTTCCTAGTGCAGGCGGTAGATGGACGTGCGGTGCCCGCCAGGCGTCCCTCAACCACCGACGCCCCTGGGCATATGCCCAGACTGCCCGTTTATAAAAGCGGGACTGATTATGTACTATCATACATTATGTACTCATCACTACTCCTCCAACAAAACTGCTTGTGCTAATAAGGTTTTTTTTCTAGGACCAAGGTTCAGAGTGAAGAAGTGTCTCTTCCAGGCCGAGCAGTTGCAGTTTTCAGCTTTGTTCCCAAAGCTAAAGATTAAACTCAATCCCTATTGATATTAGATTTGATCATTTTAACTGATGTACGTAATTATTAGTGTTTGTAACCTTTTTTTTACTTAATGTGCTTTTTTTGTTTTACTATTGCAGTTAACCGTAGGTGTTCATTGTGTGTAGGTAGTCTATAACAATTAAATGTTGCAATTGAATCGTTGTCTTATTTGTAACCTTTACCACCTCATTCAGCAGATTTTACCAAAGGAAAATAATAGCTAATCTTGGTTTTATAAGGCACAGAGAAATAAGATACAAAGAATACAAGCTTATGGGACAACCGTGCGCTTTTACCTCTGGCATGGTGGGACGGAAATATACTTGTAGTGAGCCAGGAAGAGCCTGAACGGCAATGGCCACATATCGTTTTTGTACAGCAGTTGTAGCGCACAGGGTCTTCCTACAGCATGAGTGCTGTAGAACATGATGGGGAGGCGGGACAGGAGAGCGGAAGGGGGAAGACGGATAGAATTTTTTTTAGACCCTAGCAACTGGTGCTAAAGCCACTTAATTGTACCGTTGAACGTATCCTCTGTAGTCTATCTTACTTTTTTTGTAAAAGTTTTGTTCGAGGAATGGCTCTAGGCCAGGATTTTGAATTGTAGAAAAAGGAGGATAGCAGCTAGCTTACCTTGAAGATTGTGTAGGTAGGCCATAGAACATCAACATTTTCTGTGTAAAAGGTCAGACCCAGATCCGGTCCACTGTAATTTTTGGTCCAAGTTTTGAAATTGGTACAATAGCCAATTAATTGTGATAAAACTTGAATAAAATAAAAATAACATTTCTAATTTCAAATTTGCTTACTGAAAAGTAAAAGGGGATTTTGCAAGATTCCCATCACTTTCTCCCCCATATATTGTATTGATTTTGTTTTGTCAACATTTTTGAGTTTTGGGTGTAAATATCTGTTTTAGGTCCCCCTGAATCCAAAACAGTGGTTTTCTAAGTAATGTGTGTGTATCCGTTGTAACAGAGCTACAGACTGCACCTGTTGTCCGATTTTAATGAAATTAAGTATTATACTAATCTACAGTATCTTTAGAGTTTTTTTTCACTTTTAGAAATTTTGACCCATAACATAACAGAAAAATCGAGTTTTCACAAAAACCTACTACTAAAGGGTGGTCCAAAAAAACAGGGACAATTTTAAAATGTTATTACTCTGCTGTTATAAAGGCTGGAGAGTTCATTGATGCGGCAAATGAATGTTTATTTGATGCCATTTAGTGTATAGTTACTATGGATCATCAATGGTTACCGCAACATCGTGCCTTTGTCATAGAGACCTTTTTGAAGAATAATTTGACTTTCATTTCTACTCAACGTCAATTTCGTTTTCACTTCGACTTCAACATTGGCCGTAACGGTGCAACCCCAAACAGAAAAACTATTCAAAGTTGGGTAAGTAATTTCCAGAACACGGCTTCTGCACTCAACGTCAAACCTAGTGGGATACCTTGGACTGTTCGAACGCCGGAAAACATTGAAATGGTTTGCCCGAGTGTTCTGCGTAGAGCGTCCAAAGTCAACAGTTTGCAAAACATTGCATTGAAATTTAAATTTGCATAGGTTTAATTGTGAGTACAAAAGCCAGGTTTATGACATTGTTTACCCATCTTTGAGTAGTTTATTCGGTTTGGGGTTGCACCATTACGGCCAAAGTTGAAGTGAACACAAAATTGACGTTGAGTAGAAATGATAAGACAAATTACTCTTGAAAAAAGTCTTGATGACAAAGGCACGATATTGCGGCAACCACTAATGATCCATAGTAACGATACACCAAATGGCATCAAATAAACATTCATTTGCTACAACAATGAACTATCCAGCTTTATATCAGCTGAGTAATAACATTGTAAAATTGTCCCTGTTTTTTTGGGTCACCCCGTACATTGATTAAATTTAGTAGGTTATGATCTTTTTAATTCCAAACATAATGGTACAAGCCACAATGCTGTAAAAATTAAGGTTCAAAAGTTATTGCAAATATTGTGATTTTACATTGCGGTGACTGGTTATTTGTTGTGTTTCCAGACCAGTTATTTGACAAATGAAACAGTTGACACAAATAATGTTTGTTTTTCGTGGATTGTTTGTTTATTGGGTCTAATGAATGGATTAATTAGCCAATTCAAGTCTGTTAGTCTGGGTTTCAAATACCTCTTGTGGTTTTGAATAGCTATAATTCTAGATTCCACAGTCATTAAAAAAAATCCATCTACGGAAGTGTAATATGAATTAAATTGTCATATTGCTTAAAAGCAATATAAACAAATTTGAAACAAAAATATCTCAAGTTGTTACTTGTGCAATTTGTAGAGTAGTGTCTCAAGCCAACCGATAGAATAATAGAAACCTAAACTATTTTCCCATGTTTGGAGAAGTTCTTGGACGAAAGAGGATGGAAAAAAAGACTAAATATGTCACATTGTCTTATATTTGAAAGAAATTACCATATTTTTTACATGATATATACATAATTTAGTCAGTCTTTGTACAAAGTATTTTAAACACAACTTACTTATAGATTTCAATTTAAACTAAAAGACATTACTTATAAAACAAATTTACATTTTTTATATCAACGATACATTTGTTAGGGAACATGATGCAATGCATCCTCTATTTATCAACCAATTCAAAGGACTATTAAAAGACAAATGGAATGATTTAGAGTAGCAATGAAAAATCATTTAATTTGAAAGGGAAAAATAATCCAAAATCCACCAGAGATGTGTTTATAGAAATGTAAATTAACCGTACCGGTACTGTTATAAATGTACTGAAAACTATTTAGAAAGCTGTTCCTTCAAAATAAAATTTGATGACAAATGCATACACTGATAGGTACTGCACTTATTATACAGTATATTGTTTAATGTTTAAATATATTTTGAATAATACCACAGTAGACTTAAAGTAATATAACAAATAACTGGCCAGCATTACAACGCACACTAACTTGTATTTACAGGGTAGACAATATATTAGCACCAAGTGAAAGGACATTCAACCAACTACTCAAATTAAACATATACGGTTCTTCTTTAATCAAAATATTCATTCTTAATATTCAAAGAATTTGTAAAACCAAGATTTTTGAATTTTATTGTTGTGTCCAATACAGCCACTGCAGTTTGTGTGTTATTAACATTTCAATTAAAGTGTGTCTCATCTTTGTTTATCAATTATTATAACTATTAAATATCTATAGTATAGCCAGGATACAGATTGAAAATCTCACAATTAATAACTAGCTTCATATGGTTAAATTTCCTGTAATTACTAAACCCAGGAAAATACAGATATTTAATTTATTTACACAAATAAATACCCCTTTAGTTTTGTACAACATAATACTCAGGTAGGTTTATTAATGATGTAACAAACAACAAAGTAATTTTCTAATTTTATATACTTTAAACATGATGGCAGTCGTAAAATTATACCCTGAAGTCCCTAAATTAAATCTTAAAGTTATTGAGGTAAAAAAATATACAATAAAGTGTTTAACATCTTTTATAATATGAAAGTAAACCATAAAATGCAACAATTATCATACAATGAGATATGTACTAAACTAATTGTACTCATCGCAGATATGTAAACGTAATACATGTTCCAGAGTCCACGGACAATATGAGAACTGAAGCAGTGGTTGAGAAGTGATCTGAAGACCAACCGTATGTAGACAGTGAATAGTGATAGAGATGCTGGTTAGGTTAGTGCCAGAAATACAACACAGACATATTGTAGGTTTCTGGTTTAGGATCTGCTTACAAGCCATTGCTAGCAAAGGTCTAAATCGCTAATTTCAGCAACTAGTAATCTAAACATAACTATCTTCTTCATATAAAAATGCAAAATACATAAAGATCTACACAAATATATTATGTCCCTTACAAAAATTTAAAAAATATCATACAAATTTTGTGCAAAGAGAAAATGTATTACAAAACTGTTCACATGTTTTCTCTTAAGTATTTTAAGTACAGCAAAATTGATCTAATTTGATCTAACCTATCCAGGTTATTGTCTGATCATTACAATTGGTACCAGGTACTCAGTCAGTTTTGGTTCAAAAAATAGATACAAAAGTTCAGTATAAAATATGTTATGATGCAGATTCATTTTATATGCTTTTCTTCCATACTGGAAAACAAAAATTTGACTCAAATTATATATCATAATAGAAACAAACATTGTTTTCTACTTGGCCTGTTATTGTTATCAACCGACTACTGTATAACCACTGAGGTTAAATGATATAGTTATGTTATTGAACTGTTACCGCTTTCATATTTATACAGGTGAGTTTGTTCTAGTTGAAAACTATGATATAATTAAGCTTTGAAGCTCGATGCAAGAAGATGTTTCATAAAAATATTTTGATATTCCTAAGAGCCAGTAATCAAATCGCCAACATTGAGGTTGATCAGTGCTATCAACTGAGTGCAACCCCACGTGATAAACTTGGGAAGAATTTCAAAATATTGTTTTAGGACAATACTTTACTCATCTTACCAAGCTTGGTTGGCAAATATTAAACAACTGCTGCTAAACCAAATAAATGATCTATTCTAAATAATTAGTTGGCTTTATAAGTTTGTTTCAATTCTTCTTAGCCGGATTTTAAGTTTTAACCATGATGAATGGACTTTATCTTGGTTAATGGCTCTTAAAAATATAATGTATATTGTTGCAGCCATTACTGCAAAATTTACTCCATAAGTCATTCTAATGGAGTTTTTAAATGTAATGTTCAGTTCATATTGATTTATGAAGCAATTTCAGTCATAGCCCATGAAAGTAAGCATCAGCAAGGAAAGACCAAGCATCAAATATAAAGTTGAAAATAGTGGCCATTGTTATCATTATGGATATATAAATTGCTTAACCTGGTATTTGTTTATAGCTTCTCAAGGAATTGTTCAATTCTTAACTGTAATTGTATAATATTTTATGAAAAGAAATTAACGACTATATTAATTAACATATGACTAGTCTCATATTCAGATACGTATAAGCAGAACAAATCTCAGGAGAGGACAAAACTATAATAAATCAATCTTTTCTTACAACAATCTATCTTTGGTAATGTCATATCAAATAAATATTCACGCTAATACTGTATACATTAATAAGGACATATTAGATGGATTCACGTGTGAGTGTCCGAGTCGCCACTGGAGGCCAGAGAAAAGTTAGCAGAGTCCCTGTCTGACCTGTGTTGGACGTTGTGTTTGAGGTTGATTATTTGAGGGAAAGTGTGGTGGCCAGGGTCAGGGGGCGCACAGCCCCTCAGTGTGAGGGGGAAGTGACGTTTGGTGTAGGGGTTGGGGTTGAACAGTCTCACACCGTTGTGATGTGTGGGTATCGTGGTATGCTGGCGAGGGAAGGAGTTGCAACTAGTGCCTGTACCCAGGAGGGGAGGTACTGTGGGGTTAGACACTGGGAGAGGCATGGTAGAACAGTGAGGATACGCAGGGTTGACTACTTGTGTAGGATAGTGGGGGAGTGTGGCGGACTGTTGAGGTCGGTCCGTGAATGACGTCAATCTCATGTTAGTGGCTCTACCGAAGGGTTCCCCTACAGTCGTTACTGTCGCTGGCACTTCTGGCCTGTTCACCTTTCTCCGTATCACCACATCCTCCTCCTCGCTGATCACAGGGGGACTCTTGGTATAAAGCTGCTGAGGTCTGTATGGAGCGTAGATGGGTTCCTGAGGATGGGTCGTCACTCGGTTGTTTTGCACCGGTCCGTTCCTCAATATACCATACGTAGGATCCACACCCTGCTGTGGGTTATGCCTCATGATGCCGTACGTGGGCTCCACAGTTTGTGGACCGTTCCTTATGATTCCGTAGGTTGGGTCCATGTTTTGAGCCTTGTACGAGCTATAGCTCTGGTCAGGCTGAGGAGGCTGCATACCTCTCTGTAGTGACACGCTGCGCCACTGAACCTGAACCTGCAATTCATAAAAATCTTACTCATTTGTCTTTTATTTATTTAATTTATACATAAAAATCAAACAAAATAAACACTAATTAACGAGAAAAGTACTTTATAGTTTAAAATGTAAAAGATTCATTTTTCTATTTAGTAATTTGCTAATTAATTATCTTGAAATGAAGTTAAAGTACTTTGTGTGTCTATACTTTCCCAATAAAAACCTAAATATGTTAAGTCAGAGATACCTCGTACTTAACTAACTAGAATGTGAAATGTAAACAATTCCATTGCGGTCAAGGATGGCCATAGAGCTATTGAGTCACAAAAAAATGAAAAGTGTATAAGTTTACCTAATGCCTTGTATAATAGGAATAATAAAATGAAATATGATCTAGTGACTAATCAGCAACTATTTTGGTTCTTTAATTGTGATGGATTTGGGATGAATGGGGCAGTGTATTATTTAACACTTAGCTGAAGATCAATGTTCTATTCTATATATACCTTGTTTGCAGCATCCATGGCCAGATCATCTACGCTGGTGGACCTCCGCTGTGTGTTGGCTGTGGCTGATTCTCTACTCGAGTTAGAGTGTACTCCACTGGATGTCTCGCTGTGGTCGGGAGGTGATGCTCCAGCCTCTGGTGGTGATGCTCCAGACGCCTCGGTGCTCATGGAGTCTGACCTCGGAGTCAACTCATCTCCCGGCATGCCTGAATCTGTCCTCCGAAGACATCTGGGAGTTGTCTGTCAGGAAGCACATAAGTTATAGGATAAAGCTTTAAACACGACAACAACACCAATAGCGTATCAAAATGGTAGTAGATTGATGTATTTGCAAAAAAAAAAAAAAAAAAAATACTAAGTCTAAAACTTAATCAATTAGAGGTATGTAAACTCCAAGATACCTATCAATATTCTTTTAGCAATGGCTTTTAGCAGTCTGGCTTCAACAATTCCACTTATTCAAGGTTCACTTACATTTCACCGCCCATTCATATGTTGCATGTTGCATTGTTATTCCACAGAACTGAAGATTCAATGGTGACTTACTGATTTAGTTTAGTTATTGTTTAAGTATTAAAGTCAATTCATCAAAACAAAATATGCATTCAGAAGTTGAGAAGAAAGAATTTGAGGACGGCATGATAAATTTTAACTCGATAGAATCTCAAAATACTACTATGATAAAAATATATTTAAAACCAGAATAAATTCCTTTACTAAGTACACCCTACTTGTAGGTCATTTTACACATACTAAACACATGGGTGGCTCACCTGTTGGTTGCTAGACACAGGAGGTGGGGGTGGTGGAGGGGAGGGAGGGGGTAGATCGTGAGGCTCAGGGGTCAGTAGAGGGGATGGGTCCTCGTAGTCCCCTGCGTCAGCTGGTAGAGGCATCAGCAAGTCACAGTTGGTACGAGCGTATGTCACACTTGCTGTACGCACACCTTCCAGCAACTGTACCCAAACCACACCAAGCAGCAGTGTTAGTGTTAGTACTATCACAACATGCTGGGTTACCAAATACAGGGTAGGCCTAATCAAAAACCATGTCCCCTATTCTATTATTAAAAGGGCTCAAATTAATTTCACCATCCTGTGTTTTACCTTTTGTTAGTAAACTATTTAAGTTAGAGCTCATACCTCCCTTTTATACGTACACACATCATACGTTAATATTATTTTACCCTAACTTGCTGTTTTCATAGCAGCTGCAAATGGTTGGCTAAAAGGTTCAAACTATTGTTGTTTGACTAAAAAAATCTATGCGTAAATCAAGCAGAGAATTTAAAATAAAATAAATAAATTATTAAAATATTTCTAACTTTTTACACGAGTCCAACTCATGAAATTATAGTTGACATTTTTATTTGTAAAAGTCAGTTCAAATATTAGCATAAAAAATATTTTAAGTGACATTTCAATTTAGTGTGTAGCCTAATATAAACAGTTATAATTGTTAGGCTTACCCAGAACAAAATACAACACCACAATTAAAGCATGTCAAAACAAAATATTTTGAAGATAATCACCTTGTTATCCTCTGAGGCAGTATCTCCGTCACTCTGTTCTGTGGCTCCAACACTCAGCATCGGAAGTTCTCGTAACCTCGCATAATCTCCGTCATCTTCTGACTCGTGCAGCTTGCTGCTTCTACTTTTTCTGCAATGATGAGAAAATGTTTTAAAACCACAGGAAAAATAATAACTCATCTGTTCTTCGAGCATAATTATATTATTGACGTTTTCTGATATTTTTTGTGAGGGAACTGTCTAAACCCTCTGGTCTTAAATACATTCTAATCGGATGTTTTGTTGGATATAGTGTCATTAGCACTGTAAGCTCTAAGCCCAGGTATAATCTAGAGAATCTTGTAGGTCGTCATGAATGAACCCAGAGTAGGCCTACAGGACGCATTGTTGTCAAATTGATTAGTTTGTCAAATCTAACTTGCGAGCACTAGTGTGGACATGACTTATAGTTCCACTCCTCCCGGTTGGCTGACGGTGGCATGGTAGCTCAGTTGGCTAAGTTGTTGCACTGATAAGTGTAGGTCTGGGTTTTCTACATGCACAAGGTTTAAAAAGCAAACCTTTGCAATCCATAGTAATCTTACTAATTTGTAGCCTAACCAGTGGCAGGGCCCACTTTCAAGCAACGGTGTCCAGCTTAGATGGACGTTTAACAGCATTAATGATTTCTTGAAATAATTAAGGCATGCTTAGCTTAAGATGTTTAATCAAAGTGAAATACAAGTTGAAGAAACATCAAGTTTATTTGTCAAAGTCGAAGAAATTTCAAAATCTTTTATGGATTTTCGCAAATATTTAAATTTTATTTAGTTTAAAAATATATTTTTCTTGTATCTTTGACTTCCCAACTGTCCCAACTCGTGGCAAGGAAATTCCCAACTTTTCTCTTTCCCAGATTTTGCGGGGTGGAGGCTCCTCCCCCCCAAGACGACAACCCTGCTCATGCAATTAAAACTGAAATAATCTGAGAATAACTATCAATTAGATTGTGGCACTAACTTTGAGCTTGGATCGAAGGTGACTTTGTGTTTAGCCCCGTTTGGTTTCTTGAACCACTCCAGTCTCTCGGAGTTGGCAGAATCCGGGGAATGTTTAGGAGTTGTTTGTTTTGGCCTGAGCCAGTAGATCTGCTCCTCATCTCTGTCCATCCAGTCCTTGGCACTGCTACTGGAGGACCCTGTGACAGACAAAGCGTTGATGTGGTACGTCCAGAGAGGTAAAAAAATTTAAATCTTTCAGTTTGGTACAACAAAATTCAATCTTGGGGAACAACTTATGAAACTTATGAAAGCCTGAATCTGTCGATGCTGTTCATCCAGAGATTGGAAGTCTAAATCTGTCAATGTTGTTACCTGACTATTGGAAACTGAAGTAAACATTTAATCTATATTTCAGCTATCACAAATTTTATCGAAAATGGTCATAGCTGTGTGAGTCAATCACAGAATGCGCTAGTGTCTTAAGTTCTATTTTCTACCTTATTTTTTGTTACTGATTAATTTTAAGAGTCATAACATTTGCTATAACTCTCATTAAATCATTACATTAATTTGAATTGGTGAAAAAGTTTGGATATCCGACAGAAATATGTAATTTAGATTTAGATCAGCGCAATCTGTTGGTGGCTTCTATCAGCTAAAACGATTTGGATTTTAACACTGGCGACAGCATTAACATGGGGATAAAATGTCTAGTTGTATCAAAAGTCAATGGTTGTAGGTTCAGAGGTAAGAGTTTTAATTTTTAATATGATGTACAGAGAAACAGTATTAATCTGTCAATTACTTTCAGAGCCACAACATTACACTCATGCGCTGGATTGGAAATTGTATACAAAATTAATTACAGGTAACACACTCTTAAATAAACGGTATCAGTAATCTGACACATACTTTCTCCCAATAGCTTGTCATCAACCCTTATAATGATCAAGCGGTGGGAGTAGGTATGGTATTTTATGGGTGCTGTAATTTTCACAGCAATAATTGTAACTGTACCGTTTTGTTAAGAATTGAAAGGGCTTTAATATACTAAATGTTGATCAAAATATTTCAAGCTTATTTTGCAAAATCCAATTTTACCTTTGTTCTAAGGAATTTTATGGGGAAAGTGCCAATATAAAACAAAATTTCAGAAAAATTAAAAAAATCTTGGGATACTATGAATTAAAAAATGTCCAACACTTGTTATAATATGACAGAATTTATATCGCCTGATTGGACTTTCTTGTTCTGACCTGATGATATGTGCTCAGTTTGCAGATGAAAATTTATTAGTCTCTTGTGAGTATCTGTTTTATAGTTTCTTGGAAACAAACATTTTATAGGTAAAACAAAGCTTTGACCTGGAGTATGTGAAAACCATTTTAAAAATGTCTGCTTAGTGCAGTACATATAAGCATTGACTATATAACACTAGTGTTATATAGTCAATGATATAAGGTATCATTCTATATTCTACAAGGTACACTAACTTGTTGCAACATACAGAGAAACCAGTAAAATACATTAATTGTGATCACAGTGTAATTTTGCTGTTATTACAAAAGTTATTAGTTTGCCACCTGATAAGTGGAATTTTCCTTACCACCTTGACTTCTCGCCTTCTTCTCCATAACACACTTTTGTATGACACCCATGATGGCCTTCTTAGGTGAGTTATCAGAGATGGTGTAAGTGCGGCCATTACCTACAACCAACAAGGGTTGGGCGTAGTCTGTAGATGACAATAAATCCACCTATAAAGTAAAAAACAGAACAAATGTATAGCTTTGTCGTAATACCTTTGAAGCAAAATAAGTAAGAAAGCAATAAACATTTAGTTTCCAAGTATATGGGATAAAGATATCTTTAAAAATCCACTTCTGGTTATTGGCAACTTCTAGTAATTTTAACTCGCGGGCCAGCAAGAATCATATAATACTGATCCTTAATAATACCTGTGGTTTTACCAAATATTATATTATGTAAGTAAATAACATTAAGACTATTTTTGCCTTTCAGCAAGAGTAAATGAACTATACTGGATAATAATGTGCTCGTGCTTACCTCAGTGACAAGCTTGATGGAGCGAGCCGAGCGCACAGAGGCTCTGCCTACAGTCACTCGCAGTTTGAACCTCCAATGTTGCTTGATGGTTAAAACAAGCCAAAGAAGTACCCATAGAAACAGGTGAACCTGAGCACAGAATACAAAATGTTATCACAAACTTATGCTTAGTTTTTTTATTCACATTATATTTTTGTAAACTACAAGTTTTATTCAACATATTTGTATAAAAAAACTAAGTGCAATATTCAAGTACAATTATTGGGAAGGGAATACAAGCAAGATACTGGAAATACTTAATACTTCATAACATTGACAGCGACGCATTTTGTGGACAAGTATTGTGTGAAACACTCTTTTTGTGTGCATATGTTAATCTGAATATGACTGTAGAAAGGAGGGAGTTACCTAACTTTGTAGCTTTGTAGTCAGTAGACTATGACCAGCAATTTATTTATCAGGGACCATTTAAACAAATCTATTCTACTTCAAATGATACTATTTATTTACTATTTTGAAAAATAGCAGAGAGTGAGGACTCAAATAAAAGCTAAACCTAAAACGTAGACAAATTTGAGGACAAGGTTTTTTTTCTAATAAGACTTAAAAGTAAAAACTGACCACAGCTCCAACAACACAGGCCAGTACAGCAGAGCTGAGGCTGCCTCTGTAGACGACAGTAGAGTCATACAGCAGCGGGGCTTGACACACGGCCATGGCTAGCAGTACACACAGCGCAGCGCAGTGAGTGAAGTAACCCCAGCCCTTGCCTGTGTAGCTGTCCATGCTGATGACTCGCCTAGCTCGCTCTCGTGACACAAAGGAGTTGAGCCTGAACAACACCACACTACACGTCAGGTTAGGAAGGAGAACACTTTCCTGGTTTTAGTTCATTGTTTATTTAATATTCTACTTTTAAGATGTTTACCAAATTAATACTTTTGATTGTTTAAAGATCACGAAGACTTCTGTTGTTTTCATTTACATTTAAGGTATGATACTTTAGAGAAGAAACAAAATCATTTAATAAATAATACATATTAATACATTATATAATATTGCCGTATGAAGAAAAAGTTAATTAGATAACATTTTGCCTACTCCACAGCAGAGAAGTAAGGAACAGAGGATACAGTCCACGGTACATTAAGTGGTGTCTAGCACTAATCGCTGGTGCCATAGGCAAAGTTCAACATCACACCCCTCCCCATCATGTACTACAACGCTAACGGTAAAGGTAGAACCTGTGCGTTAGAAATTTCCGCACAATGCTGGCCATTCAGGCTCTTCCTTCCTCGTCAAGTATATTTCCTGCACAATATTACAAGAGCTGGAAATCCACATTAGAATGTTCCTTATGTACCTTACTTCTCTGTGCCTACTCTAGACTGATTGGGCTAACCAAACTATCCAGTCACTGAATTAGCGTAGACCACAAAATACATAATTGCTAAATGAAAATGCAAAGGAAACTTTATGTAATGAATTTTAGAGTCATAGGCATATTGAAATACTTTACAAGGGCTTACGTACTAGAGATTTTAATTAAAGTTTTGGCTTCACTTGAGCATAAGCAAAACATCTAATATGGAGTCTTCTTTCCCTGAACAAAGTATAATAGTGACAAATATAATAGTAGGGCCTAGACAAATTGATTAATGTTGTGAAACAACGTTTAAAATATTCTAAATTAGCTTAGCTATATGTAAAAGAAAATCATGAAATGTTGGCTTCAAATTGAAATCAAACATAAATGAACTAAAACCAAAAAAAGTGTTCTTGTTCTAAATTTAGACACTGTTAGTAAAAGCATAGTTATCAAGAAACAAAGGCCACAAGTCGATAAAGATTATTTGACCACAACCTCAGTTAGTGAAATAGTGAAGTAGCTATTAATAAATGGTTTCCGAAAAGTTGACTTACCGGCTGTAGCCATACAGATATAATACAAGACTAGACTTGATGACTAGGAGAGTGGAAAAGATGAAGAGCGCCAGGGTTACATCTCTATTGAGAAGGAAGTGCTGTGGCATGCTGGGACTGAGACCAACTCTCTGGTGAAGCAAAGGCAGGGCTTCAGATGGACCAACCACATGTACCTGTCACAGAGAACATCAAACATTACTGTTACATCTCTGTTGAGAAGGAAGTGCTGTGGCATGCTGGGACTGAGACCAACTCTCTGGTGAAGCAAAGGCAGGGCTTCAGATGGACCAACCACATGTACCTTTCACAGAGAACATCGAACATTACTGTTACATCTCTGTTGAGAAGGAAGTGCTGTGGCATGCTGGGACTGAGACCAACTCTCTTATGGTGAAGCAAAGGCAGGGCTTCAGATGGACCAACCACATGTACCTGTCACAGAGAACATCAAACATTACTGTTACATCTCTGTTGAGAAGGAACTGCTGTGGCATGCTGGGACTGAGACCAACTCTCTGGTGAAGCAAAGGCAGGGCTTCAGATGGACCAACCACATGTACCTGTCACAGAGAACATCAAACATTACTGTTACATCTCTGTTGAGAAGGAAGTGCTGTGGCATGCTGGGACTGAGACCAACTCTTTGGTGAAGCAAAGGCAGGGCTTCAGATGGACCAACCACATGTACCTGTCACAGAGAACATCAAACATTACTGTTACATCTCTGTTGAGAAGGAAGTGCTGTGGCATGCTGGGACTGAGACCAAAACTCTGGTGAAGCAAAGGCAGGGTTTCAGATGGACCAACCACATGTACCTGTCACAGAGAACATCAAACATTACTGTTACATCTCTGTTGAGAAGGAAGTGCTGTGGCATGCTGGAACTGAGACCAAAACTCTGGTGAAGCAAAGGCAGGGTTTCAGATGGACCAACCACATGTACCTGTCACAGAGAACATCAAACATTACTGTTACATCTCTGTTGAGAAGGAAGTTCTGTGGCATGCTGGGACTGAGACCAACTCTCTGGTGAAGCAAAGGCAGGGCTTCAGATGGACCAACCACATGTACCTGTCACAGAGAACATCAAACATTACTGTTACATCTCTATTGAGAAGGAAGTGCTGTGGCATGCTGGGACTGAGACCAACTCTCTGGTGAAGCAAAGGCAGGGCTTCAGATGGACCAACCACATGTACCTGTCACAGAGAACATCAAACATTACTGTTACATCTTTATTGAGAAGGAAGTGCTGTGGCATGCTGGGACTGAGACCAACTCTCTGGTGAAGCAAAGGCAGGGCTTCAGATGGACCAACCACATGTACCTGTCACAGAGAACATCAAACATTACTGTTACATCTCTGTTGAGAAGGAAGTGCTGTGGCATGCTGGGACTGAGACCAACTCTCTGGTGAAGCAAAGGCAGGGCTTCAGATGGACCAACCACATGTACCTTTCATAGAGAACATCGAACATTACTGTTACATCTCTGTTGAGAAGGAAGTGCTGTGGCATGCTGGGACTGAGACCAACTCTCTTATGGTGAAGCAAAGGCAGGGCTTCAGATGGACCAACCACATGTACCTGTCACAGAGAACATCAAACATTACTGTTACATCTCTGTTGAGAAGGAAGTTCTATGGCATGATGGGACTGAGACCAACCCTCTGGTGAAGCAAAGGCAGGGTTTCAGATGGACCAACCACATGTACCTGTCACAGAGAACATCAAACATTACTACTGTTACATCTCTGTTGAGAAGGAAGTTCTGCAGCATGATGGGACTAAGACCAACCCTTTGGTGAAGCAGAGGCAGGGCTTCAGATGGACCAACCACATGTACCTGTCACAGAGAACATCAAACATTACTGTTACATCTCTGTTAGAAGGAAGTTCTGTGGCATGATGGGACTGAGACCAACTCTCTGGTGAAGCAGAGGCAGGGCTTCAGATGAACCAACCACATGTACCTGTCACAGAGAACATCAAACATTACTGTTACATCTCTGTTGAGAAGGAAGTTCTGTGGCATGATGGGACTGAGACCAACCCTCTGGTGAAGCAAAGACAGGGCTTCAGATGGACCAACCACATGTACCTGTCACAGAGAACATCAAACATTACAGTTACATCTCTGTTAGAAGGAAGTTCTGTGGCATGATGGGACTGAGACCAACCCTCTGGTGAAGCAAAGACAGGGCTTCAGATGAACCAACCACATGTACCTGTCACAGAGAACATCAAACATTACTGTTACATCTCTGTTGAGAAGGAAGTTCTGTGGCATGATGGGACTGAGACCAACCCTTTGGTGAAGCAGAGGCAGGGCTTCAGATGGACCAACCACATGTACCTGTCACAGAGAACATCAAACATTACTGTTACATCTCTGTTGAGAAGGAAGTTCTGTGGCATGCTGGGACTGAGACCAACTCTCTGGTGAAGCAAAGGCAGGGCTTCAGATGGACCAACCACATGTACCTGTCATAGAGAATATCAAACATTACTGTTACATCTCTGTTGAGAAGGAAGTTCTGTGGCATGATGGGACTGAGACCAACTCTTTGGTGAAGCAAAGGCAGGGCTTCAGATGGACCAACCACATGTACCTGTCACAGAGAACATCAAACATTACTGTTACATCTCTGTTCAGAAGGAAGTTCTGTGGCATGATGGGACTGAGACCAACTCTTTGGTGAAGCAGAGGCAGGGCTTCAGATGGACCAACCACATGTACCTGTCACTTATTACTGACAATGTCTGGAAGACATCTCTTTTGAAAAATCAATTAAAAAATCTAAAATATATATCCAGGACGATTTGTTGAAAAGTTAATTTATCTAAGAAAAACACTTTTAAAAGTTTATAACGAGTTAGGCAACAAGTCTTATAATTTGCTGTATGTACGCCAGATTATGGGTTTTAAAAGTAATAATTGTATAGTATATTTATATTTTGCAAACAAATACCTTGTAAAGAACAGAGATGCCAGCATACATGAGGATGCACTGAGCTCCATTGATGAGCAGTTGGATGGAAAACAAGGCTCCAAACCATTTGTTGGTATTCCAGAACACTGCAGGGTAGCGGATTGCGTAAACAAACAATGCCAGTGCATAGTTGAGAAGTTCTGGTGAAACTGGACCCCACTTAGGCTCATCTGCAAAAATAGATTTCTTTTTAAAAATAACATTAACACCCAAGCAGACTTTTTTGGATAACAATTTTATTTGTGTTGTGAGTCAGTTGAAAAGTAATAGACAATAAAATTAATTGCATATAACAATTTAAGGGTGATTTTCTTTCAATCCACCATCAAGTTGACCTCAAGAAGCAATTCTCAATGAAATCTCTAAAGAAATCCAAAAGAATTTTATTCAAATTTAAATAAATCTTTGAAGATTCTTATCAAATGTTGAAACTACTGACCATTGACAGATAGGTCCTGGTCGGGGATGCCCACAGTGAGAGGCAGAGTCTGGGGTTTGCTGGAGGCTAGAGGGTTGTGACTGCTAGTGTCCTGAGGCAAGGGTGTTGGTAGGAAAGTCATGTTGACGTTGGGAGATGTCATGAAGCTGAGAACCACCAGTCTGTCCCTCTGAGCTACTAGGAAGTCCAGGTCAGTCCTCCAGATCAGATCTATAACAGGACAAGCATTATCCCTCCATGATATATCACTAGATGGCTTATGTTTTATATGCTGTAAGAATTTGTTAAAACATAAATTCTGTTTATGACTTTTGAAAAGGCTAATTCAAGTACTATCTATAACTTTATTCCTACTTTTTAAAATTATTTCGGTTCTCTGAACCAAATAAAAACTCATTCGGATTATTTAATTTGCATAGGAAAAGGTCCTTTATTGCTTTGGGAAAAGGTGAGTTGGACAGTTATTTAAGTTTAGGATAATAATTTGGGAATAATTAAATAATAACTTTAAAATGGGCTTTTACTCTCGGTACCAAATGAGATTTCCTAAGGAAAACACCGTTCATGAACAAGAACAGTTATCAAAATACTCATAACACATTGATTCTGAATAATTATTAAGCATATTTAAACATTTTCTTTATTCGATGGTTTTTGGCACACTGGGTTTAAGAAATGGAGTAATAGTTTTGTAATAGACACATAAACTATAAAGTTTAATCTAACCTTTAACGGTTCAATTCCATGAAATAAAAAACAAATTAGCGATTTCAGTAAAACATTGACAATCGATCATTTACACAGTATTATTGCTATTTGCTAAATCGGAAATCAAACCACCTCAAAATAGCAATTGCCTGAGCAAACAATTTTCTTGAGCGGGTGTAATCCAATTTGTCGGAGTCAACGTCCAAGTCTGCTGATTGTTTGTTTGTTTTGTTTCGATATTGTTCTTTTTCGAAGATTAAACCTGATAGAAGACACTCACTAATGAAACTGTGATAACTGTTAAGTTAATACGTACTGCCTGTGGAATTCTATGTTGAACTTTAAAGTTATAATAAAATTAGTACACAGTATAATATAATTTACTTCTAGAAAATCCCTGTATGTTGAAAACAAATAACAAAATTTACTCGTAAACTTATACATCATACAAATCAATCAAACTGTCAATGCCACGTTTCCATCCACATAACACAGATGGACGATAAACGGATGGATGACTAGATACGAGAATATGGAGATAGAACAGACAGATAGAGATAGAAAACAGCGGTGAAAAGTTTAGACAGGACAGAGTCGGGTGGGTTGGGTTGGGTGAAGGTTTCATAATAAGCAACAGCTGCCGCGCGCCATCTGACAGCAGAAAAACCAGACGAGCTCTACAGATTGTGGCTTAAATTTCAAGCGACACCCGGCAATCGGGCCACCGGGCCCCGGGCCGGGCCAGTGAACGATCGCAGGGAAGGATACATCCGAATCCGAGAGAGGCTATTTATGAGCCGACACACTCCACTCGGCAATCCAAGGCTACAAGCGAAACAAACTACACACAGATAAATGGGACATAAATCTATGTGTTTGGCTGTTAAAACCTTCTTCACATATTAATACGTACAGAATGCGAGTTTCAAGAATAATTATATCTCGGAAGGAAATAAGAAAAAGTACAAAAAATTGTTTTCTACAGTATCCAAAAGTAAGCTGTTGGCAAGAGTGGAACCTATAAACTAATAAATCAGGCGGAAATAGCCTCCACTTCACTCAGTCTGTCTCAGTAGTTCACATATCGACACCCGGCCTGTAGAACCTCTTACGTCTGCTCTAGTTTATTTACAGGCCAGAAAAGCGATGTTTGCTGCATAAATAACTAAGAGTGGAGGGGGAATATGTTGTGATGTTTAGCTCGCTTCTTTGCCGACTGAATTATTTTAATCTATGCTGAAAGTGTCATCAAGGCTGACCAATGGCAAGCTCTCACAGAGTTTGCCTACTTCTGAGTACAAATGTAACCAATATAATCACCAGTCTAGAATTAAAAATCACCCATAAAATACCAATAATCAGCCTCCTCACTCTTCCTTCTAGCTTGTGTTAGCAAATTCGTACTTGTCATTCGTTATGGCTACCAACTAACAAAATAAAACAACGTGTCCTACTATTTTGAGAGCAACTAAGGTAGGGCCTAATTTTACATTACAGTGCCTAACCTTTTTATCGTTTAAAATCCTCAAACACAGAGCAGACAATAAAGATACAACCTACGAACAAAATGCTATACGAGATATAATTTGTAGACGAACCATCCATTATCGAATTATTCGTGTATTCTCTGGTCCAGGCAAGGTCAGATGTGAGTCTACCTGGCCACCCCGACAGATGGCTACAACAGCTGCTGAGCTGCTTGCATAATTGAGGGCCAGATGCAGACCAAGATTGTACTTTATGATTTCCTCAAATATGTCTTCCGCGTCCGCCTACGCTCTTGTATTGTGTTTACGTGGCTTCACGACTCTTGATTTTCAATGACTACATTTATTTAATAACAGGGTACAAACTGCTGTCTAAAAGGGCGTGAAATTGGGCAGTGAGTTGTTGTGGGGACGGCGCGGCATGTGTGTGTGTGCGTGTGTGTGTCTGTGTGTACGCGCGCCAGCAGATCGACATGTGACGTCCGCGACCGACGTCATACTACTATTGGCGCCCACAACCACAACATGTATGGCTGCGTGGCTTACAACATACCCCTACAACCATAGATGCAAAATGCACTCGACTATTCCACCAGAACCGCTTATTGTCAAAAGGGTCAATGAGAGTGAGCTACTTCTACTAATTGTAGAAAAACATATATTTTAGCGACAGTTCGTGAAACTTGGAACCGAGAATAAATGTTCAAGAAAGCATGATCAATACCCTGTAAATAATTTAGCAAGGTTATCAAATGATCTGCTGCTTCATCAAAAATATCGCGATTTCAATTTATATTATTTGGCCTATTTCTGGAAAAGTAGCTTTCTTTCCCACAGAACATAAACTTTTAGTCTAATTCTAAGTGCGCATCAACTAGGCCTACTAAGTTAAACAAATACCCCTGTAAAATAATGTAGTGTTTTTTTTATTATTTAACTATTTATTCCTTGTAAACTATGAGCTCGCTCTTATATATTTATATTTAAGCTCTTACATATCGTTATTTCTTTCAAGATGTTATACAAGAAAGATGAGCAAGCACAATCCGCATTCATCAAGGGGGAATCTCAACTTTCATTAGGCCTCAGATTTCAGATTCACGTGACTTAGAAAAAATGGGGTCATTAATCACTTTTTGCTCCTTACAAAAAGCGCCTCAACTCTACAAGATATTATGAAGGGGAGTGAATCCAGCGCAGCTCGATAAGATAACCGATTAATGTATAATAGCGAGAATAAGAGATGTCACGTCACATTTTGTGCTCTGATACTTTAAACATGAATTTTGTATCGCGTCAATTAGTGGAATATTTTGTTTGAAGGTGAAGGATTGAATAGATAGTGAGGCATTATTTATAAATCGTACTATTTATTTTTGTGTCTCACTATTTTATTGGTAGAAGATAACAGACTGATAAATAACTCAAGTATACTAATATATTTAGTAATTTAATAGCCATAACGTCCAGATCATACCATAATGAAAGAATGTATTGCTGTACTGAATACAAAGTGAAAAGGGGAATATATGGTGACTCCTACCATTAACATCGATTTGATTTCATGCATCTTTAACAACATGCGTAGGCCTACCCTGAGCTAACTATGTAATATAGTGCACGTGTACTGATGTTATAACACTGATCCTCAAATGGATAAAATTAAAATGAGGGAACAAACTAAGGCTACAATTTACTACGGAGGGTACAATTTATTGAGAGAGCCAAGTAATATCAACCAAATATACGTCCCACAACCGAGGCTCACGTCGCGTGTACCGTGCACTAGAACATTAGCACGAGAATTATGTCATGTTGCTGGGACAAAGAGTCGCATGTCGCTCCTCCATTACATTCCGACACCGAGCTATTTATTGCAACCCAAAAATCGGATTACTTTGCAGTGAAAGTTAAGTGTTATGACGCTCACAAAATATAATATAGCGTTATTTTAGAATAGGAACTTAGTTCGATTTTGTATACACTTAGTTTCTTATAACTACCCTTTAGAACTACTCGATAACTTTTTTTAAAGAAAACATCTATGCTTTCATAGATCACAACGAATAGTAGAGCGCATGAATTGAAATTTCTATAACGGCATGAGTATTAAAATCGCCTTTATTTTCCGTTATTAAAATACAAAGTGTTTTCGGGGTAGTTGTCTAGTTGGTTAAACTAACCTTTAGGTAGAAAGCCGGCCTGGATGAGCCGAGCTTCTATGAGGAGGCGCGGCAGGAGGAGGCAAAAGGCAGTGACGATGTGTAGGAAGGGCGCCGTGGGACCTGAGTGTCGCCAGAAGCCTCTGGGACCTCCGCCACCCAGGGCTACAGAGGCTGGAGGATCAGCAGAGCAGTTGCTGACACTACGGCCGAGCTTGCAGCCGTCGTTGGCGAGGTTTCCCACCTTGAAGACGGCCGCCGCCAGGAAGACGGGGAGCAGCAAGACAGCAGTCCCTGTCAGCACGATGTACGCGTGAAGCTCTAGACGAGGCGCCGACGACGCTGGCCATCCTAGCTCTAGGTAATCTGTAATGGAAATTGTAATTAGCACAGCACATCAATCAGCAAGACAGCAGTCCCTGTCAGCACGATGTACGCGTGAAGCTCTAGACGAGGAGCCGACGACGCTGGCCATCCTAGCTCTAGGTAATCTGTAATGGAAATTGTAATCAGCACAGCACATCAAGCAGCAAGACAGCAGTCCCTGTCAGCACGATGTACGCGTGAAGCTCTAGACGAGGCGCCGACGACGCTGGCCATCCTAGCTCTAGGTAATCTGTAATGGAAATTGTGATCAGCACAGCACATCAAGCAGCAAGACAGCAGTCCCTGTCAGCACGATGTAGGCCTACGCGTGAAGCTCTAGACGAGGCGCTGGCGACGCTGGCCATCCTAGCTCTAGGTAATCTGTAATGGAAATTGTGATCAGCACAGCACATCAAGCAGCAAGACAGCAGTCCCGGTCAGCACGATGTACGCGTGAAGCTCTAGACGAGGCGCCGACGACGCTGGCCATCCTAGCTCTAGGTAATCTGTAATGGAAATTGTAATCAGCACAGCACATCAAGCAGCAAGACAGCAGTCCCGGTCAGCACGATGTACGCGTGAAGCTCTAGACGAGGCGCCAACGACGCTGGCCATCCTAGCTCTAGGTAATCTGTAATGGAAATTGTGATCAGCACAGCACATCAAGCAGCAAGACAGCAGTCCCGGTCAGCACGATGTACGCGTGAAGCTCTAGACGAGGCGCCGACGACGCTGGCCATCCTAGCTCTAGGTAATCTGTAATGGAAATTGTAATCAGCACAGCACATCAAGCAGCAAGACAGCAGTCCCGGTCAGCACGATGTACGCGTGAAGCTCTAGACGAGGCGCCAACGACGCTGGCCATCCTAGCTCTAGGTAATCTGTAATGGAAATTGTAATCAGCACAGCACATCAAGCAGCAAGACAGCAGTCCCGGTCAGCACGATGTACGCGTGAAGCTCTAGACGAGGCGCCAACGACGCTGGCCATCCTAGCTCTAGGTAATCTGTAATGGAAATTGTAATCAGCACAGCACATCAAGCAGCAAGACAGCAGTCCCGGTCAGCACGATGTACGCGTGAAGCTCTAGACGAGGCGCCGACGACGCTGGCCATCCTAGCTCTAGGTAATCTGTAATGGAAATTGTAATCAGCACAGCACATCAAGCAGCAAGACAGCAGTCCCTGTCAGCACGATGTACGCGTAAAGCTCTAGACGAGGCGCCAACGACGCTGGCCATCCTAGCTCTAGGTAATCTGTAATGGAAATTGTAATCAGCACAGCACATCAAGCAGCAAGACAGCAGTCCCGGTCAGCACGATGTACGCGTGAAGCTCTAGACGAGGCGCCGACGACGCTGGCCATCCTAGCTCTAGGTAATCTGTAATGGAAATTGTGATCAGCACAGCACATCAAACAGTAAGACAGCAGTTCCTGTCAGCACGATGTACGCGTGAAGCTCTAGACGAGGCGCCAACGACGCTGGCCATCCTAGCTCTAGGTAATCTGTAATGGAAATTGTAATCAGCACAGCACATCAAACAGTAAGACAGCAGTTCCTGTCAGCACGATGTACGCGTGAAGCTCTAGACGAGGCGCCGACGACGCTGGCCATCCTAGCTCTAGGTAATCTGTAATGGAAATTGTAATCAGCACAGCACATCAAGCAGCAAGACAGCAGTCCCGGTCAGCACGATGTACGCGTGAAGCTCTAGACGAGGCGCCGACGACGCTGGCCATCCTAGCTCTAGGTAATCTGTAATGGAAATTGTGATCAGCACTGCACATCAAGCAGCAAGACAGCAGTCCCGGTCAGCACGATGTACGCGTGAAGCTCTAGACGAGGCGCCGACGACGCTGGCCATCCTAGCTCTAGGTAATCTGTAATGGAAATTGTGATCAGCACAGCACATCAAGCAGCAAGACAGCAGTCCCGGTCAGCACGATGTACGCGTGAAGCTCTAGACGAGGCGCCAACGACGCTGGCCATCCTAGCTCTAGGTAATCTGTAATGGAAATTGTAATCAGCACAGCACATCAAGCAGCAAGACAGCAGTCCCGGTCAGCACGATGTACGCGTGAAGCTCTAGACGAGGCGCCAACGACGCTGGCCATCCTAGCTCTACGTAATCTGTAATGGAAATTGTAATCAGCACAGCACATCAAGCAGCAAGACAGCAGTCCCTGTCAGCACGATGTACGCGTGAAGCTCTAGACGAGGCGCCGACGACGCTGGCCATCCTAGCAGAGGTAATCTGAATGGAAATTGTAATCAGCACAGCACATCAAACAGTAAGACAGCAGTTCCTGTCAGCACGATGTACGCGTGAAGCTCTAGACGAGGCGCCAACGACGCTGGCCATCCTAGCTCTAGGTAATCTGTAATGGAAATTGTGATCAGCACAGCACATCAAGCAGCAAGACAGCAGTTCCTGTCAGCACGATGTACGCGTGAAGCTCTAGACGAGGCGCCAACGACGCTGGCCATCCTAGCTCTAGGTAATCTGAATGGAAATTGTAATCAGCACAGCACATCAAGCAGCAAGACAGCAGTCCCTGTCAGCACGATGTACGCGTGAAGCTCTAGACGAGGCGCCAACGACGCTGGCCATCCTAGCTCTAGGTAATCTGTAATGGAAATTGTAATCAGCACAGCACATCAAGCAGCAAGACAGCAGTCCCTGTCAGCACGATGTACGCGTGAAGCTCTAGACGAGGCGCCGACGACGCTGGCCATCCTAGCTCTAGGTAATCTGAATGGAAATTGTAATCAGCACAGCACATCAAACAGCAAGACAGCAGTTCCTGTCAGCACGATGTACGCGTGGAGCTCTACACGAGGTGCTGACGACGCTGGCCATCCTAGCTCTAGGTAATCTGTAATGGAAATTGTAATCATCACAACATATCGAGCAGCAAGACAGCAGCACGATTACCGTGTCTAACTACGTAGGCCTACGAATGGGTGAAAAATAAATTGAAATAATCAGATTTCAGTTCAACAAAGTCTTACTTGGCAAAGATATCGTAGTTTTGCACACCTTTTGCTTCTTTTTAGCCTCCTCTAACACCGTGTAATTATTAAACCATCAGGATTTTTTGGGTTAGTTTTTTCGTAAATAAAGTTATCCACAATTGTCTTACCAATACACCTGCCTTCTAATAATAGCCAACAAAACACGCTAGCGTTTTAATAAGAATGCAGGCATAATTATGTCTGTCACGGATCCGGGAACCTTAATAAAGCTTTCTACATTCTGTGAATATTGATGTGACCCAAGTCTGGCAAAGAAACGCTGTGCTGAACATCCCCTCTCGTACATGTTACCTATAAAATAATATGAATAATGAACTGCCTTTGTGTATTTACAAAACTTGAGATGTTGACAATGTAACATGAAAATGAGATATTGAAAAACCACTACCTATGTTGAAAATTGACACCATTTTCTCTTCATTAAGGTGGAATACCGAAAAGTATTATACCAATCTGTTATGGCCAAAGTTTTGAAAAAAAAATTATGCAAGATATTTTAATTCTGAAATTACGGAGTTAACTGAGCTGTTAAAATGTGAAATGTTGCTTCTTGACTTCTAAGAATAATGAGTGGGTCGTAAAAACATTGGTGGCAAAAATGCACAGTGGATACTTGTTCACTATCTCATTAAATTTTATTTCTAGTGATCTTTTTAAACCCCTTTGATGACGTATAACAGTAAAACAAAACACTGTTTCCACTTTACGCTCTTATAACGAGCAATATTTATCTATAGCAGAAGTTTTCAAAAGTAAACAAAAAATCATTAGAAAAATGTTTTTTTAGTGACACTACTGTGAAATCACCTGTTTTCGTTATATGTTTATCACATGCCAAAATCCGTCATTACATTGTTAATACGGAAAAAAGTTAACTATGCAAAATTAATGTTTACTAGTGTACATGTTGCTCGAAAGCAAGCAATTGCAAATAAGTACGGGAGTTATTTAATAAGAAATAACATACCGTATTTAAAAACAAATAACACTCATAATTTCCGATGAGTTAAAAAGTGTCAACTCAAAGATTATGTACCTAATGGAAATACTCACAATGTGCATAATAGTTCCATATAATTAACATTTCTTGTAAATATTTTATAGTTTTTCAAAAGCTGATCTGGTTTTTAGTGTATTCTTATTCTACAAATGCTTCCCACTTATACCCGCTTAGGTTGTCCATGTTGATCTTCGTCAATGATAATGATAATGCATGGTACCACCCATTGTCGCTAGTACGTTTAAACATTTCAGTCATATTTATTTAATAGCGATAACATTTGTTTACATTACTTAAGAACTACCTGATTTCCTGCATAGATTTCTCTGTCACAATTTTATTTGCTTCAATTGGCATTATTTGTCTAGTTACTGTTATAACGTAAATTCAATTTACCTGAAAAAATTCAGAGTTTAAAGGCCTGATGTTCAGATGGGGTTTTGTTCTCCTTAAATGTGAATAATAATAGTTGAATCCTTCAACGAAAGTTTTAGTAAAAGTTTCTTGGATGTAGTTATATTCTTTTAAAATCACTTGACTTTTATGGAAACATATTTTGAATGTCCTTGCCGTAGTACCAGTTTTATTTAGCCTTAGAGGGGTTCCCTCTGCAATGATCACAAAGTTAAGTCCATGTTTCAAACAAAAATAGTAGCATTTCGGCTAACATCCTCGTTCATAGTTTGTAGGAATCTTCATATTGTAGAATGTAGGTGTTCTTCATTATATAGGCTAATAAAAATAGTAAAATCTAAAACAAACATTTCTGTTTCTTTTACTTGGTGGCGTTCTATGACTTTCCTATGTTTCCATAGTTAACAAATCGGTTCTTTCAATGATTGCTGAAGAAATACAGTACTATGTCAATAATTTTTTTTTCTTATTTTGTGAAATATATAAAATTTTCCGGGCTTTCTCGATTTTTTACATTATAATATGTACGCAAACCAAAATTCAAATAGTAAATATTTAATTTAAACCAAATCAGTAAATGTTTATACATGCGTTTCCTTGGATTGCAGAATAACTATTAACAGCAATTAAATTATCCAGCCGATCATGATGAAACAAATATGTTATTCATAAGGATAACATGGGGACTTAAAAGGTCACTGGAGCAGAGCCCGAGGGACTTAAAAAAATTAAGGTCGGTTTGCAAATCTACGTGAAACACTCTTTCTATAATGAGACGTCAATGGTCAAAATCGGTTAAAAAATGGCGGAGGAGTTCAAAGGACAAATTTTGTGTTGGCGTAATAATTATATAGGTTATCTTTTTTATCTCTTTTGGACATAAACAAACACACATTGTTTAATTAACTGTTTAAATTTCCAACAACCAAAACTGTACAATCAATTTAAATTTAAAGTTAAAATATAAGGCCTAATCTAAACTACTATTAGTTTTTCTATTGTTCCTATGTGATAAACAAATATTCAAATCTATTTGTATTAAAAAATATTAGGTCTTTGTAGTGTGGCGAAAAGTAACGTTCAAAACACGAGTGAAAGAGGGTCATTACATATTTTCGGTCATATTTAAAGTGCTCAATAAATCTTGTATTTTAAACGCATGGTCTCAAAATATGCAATGACTCACTAGGCACTTTCTATTCTTGTTATAAAATATACTATTACCACAGACAACGGACACCAGTATTATATTGTCTGTGCTATTAAGCTAGAAGAACTTAACAAGTTCGACTCTATACAATAAATAACGAAAAAGTACAGTTTAAAACATGTGTTCTATTGTTCTATTTTCTTGATAACGCACTACAATAATTAATTAGCAAGTCATACGTTTTTCGAAACACATGGTAAAACTAATACAGAACCACGAATACTTAAACAGAACCGGTATGGATCATAAACATAAACATATGACGTTGCTGGCCCGAATCCTATACTAATACAGTAGCATTAATACGGTTTAGACTGTTACATTTAAGCATTGTTAAATAATGTTTACTAGCGTACATGTTGCTCGAATTCGAGCAATTAATTGCAATGTATTCCAGGAGTTATTTCAAAACGAATAACAGTCATATTTACAATGAGTTTAAAAGAGTCAACTCAAAGATTACCGGGTACCGGTGTGTAACTCAGACCATGTTTATCTTCGATATTGATAAACCTAAAGCATTCCGGCCGGGTTTCTCCTTCTCTAAATGCCTCGCTGTACAGGCAACACAGGTCATTAATAGAGGGCCAATTGAGAACGAAAAGTCGTTTTGGGGTAGTATTATGGCGCATTTGTAACCTAATAGTTGAGATTGTCCAGGGTCAGGTGCTGACTGTGATGAGTTAAGCCCAAGCCTATACGCGCCACTGTTCTGTAGCTGCGGTCGTTATCACGATTACGCCTCCTGTCAATGTTTCGTTTTCGTCGCGTCGGAGGCATTTAAAAGAAAAAAACAACAAATAAACAAATTATAGGTACACAAAACAACGATAAATGCACAAATTTAAGTTAGAATCATGCTAACACGATCCGTCATAGCAACACAAAACAACGATAAATACACCAATTTTAGATACAACCATAACACGATCCGTCTTGGGGGTTATGTTTACACAAACTCAAATAGTAATAGCTATTTACATTACAAGTGTAGTAAGAGCGTTTTTACATCACGCAGGTGAATGTTGTGCAACGAGCGAAGGCGAGTTGCATAATTCACCGAAGTGATGTAAACACGCTCTTGCGTAACGTGTAACGTACAAGATTTTACCTGACCCGACAATATTCAGGAGGTTACGAGCAATATGCTTCATTATCAATTTCACTCATCTTCTAACAGTAACGTTCATTTACAAACAAAAGCTAGGCTAGGAAAATTCTTCAAAGCATAACAATAAAATTCAAACACACAGCTGATTTTTAGCGTTGAACGTCGTTGGCTCCATAGAGGTATATTTTTTAAGTTATCCACTCAATGTTATTTAAATGGGTTTCATTACATCACCGAGTGAGTTTTTTCCAACTTTACATCACTCGAGAAGTAAGGAAGTTGTATACATCACGCTTGGGATAGGGAAGTTTAACATGGCGGGTTAGGTAAATAAATGTAATCAATGCGTTTCATTGGATTGAAAAATAAATAACAGCAATTAAATTAAATTATACAGCTGATCAAAATGTAAACAATTATGTTCTTCATAAGGATAACATGGGAACTTTCAAAGCCACTGGGGCAGAGCCCAAGGGACGTATTCAAAAATGTAAGGCCAGTTTGCAAATCTACGCGATACGCTCTTTCCAGTGAGACGCCAATGGATAAAATCGGTTAAGAAATGGCAGAGGAGTTCAACCGACAAAGTTTCATGTAGCGTATTAATTATATAGATTTTCGGGCCAGAAACATAAATTGTTTATGTTTATTATCCATACCGATTTTGTTCAAGTATTCGTGCACATATAGAGTCAAATTCCACAGATATAGACTCTCGTCTTTTAACTAATTCATTAATTGCATGTTGGCGTTGTTTGTAGCAAATTAAAATTACCGATTTGTAGTCAATTCACATGTTCTAAATGTTATATACCGTAGCCTACATAATTGTTTACTAGATTTATCATTATCATACAGAAAGTTGAAGCTCGGTATCCATGAATAACGAAAAAAGAACTAGGTGCATTGGTTTAACCCCAATCCCCTGTTAGGAATTTTAGCTTCCATCGTGTTTTCTTGACTGCTAAAGAACAGACTTTGCTAGGTTATAGAATCACGAACGGTTAATTAATTTACTGAAGGCAACAAGAAAGCGGATGAACCTTCACAGTGTGTATAATCTAGTTTTATCGTTCAACGTTTTCAGAATTGCATTTTAAAGCTTTTTTTTTGTTATTTAATCAATTGTAGCCTATTATAAAGTTTATGTTATTATGTAGTATTTATTGTACCATACTTACTTATTGTATTTTATTCTAACATAACTTGTGGTGGACAACGGGTATGGTAATCATTTAAGATCTTGTATGAAACCAAGTTGTGGTTTAGCATTATCATTTATTTGATTTTTGTAGGCATATCTGTATCTGTGTTGGGAGCGGTTCAATATCTCAAAAGTCGACTTTTTTGTTTAGAAAATACTTTTAAGTTATAGCACGATGACAGAAGGATGCCATCTATTTAATGAAACGATCTAGCTTGGAATCTAGTCAGCGATCTTCATATTTGAAGATGACGATCACTATAACCACTGTCTACACAAACTGTAAATCATGTTCAATTAATACTGTATCGCAATATTATAAAATCCATGTATAACCATTAGATAAAAGTAGTTCCTATTAACAGTTTGTCCAAATGTTGTTGCAGGGAATGCGATAGTCTGGGTTCACACCAGATACATTCCCCCAAACCCGATTACTGAGCGCGTAAACAGCAATGTTTTTGTTGTTAATTGATCAACAGAGATGTGAAATTGCCAGACCATTAAACTGTTGTGGGTGTGTGCGTATAGAGCTCATTTACATAGCATCTCCTCGCTGTTTTACTGATAAAATGTCCGGTTGCAGAATTAGAAACAACCTATTTCAACTGACGTTAAATGTTTAGATTCATTAGTTTAGTAACGGTCTTATGCATAGACTTGCAATTGTGATAGATAGAAATAAACACTGTTTTACAAACAAATTAAAATATTCGTAGCACTGCATAAGTATTTAACAATTTAATAACTTTAAATTAATTGTTTTGTACATTATTTCATTATTTACCGACTAAAAATTTAGGAGAAATATTTTATAGAAAAAGAAATAGTTAATTTATACAGAAATATAAGAAAATGCATTTCAGGATGACCCTGTTCCTCTACTAAAACATTACAAATATTTAGTGTTAAATTGCTTTCTTGTAGCATGTACTTAGTGTATGCCACCACAAACAGTAGACCATTAGTCTGTGATGTCACTAACCGATGGAGAGGTGAACAGTTTTAAAACCGGCAATATAGCTAGATTTTTTGCCAACCAAATTTTTTTTGTAACCAATGCATACATTATTAAATAAAATATAAATCAATTACTCGTGTTGATATTAATTCAATGTTGAAAAGTCTAAGTACAGTGTACAGTGACAAACTATGCTGTGTAATGAAATGATGTGTGTATGATGGTTCGTGCATTACTTGCGCCAAACAGTTCCTTAGTTGCGCCAAGCCCAAGCCAGAGGGGTGAGCTGCTCACAGAAGGAATTCCCTTGTTTAAGTGTCATACTAACCTATTGTAACGCAACCTAACCTAACCTAACTGAACCTAACCTAACCTACTCAATTATACAGTCAAATAGGGCCGCCACTTGCAGATAATGAACGTAAGTTATCGGGTGGCTCCCTGGGGTAGTTGGCGCAATTAAGGAATACCCGAATACCTGACTCAGGTCATTTGGCGCAATTAACGCCCGCCCGTATAGGTGATTGGGTGGGTGCGTCCCGCTCTCGCCAGGGCCTAGGCCGCTTACTGATAAGAGGTGTAAATATGCCAACCAATGGCAATCGGACCAATAAGACACATCACTGGTAGTGGAAGGAATAACAGCAATGTGCCAGCTCAAGATTTAAATAATGCTAACCTCACTTATGGATATATTGTACATATGTTTACAGTGGATATAGGCCTAATGTAAAACTTACCAAGGAATCTGAGTGCTGACTGGAAGGCTATGTACGCTTGTAGACCGACGGCGGACACCCCGTACCAGACGCTCCATAGAGTATTGAGGTGAGCACGACAACAGGCACCCTTGGCGGGGGGCGGCGGGGGCCTCGGCGGCACCACAGTAGGCTTAGCGGGGGCAGTCTCAGTCACTAGCGAGCCGTTCATCCTGGGCCTAGAACACGACAGTCCGATCACCGCACTGACCAAGGACGCCATACCGTCACCATAGCACCAAGGAACGCGACTGACGACTGAGGAGACGACCAGGAGGCTGAGATTTTGGGAAAGGGGCCAGGTGCACGGCAGGTGCTATCCGAGATTCCGCAGGACATCTGCCTAGCCCGGGGCCTCGGTGCCTCGTGCCTCCTCTCTCTCTCTCTCTCACACACACACAGGCGCGTGGCAGCACCTGCCGTGTGTCGCCACAATCACTGTACAGTACCACCTGTCGCTTGTTGTTGCTGTGTAACTGTAAAGGGAATACTGTGTCAAGACTTGCCGAGAGTGACGCTGCAGACGGGGACAATCCTGGTGGAAAAACAAATGGGGAAAAATATAAAATTGTGACTGTTCAAAAACTTGGAAACTTTAATATATTAGAAATATGCATTGAAGACTATCTTTAAGTCTGACCAAATTTTATACATGTAATAAAACAAAAGCCGTGTACAATCCTCGATAACAATTATTAATTTTTGTCATAAAATATATTAATAAAATCTAGATTAAAACCTCCACCATAAGAAAAGAAAATTACACTACTTAGCCTAAAAAACTAACCAACAATTTTGTTCTTTTTACATGGTCATTTATAACTCAAGTTGGATTACCCGGTATACAAATATTTTACGAAATATATTATTTTACATCACTACACGGAAAACTGTTTAAAGAGGATCTTTATTTAATTCCCCGCAAGCCTTGGTTGTCCAGTGAAGTTTCGAAGTTTGTTTGTTGGGAAATTACATTCTGGACCGAACTCATACTGGAGCGAGAAAATATTCTTTATTCCACTAATCCATTTAGTAGGCTTACAATAAATAAGAAATCATGTTATAGTTGAAAGTAGCTGCACAGTTATAGTTATTGCAGCTGTGACGTGATGGATTAACAGCTGGTTGATGACGTGATGATGGCTAGATGGAGGAAGGAGTGCATTTCCCTACACAGTCACAGTAGGTATGATGGATGATCAAGCTGTCTGTATGACGAATCGACGGCTGCTATCGCCAGAGTGCATTACAGGGTTGGGGCAATATCCACCTCTCACATGAAAAATCTTTTATGTAGAAACCGAGGAAATATTTTGTACCTAAATAGTATTATAAATTGTCCATCGATATCGAAATTTCTGTTTTTATTTTATCATAAATGGACCAATTTTGGCTTACGAATAATTTTTAAATGAAGAGGGTGGGGAATTTCGTGGTGTTCAAAATTTTTCAATTAGAAAAAATAAATTGTTATTTCTACGAGGTTTATATAACATCCCATATTTGGGACCTTATTTCACTCGCCTTTACAAGGTCTCAGACTGCAGATTTCCTTATTCGAAATGCTCGAGTTGATACCCTTGAAGAATGTTAGGTCAGCATGACTGACACCTTCAATGATTATAATCTGTATTAACTAACAGTAACTGTGTGTCTTAAACTGTTGACTGCGACTGGACATTTGTGTTATTTGACAGAGAACATTTTCTACTAAATATATACATTTATGGTTAGGGAAGACCGAGGAACATCTACTTATTTTGAGAAGAATGTGGCAGGGAATCCCTTAAAACTCAAAGGATAAATGTTGGTCACTTAATAACAATTGTAGTTTTGAGAGTAGGAAATGTCATTAACCAGGTGCCAGTCGGGTCGGTAAATGCCAGACTCCGGATTCTGCATCAGTTATCTATTGCAATGATTTACTGATTAATTGTTTTTATGGGTTTTATAGGGTTTAAAAGTGTTATTTTAACATCATCAGGGGGGTGAACTGTCTCCACGCGCCACCCCACCTCCCTCTGCAACTTTCCGCGTTTAAGCCGCCACTTTGAGCAATCACCCCTTTTATCGCGACGGTGTTTTTGCCGTTAAAGGCGTGAAAGGAGCAGAAAAGAGCTGTATCAACACCTTGATTGGATTTTATAACACTTTCCTCGTGAAAATTGCGAATTACTTAAAATTTTTGAGCAGGAGATTGACTTAACGATCTTGGAATGAAAGGTTATTCAAGCAACTATCATGTTTGTGAAAATTAGACAATGGAATGTAATGCAATGGTTTATGTTAAGATAGAAAAGTGTGGTGTATTTAGTTGAGAAGATAATTACTAAGAGTAATTACAAATCACAGGTATGTAACATAGTTAAAGTATACCGGGATTATGTGTGTTACAGTTATAAAATATGTTGTATTATTAATTACGTTTGAATGTGATAACAGTTTAATGTAATATTTTATATGATTTTTATCAAAACAAAATCTATATTAAGTTATAAATACTGTATGTCATATCACTAGTTTCCTAGACTTTCCATTCCCAAATTGCAGCGCGTTGTTGAGCCAGACACCCAGTGTGGTGTGCTGATGTGAATTATCAAATACGTCAAAAATTCAACTAAGCTCAATTCAAATGAGAAGTCATTGTACACTTTAACATTGATACATCACATCGACTATCCAATTACAAAAACTACATTCTGGGAGTGTATCATTCAACAATGCGGTTTTAATTGATAGAATTATATTGTTAACTCCAATATTTAAAAGTAAAGGGTAAAACTCAAGATTAACACATTATGTATTCACAAAATTAAATTAAAAATTTTTTGCAAATTTATAAAACAAATGAACAAAATTGAATCGGTAGACTACACTACGCCACCACGGACAGATTTTTTAACTAGTGGACTTGGGTTATACTGTACATATATTGGTATTGCATCAGTAAATACCTTTAAAATCGTTATAAATTGCATAACAGATTGTAGACGAAAACTAAGTACGGATGCAAATAACAAATTGTAAAATAAATATATAAAAATCCGATTGAGGTCAGTTTGTGCCTAAAAATAAGTACAAAAAATAGAGGTTAGAGCAAAACATTTTGTTTTATCCTGTATCCCGTTTAAATCCCGAGCATGGTATTCCCGTTTCCCTATGAAAATCCCGCTTAAGAAAACATTGCAAACACGTTACAATCTTAGATTAACTAATATAATTAACTATTATATTATACAATATACTATTATATTGAAGCATTACGTTTAACTATTACATTGGTGAATTAATTTATGGAATAATACTGTACTAGTGGAACCCCGTCGAAATCGACGGTTAATCTTGAGGTTTTATGTAAATTTAGCTAACTGCGTTGGATAGAGTGAAGTCATTAAAATCTTAGTTATATGAAGGGAGGATAAGCAATAATAAGTATGACGATTGTGTTCCCTAAAAAACGTGATTGATGAATTCGTTTAACACAATATTTCCTACCTTTCTTTTTATCGGCTTTAGGTTGCCCAAAAGGTTTTTTAGGAGTCTTATAATTGTTTGTTCATGAGTTTGTTTCATACCAAAGCCACTTTCACTATATGGGAGAATGAGTTCGTTAGTCTATCATGTTACGGAAAGAGTCAATATTTATTACTAACCACTAATTCCATCTGTTTTAGGAAAATCATTCAGATTGTATCCGGATTTATGAGTAAATCTTCATCTTTTTTTTGATAAAAATATCTGATTCTCCAGAAAGCAGTAACATTCTTACTTCGATCTCAGCAATTTTAAATCCTTCTCTTGCCACATCGACCCATGTATTTAATCATCCTGTTCTTACTTGATAATTCATTAACTTATGGGGTAGTTTTGCCTTGGCCATATAGATCACATAAAGCTGTGCATGTATTTCGTGGATTGGAATGAACCATAATTGTAGGAAATTTTATCACAAATCTTGAACATTTGCGGAACCAAATCCATAACCTAGTCCAGCATTGGTAAGAAATTATGCAAATGCGATGAGATGTGATGACACTGTTGTGTTTTCGAATGTTTTGTATGTAGTGAGGTTTAGATGCGTTGTTCAACCTAGCTACATGTGTACATCAAAGTAAAAACTGTGTACACATTTTTTTTTAATGCCTGAATTGACATTAGTTCACCTACTTTACCAAAACCATAGACTCCGTAGTTAGTCTATTCCAAAACTTGAACACAGCTCTCATCCTCAACGTACTCATCTATGACACAATTTTCAACCCGATTATCAAAAACTGTCATACCAATAAATGAATCTCAGGTGTTCTTTCTTGAATTTAAAAATAAATGGTGATTGAAAATAGGAAAAAAAGGCAAGTGCCAACCTTACAATATGTATAAGCTAACCCGATAAGGAATAGTTATATGTTCCTTTGAAATTTAAAAGTCACACTTATTTCATAATTTAAAATTTTCTAAGAGCAATAAAGCATAGATTTTTGAACAAAACATTTCAAATGTATCATAAATTCATCATTTTGTTGAAACTATAAAAAACTTGCCATGCAGTGGAGAATCCATTTAAAATCATAAATAATAATGTAAACATTTAATTTTGACAGTTTCAGTAGACCTTTGAATACAATTTTAATATTAACAGCTGGTTCATTTAAAGTAGTGTAAAATAATCCATATGGTCAAAATGTAAACAAAATTGCAGAGTGAACTTTAAAGGCCTCTGGGGCAGAGCCCCAAGGAAATTTACATCGTTTCTCTTTTGAGGGCTCACCTACAGACCAATACCCTTCTTTAGACACCCCTACCAAGTTTCTACGCCCAGCCGTTCTCTCAAATTAGCTGTGACAAAAACCTCGTTTTCCTCCATAAGAATAACATGGGATGGGAATTTAAAGGCCACTGGGGCAGAGCCCCGAGGGAATTCTCCATGTTTCTCTTTTGATGGCTCATCTACAGACCAGGACCTTTCTTTAGACACCTCTACCGAGTTTCTACGCCCAGCCGTTCTCTCAAAATAGCTGTGACAAAGAAAAACAGTTTCAAATTAATATATAGATACTACAAGCTAAACGCAAAACACGTGCTGGGGTGTGATGCAGGCAGTGTTTTAACGTAATGTAGGCGCAGCAAGACAGTGGCTCTGTTGTAGGGAAAACATTGAAACAGCGCAGTGGGAAATGCA